CCAGCCCAGCCGGCCTGATGAAGTAGTACTAGGTATTTCATCCACAGCTTGTCAGGCACGCATGTGTCATGTACATGCGGCACTTTAGGTCCGTCTGTCAGTTTTCGGCGTCGGCTGTTGCCAACTTGGCCAACTGCCGCTGACTTGGTCTTCTGTCGATGAACGAAATAGGAAACCGATTCCTAATTTGATAAAGCGGAATACGGTCGCATTTTTTGGTCATTCGGACAGGTTTTCGGTGGAGACTATCCCGAATGACAAGGATCTTGACATACCAGATTGCTTCTTTGTCAATGAAAATGGCATAATGGCTTCCTGGGCTTGCCTTGAAGGATGAAGTTCATCCTGAAGAACGGCAACACCGGGCCATTTGACCGATAATTGCTGTTGCGGGCCATGCCATGTGCTGCGTACCTAGGTAGGTAGATGATCATGAAGTCACTAGTTGCTCGTATAGCAGCAAGGTATGTACTCCATACTCCGTATGTAAGATCCAGAGGTTCAGATATACAACGCCAAGCACGGGTCCTAAGTACAGGAACAGCAATTGGTGCTTCGAAAAGCTCCCGAATACCGACAGACACCCTCTAGGCCAGCTTCTACTCGAGGCCATGTCATGCACAAGACTCACATCAAGTACGGGGTTCTAACAGTAGATGCCAACAGCTATAAACGGACGTCATTGATGGGGCAGAATAATGCTGCAGTGTTGTTATTGAACCATCCTTCAGATTGTCATTGGGTAGGACAATAACATGATGGATTAACCAACAACACGTCAACAATAGGAAGTTGTTGGTCGCAACGTACGTCAATATGAGGGCACCCAGGCAGAAGCAATTCCTCAACGACGCTATCGGCCGAATTCCACATCGCTACACCCGTCCTGGCTGCAGAGCGTCCATGTATGTCTACTCCGTAGTCCGTACATCTGGATGCAATCGCGAGCCAAACCAGAGTGCCGGGATGATCCCTGGTCCAGATGCGAGGCGATAAGCACCGTGCATACTAGTATTCCGACGGCGGCTGAGCACTAGTCCCTTGGTGTCTTGTCCGTCTGACTTGAATATGCCTGCTCTTCTGCTGGTCGCAAAGAGGCGACTTGTAGCAAAGAAGAAGACAAAGCCAGCAGGTGACCTTTGGCGCCCAACAAGCAGAATAATATATGCAATAACAAGGACGGTATCACACCGAAGCCCACCCGGTCGGTGGTTAGTAAAGACTCCCGTTGGTGTGAGTCTTTTTTTCTTCTCTCTTGCATTCAAGATGGGCAGCCGAAAGCGGTTGTTGGTGTTGTGGCTGATCTAGGTTGCTACTCAATGCAGACGGACACTCGACATATTGGTTGCGTCGTCGCACTTTTTCATGCATGGACAGCCCAAAACGATCTAGCTCAAGGCCCTGCAAAAGGCAAAGATTGGCAGTTGGCCATGGGGATCTGGCAGAGGAGACGGCACAGAATGTTGAGACCAGGTCGCAGATGGTTTTGCTTTACCGTGCCGAACTCCCCCAGAACGGCTCACCCCTGATTAAAAGGTTGGTGCTTTGGGTTTAGACAGTTGGCCCTTACGTGAAGCGATGTCCTTGTCTCGGCCGGAGGCGAATATGCTTCACGAGGAACAACGGGATGGGAGGGAGATGTCACAATACAGACAGAGTAGGGAGGACTTTCTGGCCTTGATTACCATACTGGTGGTCCCTGTCACTCTATCGCCCTGTTTATCGTCGTCGATGGAACCCATATGCTGCTAGGCTTGTCACACACATGACCATGCTTCCTTCACGGGCACTCGACAATACGTGCCGGGTCCAATGGAAGTGCGAGGCCGAAGAGGCTCGGGTGGCACGTTGGCTCTGTCGGCTGGGTGGCGGGTGATGGAAAGTGAAGAAGAAAAAAACTGAGGGATTTGTCATTCCCTCACCAAAGTTGTTAACCTGTGATAGTGAATGGGGGGAGGGGAGCAGACGCTGCAGTTGGGGCTGGCTTCCTGGGCTGGGGTTTGTTGCCAGGGCTGGCTTCCGGTATACATTCGTACACACATATGGATTACTCCGTATACGGGCATGGAGAGGGAGTACGGCGTCGGAATGGTGCCTTCCATGTCCACCAAGCATGTGCCATCATGCACAGATGATGCTTGACGGCCTTGAGTATGAGTTCAAGGTTGGCCCAAACTATCCACTGGTCACAACAGATGGCTGATTGGCGCTCTGTTTCTCGGTAGACTAGCCGGCGGAGTCAGATTTTGTATTCTTCATCATTTCCCGGCCGTGCGGTTACTACTCGAACAGGCTCATCTCACTGCTGCAAGGCCGATCCAGACTCCCTCAGTTGAGGCTGTTGGCTCCGAGAACCGCCCCATGGTGTGTGTGTGTGTGTGTGTGTGTGTGTGTGTGTGTGTGTGTGTGTACATTCTTCGTACATCCATGCATATATACACACAGATATACATACATACATACATACATACATGCTCCGCATATGTGTGTAGTTGAACCCCAGGTTGGCTTTCACAATATGTATGTATGTATATGTATGTATGTACACTGTACAGTATTCCGCCCTCGGTACGAAAGCAAAGACTGATGAGGGACCAGTCAATACTTTGAAATAATCTTTATCCAAGTCCAAGCCATGATTTGCGCCCGGCCGCTGTCACAATGCCCTCGGATCTGGACGAGTAGGAATGCCACATCAAGGGCTGGGCTTTCTCGACAAACATCTCACATCTCTTGCATGGTCTGTGACCTGCCGCCCTGGCCCCTCTGAAACCTTTTCCGTCCACCGGAAAGGCGATCTTGTGCTTAAAGTCCTAGTAGGTAGTTGCTTTTGCAAGGTACGTGAGACAATATCTCTGCATTCTGTGCCCACACCAGAAAGGCTAACTAGCATGTCAATCTTTGGCACATGTGGAATGCATTGTCTCAGACAACAGCCCACATCACAAAACCAACAAGACAAAAAAGGGGAGGGGGGAGCCAAGGGCAACAGCAGCCAGCCAGTCAATTGTTCGTCCAAGTCTCGTCAACCTGTCATCCCAAAATTTCCCCAGAACGGTCCCGGCACCAGCGGGGCGGACCGCAGCACCGTCGCACAAAAAGTATTCACTTTTTACCCTTGGGACAGTCGTTGTACATACGTACATGTGGTTACTAGGGGCTCAGACCCCCCGGGATGGCGTGAGTGTTGTTGTAAACTGCTGCCTGGTGCTCAATGGCAAAAGTCGGTGATACTACTGCTACTGCTACTATGCCCAGCGAAGCTCGTCCTTTGCTGTCTCAGCAGCACGGGGCGGTCAACCCTTGGGGCCTTTTCCAGAAGGTCCTTCTGGAGTAAGACACTTTTTGGCTTGTCTGAGACTGCCGTCGCGACTCATTTTCCCCGCGCTTCCTGCGTGCGAGGTGGCGGCGGGAGTTTGGATCGGAAATTGAGTGGCTGGCTGGGATAGCCGCAAGGGACGTACGTCGTCCGATGTGCGTTCTGGGCCGCGCCGAATTTCAATCTCCCTACCATCGGGTCGGCAAAAGGAAAGTTGACCTAAAAAAGAAGCAATAACAAACGGTGCAATCGGTCCTATTTGGGCGAAAAAATCTCGCAATACGTGCACGCTTCGCATATCTGCCCATGAAATAGAGAAACGTCACTGAAAACACAATTCAAACATTGGTGCAAAGCTCCAAGTCATTGTTCAAGGGCAGAAAATCGACATGTTTGTCACTAATAGGCCGCTTTGGAGATGCACGATACATTCCGTCTCGTCGATAACTAGGGAACACTACCAGAACAGGCTGGCCCTTCACATTCACGCTCAGCTTTGACTAAGGCTCCTTTGTAGCTTTTATTTTTCCTGCTTGTGCCATGGTGATAATTTTGCGTCGCGTACTCCGTAGATCTGCCAAACTCCACGGTGGCTTAACCATCTGCTGAAGCGACATCTCGAGGGGACAATATAAAATGGCTGTGGGTAGCAGAGAGCCCAACTGATACCAGAAAACAAGTTTCAGGTGCATCTTGTCGTCTAAATCTGGCTTCTGGGAACTCCATGATCTCTTAGCCCCTCGAGTCAGACAGCCTTGGACTGTTACCCATCCATTCTCCAGCCAGCTTCAGGAATTTGGCCCAGATCCAAATTCTGCGACGGCAAAGCAGGACCGCAGAGTTGGTTGGCAAAAAAAAAAAAAAAAAAAAACGGGGGATCAAGGCAACCAACCCCTTTTGTAGGGAGAAGTTGAAAAGTGCTCCAACGCCCAGACAGTTGCTAACGGCGCAAACTTTGGAGTCGATGTGCCTGGTATCTTGAACATTCTCTTGAGAGGACCACAGGAAGATGGGCAACTGGGACTGCGTGAGAGCTGAATGCTCTGCCTGCTTCTATTTTGCGACGACAATCAACGTCCTCGAGGGTCTTGTCGAGTACGCAAAGAGAATCGGCGGCAGGGAAGAACTTGAAACTGCCCAAACGTCAGCAGAGGAATATCTTTATCTTCTCAAGCGGCCTACGACTAGTCAACCGGCGGACGAGAACGTTCTTGGCTCACTTTCTCCGACACGATGGCGATGTGATACTCGAGCTTTATAATACTTGTGCGCCGGGGATAAACCTGATTCGCATCTGAAAGAAGCCATAAAACAGGTAGATTCGTTGCAGATGGCGAAAAGATGGTAGACGGGCTTCAGAGTGGGAGGCTCGAGATAGGGTTTTGGTCCAGGGTTGATGAAGGGGTGCAAAACCATCCCCGTGGCTCACTCTTCAGCAATCGAGGGCGTTGAAGTGGTGGGAGAAGGATAACAAGATCCCGTATCAGTCGATCCTCTGTTATTGTTTCATGCTCGAGGCACGCATACAATGTATATAGCCATGCCGTCATTCCTACTCTACCATCTCCTATTCACGTGCTTCCCATCCCTTGAAGAGGCGCCTTGACGGGCCAGTCCAAGAAAAGCATCGACAACCTCGATGCTCAATACAGTAGCAATCCTGGCCGCTGTCCAAATCCCATCAGCGGGACGCCTCATCAATGACCTCTCCCAACAAGCGGGCAGCGCCTATAAAATCCACCTTGGGTATGTTGGCCCGAACCCAATCCACGATAGGGTCGATGCAAAACGTCAAACACCGCCAGTGCAAAGCCCGCACCAAAAGCTGGAGTCTTGTCTCGCCCGTCCCATACAGCTCGATCAGCCCTCGGTCCTGCTTGTACCAGGCCAGCCCGTCGGCAACCACAATCGCCTCCGCATACGCAGCCGGCCTCCAGTAGAACGTCATGTCGATAATCCCAGGTGGCCCCCCCGCCTCATCATCGAAAAGAATGTTCCCCGTGAGGTCTCCGTGGATGAGCTGAGAGGTAACACCAGTGGGCAGCGGCCTTGTCAGCTTCTCATACTCCTTCAACGCGTCGTCGAATACAGCGAGAACCTCCTTGTTGAGATTGGCCACTTCGGACAGTTGCTTTTGGCCCCAGACGACTCGATCAGCCTCGGACCACCGATTGGTTCTGCCACGTAGGAAGCGCGGCTTCTCGAGATTGAGCTTGCGTAGGGCCTCGTGAAAGGCCTGGCTGACCCGAAACGTGTCTGCGAATCGAACCGGTAGCTCATTTCGGCCTGGCAACACAGCCATGGCCGTCCACCCGTCAACGACATACTGAGTGCCATTTTGAATACTCGCTATTGGTCTGGGAACACGATACGTCAATGATGGCTCGAGCGTGGAGAGAGAGGCGAGTGTGTTTCCGATCCATTGGGATTCTTCATCGTCCTCGGATGGCTTGAGAACAATTTTGCCGTCAGAGTAACACACGCAACTTCCCCCGGGTAGGCGTGTTAGTTGGGGTTGAGCGCCAAAAGCGGCGAGAACCTGCTCGGATGGCTGACGCGGAGACATGATCCGGAATACCTAGGGTCCCTTGACTTTCATCAAAGTCAAGAAAGGGCCTTTGTAGGCGCCGGAATTGTTGCTCCTTTTCAATAGATACCGGGGGTGCTGAAGTGAGGCGAACAACCAACTTACAACATTGACGCACTTGTCTGTCATGACAAAAGGGCGCAACGGCATGGAACCCCGCATACAAATTTGCTACATGAATGTATGAACAAAGAGCGCACAGACGTACTATAACAGAGACTTGCATAGTAACTCGGCATGACAGGGCTGTAGCCGAACTAGGTGTTAAAATACAATGGTTGCAAAAAGGGATGACAGGGCTTGCAGTAACTATAAGGTACATATGACGAGAGAGTGTTTTGGTCGTCCCTTTTCAACCTGAAGCAACCTTCTGCAAGCCCCGGATAGCAACCATGGCACCCCAAGCACCCGGATCGGGGGGCAATTCCTGGCCGTCACTCGAACCAGCTCCTACATAAGTTGCTCTTCCCAATCGAGGCCTCATCTTCTTTGTGGCTTCAGCCCCGTCGACAGCTGCCTGAACGCCGTCGTTGAATCCAGACTTGCCCATCGCGTCGGCAAAGGGAATCAGGGTGTCCATGACGGTACGGTCACCAATCTTGGCGGGAGTATATCTCCGCAGACTGCCGAGTGCAGTAGCCAGAGCCTTTGCCCAAAGAGCCACAGGGCCTTCCGTGGCGGCGATGCCGATGTTATTTTCAACAGCGGACCGTAGCGACACAAAGAATATACCCAGGATTCCCCCCAACGTGCCGCCCATCTTTCCCTCGACAATGTCCTCCAGCTCTACCAAGACCTTGACGACCGAGCCGGACTTTGCTAAGCCGCCGTCCAGTGCCGCCATCAAGCTGGTGGCTCCAGTCTTGAGAGTCTCACCACAATCCCCATCTCCCATTACCGTGTCCCACTTGGTCAGGTCGGGTTCGGCCTCTACGAGCTGTGTGCACGCATTTCGTAGCATATCTTCGAGAACGGTCGGATCGAGCTTCAAGTCGCGGCTTTCGTCTACGGCCTTGGGAGCTTCCTTGGGAGCATGGACGAGCTGCGCCCTGCGGCTGCGTCGCTTCACCTGGGAGCCTGCCATGGACTCCCAGTGCGTGTTGGTTCTGGCGTCAAAAAACCCCTTGATGTCCTCAACCGAGTATCTGCAGTTCTTTGACGCAGCCGTGGCATTAATGACAGAGACGGAAAAGGCAGGGGCATTGAGAGATGTTTCGAGAAAGCCGGCGCAAATGCGAACCGGCTCCATGTTCCAGTCGCGCTGCAACTGCTCCAGCAGCTCGTCCACCAGAGCCCCCATTTCGAGATGCGACATGCCCCCAAAGTTGCTAACGAGAAGCATGACTTCATCACCGGGGGAAAACTTGACGTAGCCACGCTCGGGGTCGCTCTCATCAAGACACCGCGTCAAGACTTGCCTGACCAGCTCCGACGGCGACGGGGCCGGGGAAAGCTTCTTATACCCGGGCTCGTTATGGGGACCAGTTCCGATTTCGACTTCATCGTCATTAAGCATGCCGTGCTCAGTTCGACCGGGGACATGGCAATGATCTAGAGTTGCCGCAATCGACACAATCTGCTGCGAAAAGGCGACGCCGAGGTCGTAGACATCGTCGAGCGACCCCCCGGCTCCAGCAGCACCGCCCATGACCTTGAGCACACCAATTTGGCCGGCTAGGCCTCTGCGGCCAACCATGCTTCCCTTCCTTCCGACGGATACATCGTCGCCGCAAATAATCATGCGGCAGTTGTGTCCACCGGCATTGGCCTTCTCATTGGCGAGGCCAAAATGCAGACAATCGCCCGTGTAATTGGTGATGACGAGAATGGTGCCCTTGTCACTTGGCACAGCTTCCACGCCAGCTAGAATCTGCTTCGTGCTAGGACTGGCAAAGATGTCTCCCTGAACGGAAGCTGTGAGCATGTTGGTGCCAACATAGCCGGTCCATGCTGGCTCATGCCCCGAGCCACCACCGCTGATGATGCTGACTTTGGACTTGTCGTATGAAGAATCATACACGACTCTGTTGGTTTCGTCCAGACTCAGGCTCGGATTGTATGCAATCATTCCCTTCAGTGCCTTGTTGACGAGGCCCTCGGGCGAGTTGAAGAGGTGTCGTTTGGACATGGTGGTAGCTTCGGTATGCAATTGACTACCAAATGCAAAGAGATTGACCGTTCCGGACAAGGAACATTGGGCAGAATCAAGCTGATAAAAAGACCACGGAGCTCTTCCGCATTTCGGAGCTTGTTTGAATCAGGATAATGCGAATTCCCTGTCCCTGGTGGCGTTTGCTAGAACGGGCTTGATACCGTTCCATCGCACCGCCGTGTGTGGTCGATTACTATCACCGACTAGTCCTGCCTTCGTACACGGCTCCCGCAAACAATATCCATAGTTTGCTATGTCTCTACACGCCCCCGCATATTCTACCCCTCAATCATGTTCTCATGACGTTCAAACTTCTCGGAGTTCGCGTCTCGTCTCAGGGACTAATAGCGTCGGATTTCCTATTTTGGAAACCCGCCATTGTCACCCCACGGCTTGGACGCGACAGTCCACCACCAAACCCAGCTGTCCAGACCGTTTCAGGGCGTCTTATTCAGTAGAAGCTAAGATTGAATCGGCGCAGCCAGGGTCCATTGACGTTACGGTGATACATGGGGAATCGAAGACATGCTGGCGAAGCCGGAGCGTGGCGGGGCGTGGTGGCGATTGGAGGGGAATTCTCATCAAGACGGATTTGTTTCCTCCTTTCCTGTCGAGTTCTTCGATAATTGCTACTCCTTGGAACGAAATAATTTGACTGGTAGTCTTTCGATTCTCCTGCGTGTCGTTCCATTTTGTTTCATTTCTTCACCCAATCGGCAGAAAGCTCAAAACTACAATGTCACCAACATGGAGGATCGTTATGGGCTGTGATGTAAGTGGACGATAGTCGCGGCAAAAGCACAGCACCACCAAAATGAAGACGCAAGCTGACAAAGAGGGCCACAGGAAGCTGGAGTTTCCTACAAGGACGCCATTAAGCGCGATTTCGAATCCGACAGCCGCGTCACAGAGGTCATCGATGTCGGCTCCAAAGAGTCCAGCGACAAGACGGCCTATCCTCTACGAGCAGCGGCTGCCGCACGAATTGTTGCCGAGGGCAAGGCCGACCGCGCGCTACTCATCTGTGGAACCGGATTGGGAGTCGCCATTGCTGCCAACAAGGTCAAGGGAATCCGAGCAGTTACCGCCCACGACAGTTTCAGCGTTGAGCGAAGCGTGCTGAGCAACAATGCCCAGGTTCTCTGTATGGGCGAGCGTGTGGTCGGACTTGAACTAGCCCGAAGGCTGGCCAAGGAGTGGCTCGCGTATGAATTCGACACAACGAGCGCAAGCGCCAAGAAGGTTGACGAGATTACCAGCTTGGAGGCTTGAAAGAACGGCTAACGTCGAATGACGCATTCGGGGTTTGGGGTTGGGGCGGCAGTGGTTGTGTAGATAGATTCGAAGAATCTTGGCGTAGACAGATTTATTACCATGATTAATTAATTGCCCGCGCGTGATTGTTAGTTGGCTGTCTCGCACAACACAACATGCGGCGTGTTTTTTTCACTCTTTAAATTGTCGCAATGAAATCCTCAAACAGCAACAAGCAATTGTGACCACATTCAGGATGAATGATCAAGCTGGCTCGCGGCTCCGGTTGCGGTTTTCCCAAAAAGGAAAGGAAGCTCTCATGGAAACTTCCCGGCGCCGGAGGATCCGTCCGTCCCTCGGTCGGCCCGCACAAACGCACGAACCCAATTCCGGGGTTGCTAGTCCCATGAACGGCAAACTTTCATCCTAATACCAATTGATCTTTACCAGTATTGCGGACTTCTCCCGAGGCAGCCTCAATCCTCGCCGTCGTCTTCCTCTAAGCTCAACCTGCATCAGTCGAATTACCAGGCATCTGGCTTCTCGTGCGCAATGGCAACGTCGCCGCCTCCTCGCCGACTCGTCGGCCTGTCTGCAAAAATGTATTTTTCGCTCTCGCGGAACCGCGAAGTCACGAAAGGATTTCTGGACTGCCTCTCTAGAACCTCTTTGGAATCGCTGTCCAATGTCGACATCTTCATCATCCCGGACTTTGTGTCCCTCACCGAAACTATTGGTCAACTCAAGTCTTCCCCTGTTCCCATATGGCCCGGGGCCCAAGACTGCCATTGGGAGGACAGCGGCGCATTCACGGGCGAAGTGAGTCCCGCGGTCCTCAGCGAGGCCGGAGTCAAGATTGTGGAAGTTGGGCATGCGGAACGGAGACGGCTTTTCGGTGAAAATGACGCAACAGTGGCCAAGAAAGCCGCCGCAGTGAGCAGAAACGGAATGATCCCCTTGGTGTGTATTGGAGAGCAAACGAAGGGGGATATTGGCGTTGCTGTTGATGAGTGCAGAACTCAGGTCGAGGCTGTTCTCGCTACTGTACCGTCCGCAGCAGAGGTGGCTCTGGCGTATGAGCCCGTTTGGGCGATTGGTGCCAGTCAGCCTGCTGCCGAGGACCATGTGCTCAAAGTAGTCCAAGGCATTAGACGGCTCGACTGCGTAAAGTCAAGGCAGGGAACTATCAGAGTCGTTTACGGCGGGAGTGCAGGACCGGGTCTGTATGAGCGGTTGAAGTCGGGTCTTGATGGATTGTTCTTGGGCCGATTTGGTCATGACCCGGAGCGGTTTGTCAAGACCATCCTAGAAGTTGCCCAGGCATGAGCCCGGAACTGTCGTCATATTTGGTTCGCCGCATTGCCATCGTTTGATATATAATAAGTCGGTCTGTTGCGTGTTACATACCACCACCTCCCTACGATGACGGCCTCCCGCTCTGGACGGCGCCACTTGTCATGTAGCTCCTTTCCTGCTCTCAGTTTGATGACAATCCAATTCCGTAGGGCTCGAGTCTTGACGACTATCGCAGCATCTCGATTCGCCCCCACCTAACTTCCAGATCCACAGCTTCAACAGCCTTCACACCATCCAAGTCGCAATGATTCGCTCTAGCTATCAGGGCCCCTCCCAAGCTCCATAGCCACCAGCTCAGGAACAACCAGTGTCTATCGAGCTCCCAACAAGAGCCGGTAAAATTGCTATGCGTCAAATTCATGTGTCGACAGTACGGCAAGTACCGGGAAAAGGCGGGCAGCCCCGCTCCGAATGGAGCTGGACACCGGCTCGTGGCCAACGGCATTGGTGATGATGACTGCTGTGGTTGTAGTACTAGTACATAGCTCTGTGTGTGTAGAGATGAGCAACTTTTGTTGTACCCCGCTGTGAGATGGAATGCGTATAAAATCCCTCACCCGACCCCTCCTTCTGGCGTCGACGTTTCTGAATCTTTTTTCCTACATTTTCGTGTCGGCCCCAAGTCAAATCGATAGCCAAAGCTTTTGTGCCCCATCACTATACATCAAACTTGTCTGTTGAGAAATGCCTCCTTGAGCAAATAGGTACAGAGAACTGCTTCTAACACGCACAGGTCCAGACTTGAATCTCAACCGGTACACCGCACCTCGTGATTTGGCAGCGATCATGGCTTCCTTGCGTTGTAGTATATCCAACTATGATCATCTCTCTTCAGGTAATGTCTGTTTGCATGAGCCGGTGCCTTCTCCTCTGTCTTGCGCCTTGCGATTATGTGCAAAATCTTTTTTGCTCTTTCTCACAATGGGGTCGAAGCAGGGGAGGGTGGCTGAGATTATACGGCCCTGAACTTGATCTGGATCATACCAGCGAAAGGATCATGCTCCCCCCCCATTTATAAGCCGTCCCTCACAGCCCTAACTTGTGTAGATCCATAATGTCTCCCCCGGCTGCCGTCTCTCCCACTCAGAAGGTCGCTGAGCTCGTGACTCCGACCTCTAGCTCTAAGCTCGCCGTCAAAGCTGGTTCCAACAACGCCCAGACAATTGAAGAAATGATGGGCCAGTGGGACAACTTCAAGTTTGCTCCCATTCGTGAGAGTCAGGTCTCTCGTGCCATGACCCGCCGTTACTTCAAGGACCTCGACACCTATGCCGAATCTGACATTGTCATTATTGGTGCTGGATCCTGCGGTCTCAGCGCTGCCTATGTCCTCGGCAAGCAGCGCCCCGACCTGAAGATTTGCATCATCGAGGCCTCCGTCTCTCCTGGTGGTGGTGCCTGGCTGGGCGGACAGCTCTTCTCCGCCATGGTTATGAGGAAGCCGGCTGATGCTTTCCTCCGCGAGATTGGCGTCCCTTATGAAGATGAGGGCAACTACGTGGTTGTTAAGCACGCCGCCCTGTTCACCTCCACCATCATGTCCAAGGTCTTGTCTCTGCCCAACATCAAGATGTTCAACGCCACCTGCGTTGAGGATCTTATCACTCGTCCCTCGGAAGAGGGCGTCAGAATCGCCGGTGTCGTTACCAACTGGACCTTGGTTTCCATGCACCATGACGACCAGTCCTGCATGGACCCCAACACCATCAACGCCCCTCTCATCATCTCCACCACCGGCCACGACGGTCCCATGGGTGCCTTCTGTGTCAAGCGTCTTGTTAGCATGCAGCGTATCGAGAAGCTCGGTGGCATGCGGGGTCTTGATATGAACTCCGCCGAAGATGCCATCGTCAAGAACACCCGTGAAATCGTCCCTGGTCTCATTGTTGGTGGCATGGAGCTTTCCGAAGTCGATGGTGCCAACCGCATGGGTATGCTAATCCTGACTCGTGATGCATACTACTGTTTAATCCTGAAAGCTAACCTTGGCCCATAGGCCCAACATTCGGTGCCATGGCTCTCAGTGGTCTCAAGGCCGCCGAGGAGGCACTCAAGGTCTTCGACCTTCGTGCCAAGCAGAATGCCATCTAAACGTTAAGCAATCGGCGAGAGCAAATGTATACGATGTAGTCGATCTTTTGGAACTATTTTTGCAGCTGAAATATTTGCCATTCGTTTCAAAATATTGTTTTGATTAATAGTCGGCACCCAGATATGAATACTATTGCCTCCTGTTAAATTGCCGTTCGCGTGCTTGTAGAGGGAGGGTTGGAGCTGATGACAATCTTGTTTCCCACTGACTCGTAGTCTGCTCTGCCATCTGTTGGCCCCGATCCCGGCACATGTTTCACGTATTAACGATACCCTTTCATTGGGCATAGATTGTTTGTGGGTGGAGTGAATAGATGTCTTTGGTATCTGACCATGACCTACATTCACCCTGCAAGCAACACGTGAAATTATCCAGTAACGATGCGCATTCCAATATCTTCAGTAAGTCCATACTTCAAAAGGCAGCCAAAACAGTCCCTCGACAAGGAGCTCAGCACAAGAGGGGAAACGTGTGGAGCAAGGGCTCCCGCTCGGCAGAACTGATGCCGACGATTCCGCGAAGAGATGGGGTTTCCTTAGAACTCTTTTGATGATGGTACAATCCTTTAATGCTTCGTCGCACTTTCGTGGAAGATGTCTCCATGCATGTACATGCCATACTGTTGCAATATTACTTACTGGTTCTTGTCGGGCAACCTCGTATTGTGGCGATGCTGCAGGCCCGTGCTTGCATCATGTATGAAATGCATGAAGAACCACTTCGGTGCCAATTGTACAAGACATGGGGCAAATGCAATGGTCGGTCTGTCCTACATACAGTGCATCGAGCGTTTTCGACAGTTGATGCTTGCTGTGCTTGACTTGCCTGGACATTCTATGAGCACCAAAGCCAAATAAATTGTTTGGCTACCCCCAGCGTTGCATGAACCATGGATTTCCGTGTGGACATTTCGGCCAAGCCTCAAGTGAAAAACTTGACTAGTAAGGTGGTTGCGGGCTACCGCTTTGGTTCGGTGACAACTATTATCGTTCAGCATGATGGGCAAGTGTAGACAATCGTGTCAAGACTTGGAACACTGATATAGTAGGTCATCCCATTGGACGGAACAAAACTAGTTGCTGTCCTAATCAAATTGGACGTTATGCGTTTAGGCTTACTAGTAGCTTTCTTTGCCTTGGATAGGGTGATGGTGACCTATAAGTTGGCCGGCGGTTGTAAATTAATGTCTTATCGTCTGTGTACTCAGTGCTTGAAATGACTGTTAGTAGTATCCCTGGGAATATTCAATTTGTACATATGTGGATGAAGTTTGCGGTAGCATTGAAAGTTGGCCGATGTCTGGAACTTGCCTGTGTTTTTGTTCCAACCACATACTTGACAGCAGCGACGCCCGCCAAGATCTGCCCGTCTTTGCCCAGGATGCCCTTGCACCTAGTTCCATGGCTGGCCGGGAAGCTCAGAGCTCAATGTAGAGCTGAAAGCACAGGGTTTGTAGAGTAGATCGTCGTATTTATGGAGTGCCGAAGCTGTTGCCATGCATGAATCAATGCAGGCTGCGCCAATTGGGGAGATCATTTCACCGACGGACAGCTCTCGTTTTCCATTGGAGATATCTACTTCCCAGTGAAGCATCGTTCAGGATCCGACTCTAAGTATGTATAATATCATTCCATTGCACCCGACCCCACTTGTCAAGCTTTCGTCGGTGCGATCCAGATTAATGCCAAGCAAGGATCACAGTATCATGCTGTCGATGGTCTCGGTCCCGACCCAGGAGCCTGGAACACATTTCGGGGTAAAGTTGGCCGGGGGAGTGATCGGGCTTCTTGTTGCTCCAACGAAGCGTATATTGCTGTTTGAGTTTATCCGGAAATAAACTCTCGGGCGAAGAAACCGAAACGTGGTGGCACTTGTGGTGGCCGGGACTAGCTTCGGCCAACTTTTTGCTTTTCACCTCTCGCAGGGCTGACCAGTCATGTCCGCGCGTCGCCCTTGCTGGTGCAGACTTGAGGCTTTGATGGGCCATGGGGGTTCAAACTGATGGTCAATGGCGATATGATGTGCAATGTAGTATTCTGTACAAAGTACAGACGTACCTGCTCCGTAGGTGAATCCCAAAGCAAGTGGTTAGACCAATTGGGCATGTTGTACGGAGCTATCGACCAATCCTAACGGTGGTTTTTCCGGCTCCGTACAGAGTACATCCATCTGGCACTGACAACAGGTTTCTGGTGCTGCTCTTTCCACCCGCAGATCAACCGTGGGATGTGAGCCAATCAAGATTCGGCATTGCCTGCATTTGACAGCTCTGTCATCTCCATCATCTGGCAGTAACAGACCAGACTCCACCATGGCCGCGAATCATGATTTGGTCCCATCGGTCAACCCGTGACCCTCCCATTGTCCTTTTTTTGCCGAGAATGTTGGCCGAAACATTTCCCACGGATCCAATCGATAGGCCGACGTGACGCCTTTGACGCCAAAAGCTTTGAACCGCACGCGCCGGACGACTCGGTCACGGCCATGGACGGTGACAGCTCTGGCTCCAATATCCCGGGACATGTGCCCGGCCCTGCTGTGAACCCTCAAGCTCATGCTCAAGCCCAGGCTCAAGCTCAGACCCAGATCCATGCTAATGCCCGTGGTTCGGGTGAACGGTCCGAGGGCGTCTCTGACCTAGGAAGTCAAGGCCGCCCCCGCAAATTTGTGATACAAAGCACCTTTGGTGTACCCAGAGAGAGGAGGAGTCGAAAGAGTCGGCCGTGCGATGCATGTCGCCGCCGGAAGACTGCTTGCATTATCACTACGGAGCCTCCATGTAAGTCTGATAACCGTTGCATCTTGGCTGGCTTTCGGCTCAACCTTGGCCCTGACTTTACGAGATTTGCGCATGAACCCGCCAACCATGTGTCCAATATTCTAATTTTATATCAAGGTGCCTTCTGTAAGAGTAGGGGGATAGTATGCCAGTCCACGTCGACTACAGATGGGCCACTACTACGACAGCAATCGGGCTCCGAGGGTGGCTCTACGAACTCTTCCAAGCCTGCAGGTGCAGATCATTCTTTCCCCGACTCTGGCCCTGGTGATTCTGGAGGGCGGGATGCAACAGACATTTTGGCCAGCCCGAATACCATCAAGTCTAGTCCTCGACCTATCACCTCACCCTCCAATGTCTCCGTTTCTGCAGCCAGTGACTGCTCTCCCCGCACAGGCTATGAAGCAAGTTCTGGTAGCTACTTGTCATATGCCAGCCCCCGGGGTCGGCTAAGACTGGACGCAGACGCCAGCGCTGCAAGCATGGATATTGTACAACCTACATTGAACTCTCCGGAATCGTCATGTATCAGCGGCGCAGGCTCAGTTCATACACTGGAAGATAATCCCGGCAGAGCGACCTACTTTCTCGGTCGTACTGCTGAGCAAGACCCTTTTGTTCTAGATGCCTTTAGTTATGGCATCTTAAGTGAGACGGCAACCGTTGACGCCAATGTAGTCCAGCTGCACCGTGGCGGCTCGGATGTCGACGACCTCCCGCTCCATTTCCTCTTCCTGTCCATGGGTCACCCCAAGCACACCAATGAAACGAGGGAACAGGCTTCCGATGCCATCGAGACAAAAGTCTGGCCGCACGCTGACGTGCTCGTCGCGCTGTATTTCAAGCATGTGCACCCGGTTTTGCCAATAGTATCCAAGGTTCGCTTCCTTCGCCGCTATGCAGGCAACAGCAAGTCGATACCAGGATGTCTACGTGGCGCGGTGTACGCTCTCGCATCTGTTTTCTGGGCAGAGGACCCCAGCACTCGCCGTGGGGACCGATTTCCCTTGGAGCAACACGAGATTGTCGATCAGGCTCATAGAGCCCTTCGCAGAGAAATAGAAAACCCCAACTTCTTTGTTTTGCAGGCTTGTTTGCTCTTGATACACGTCCAACCGCCTTCCATCGATGCCATGGAAGCGCCGTCAACTTTCACGTTGAGTGCGCAAGCTACCGCATGTGCGCAACTGATTGGACTTCACCAAGATCCTGGCGATTGGAATTTGGAGATTGTTGAAAAGAAGTTGAGGAAGAAGCTCTGGTGGGCGGCCTTTGTAACAGATTGCTGGGCTGCGGTTTCACACGGCAACCCTCCTCATATCGGCGAAACCTCGTACAACACTACTATGCTCGATATAGATGATCTTCGCTGCGATGAAGATGTACCTGAGGAATTGCAGCATCTTGTTGACCGTTCGAGTTGGTCCTTTGATGTCGCATCAGGTGCTCGATTTTTGGAAACGATAAAAATCACCCGATTACTGCGAGGCGTCATTGATAGCAATTTGTAAGCCAGCTTCCCTTTCTTTAAGGGTTGCATTTGTACTGACAGAACTTTAGTCAAGTCGACACGAGAACGACAGACTTGCATCAACGAATAGCGTCCCGTAACCAACTCGCTGACATACACGACAAATTGAAGGATTGGCCCAGCCTGATACCCTCTTGTTTGGTTGTTTCTCGAAATAGAGAACCTGCCACTTCCTGCTATAACTGTGAGATTGAAAAAAAAAATGAACAGTTAACTATCTACCTGGGCTAACATTGGGACAATTAGGCCCCCTTCATCTGACTTTTTACGCAACAAAGGTCCTCCTTTATCGAGCCTTGATGCATCCTGCTACTAAAGCTGCGAAGACGGACCCTAACTCTAATCTGAGACAGTGGTTTCCATTTGCGATTGCGGATTTTGGGTGGTTCACGGAGTTTTTCATCAGTATCAACCCCGGTGACCTAAGAGGTTTCTGGGGTCGTCGTAAGTCACACTTTGTCATACGGAAAATTAGCGCGGCGGCTTCTTGCTTCCCAATCAGTATTCTAATCAACTTGTTTGTTTGGTATGATAGATGCTCGATCTCAGCTAATTCTCTGTGGAAACTTCTTGGTTTATCTATTTCTTATGGCAGCTGAAAGAGAGCACATTGAAGCTGCACATAGAATGCTGGAAACCTTCCGAGTAAAGGTCAATAATATAGCCGACACAGATCATGTTCCGACACGAGCCCTGATTCGAGCTACGACGATTCGCACAAACTCGTTCTTTTCACAGGCCGCAGCCGTAATGCGCCACGGCCCGGAAGCGTCCATCACAGAACCTATAACGATATGTGGAGTTGACGGGCCAATCAAGGGCCAACAGGGCACAGGACAATTCCCCTAGACGCCGACTCTTTATGCTGCCCAGCTTTAGCAAACCCGGACTTCCACCCAAACAACCTTCCCTCCAGTACTTATGACTTGATGACTAGCGACTATTATTTATTCTTGTTGGGCTAGAGGACTGTTTCTTGACCACGGGTGGACATATTTTTTTGGTATGAATGTACTTTTGGGTAGGCACTGAATGCAGTGGTTAACGGGTCATTGTAGAGTCCAGCTGGTTCGTTGTAAATTCGAGATTTTGAGTCACATGGTATATATTGCAGTATCAAGCACCTTTGCTTTTGGCTCACCCTCAAACGTGCTTGTAATTTGGTGATTGACGCCAACGAACGACCTGCGGACATTGATTTACACCCACGATTGCCATTGTTCTTGTATACATACAGGCCAAGCCAAGTTTGTGTTTGATTGTAGATAGCTGTGGGAGATGTGTGGAAGCAGGGACTCACGATTAGTTGTGTTGGGTCTTGATAGTACAAGAATGACTTGAATGGAGAGGAATAGGGTTGACTTGGAATGCGGACGAGGGCAGACCTCGCAGATATACTACGTGTGTGGCATTTTAGGTCTTTGACGTGACTCGGCGTGAGTCACGGGCATAAAGTCACTATAATATATAAGATTTACTTCCATGATACTGGTAGCTGAGGCTATCGCGAGATGGCCTTGGCCAACGGGCCGTGGCGCGGCATTAATTTCTAATTTTTTGGTCTTATGCTATCCTTGGCCTGGTACAGCTTAATATTGTATTATTAGATTTTACGCTTATATGATGCTCGTATCATGCTTGTAATTTCACCTGACTAATGAGCGAAACAATTCACCCCTTAATATAGGCCAAACTCCAGGCCAGGCCATGCGTGGCAGGCACCCTTGCTCGCATGAAAGGGTTCAATGTTGCCAGATGCTGTAGACGTTTTGGTTCCCCGCGTTTCGGCACTCAATGGCCCTGGCGGGAATCTACAGAATCTACTCAAGTAGGCTAAACTGTGTTGATTGAACTGCAGATTTATAACTATCTTGGCATGCTCTCGATTCGCTGCCACGGAGTCGAGGTACGACAGAAGTACCCGACTGGCTCGTTGGTGGTTGTGGCATGAATGATGCGGCTGGCCCAGGTCAATGCGGAAAATGCCAAGTACATGCATGTACGTACAACGGAGCAGAAGACGTATTGTCCCGACTCCCGATTGAGACGGCTCAGCTGGCAAATCGTCCGTGCTCAAAAGTCACAACAAAAGGAAGGAGCCAGACGGAGGACCAGGGGGCCAAAGGGTCGCGAATTTCCAGATGTCATGACCATGGAGGGTCCGGACGCCAACTGTTGCCCTCAGGAGATTAGCCGATTTCCTTGGACGAGTGAAACGCGGGTTCCCAACCAGGCGCCTCTTTGAACCAAGTTTGTACAACAATGCACACGGGCAGCTGGCCAATGGGCGTCATCTCGACGGTCCAAATTGCACCACGGGGATCTGCGGCTGTGTCTCTTTCAGGGCCCTCGAGGAGTCTGGTCGGTGTCATGCATGCTCTTCACGCCCGGCCCGGGTGTTCTGGGGTCATTTAACCAGCTAGCAGAATTTCCCATGGCAAATTTAAAAAAAAAAAAAAAGATCAAATGTGACCTGGTCCCCCCCCTGTGTGACTCTATCCCCGTCCCGTCTGCTTCTCGATTTGCGCAGGCGAAATGCCACCCAACTTGCTGCTGCTGAAGCGGTGGCTGGTGGGAGCCGGCATCATCATTGTGCTGCTGCTTCTTTTTCGAGAAGAATTACCGGCAGTGACGGACCTGCGCGGCAGGCAGGTTGACCGGGATGGCTTCGTCTCCGGGACCGAGATGATGGCCGTTGTCCGGGAGTGGCAGAAGCGCGAAGGAATAAGGAAGATTGTCGGGCTTGTCTTTTATCAGAAGCGGCAGCAGGCGGCCATCCTGGACTGCTATCTCAAGGTTCGTTGATCGTCCGCATGCCAAGACGAGCTAATCGCCGGCCCATCTCCCAAGTCTAAACTTACCTTTTTTTTGCCGAGCAGCGGGATCTGGCCAAGAACGGCGGCGTCCTGGACCAGGTTATCTGGCTGCGGCAAACCGACGATGCGCGCGACGTGGAATTTCTCGACAAGCTTGTCCGGTCGGAGGCGCACTACTCCTGGCGCAACCAGGAGGGGAGCGACGCCAGCGCCTACGATGGAATCCAAGACGACCTGTTGTACATCCAAATCGACTCGGGTATTGTACGTGGCTTTGCAAGATGAGAGGAGGTGTTTTTTTTTTTCGTCAAATCGCGCAGCACTGACTCCCTGCCAGGTCTACATGGAGGATGGAACCATCTTGTCCATGGCGCACACGAGGGCCATGCGACCCGACTTCTACCTCGTTTCCGCAAACGTCGTCAACCAACCTCTGAGCAGCTGGCTTCACCTGAGCCTCGGGGCGGTGAGGCCGTATCTGCCCGACAACGAGACATGGAGGCCTGTTGAAGCCGAGTCGGGGGTGATGAACTGGCGCCCGTCTCGGCTGCCGTCTTGGCGAGGGCCGCCGGATTTCGACGTGGCCAAATGGAACCCCCCGGCAGACCGACAGCATCTCTGGCTGCCGGTCACGGGCAAGACAGATCACCTCCTCCACAATACGCCCATTGTCCACACCGTCTACGATGCCTACAAGGACCAGGGAAGGTGGAAGTGGATGGCTGCCGCCCAGCAGCATTACAGCCTGCTCGAGAATCTGGAAAGGGGGGAGCTGTCCAAGTACAAGTTTCACCTGTGGAACTATCAGGAACTCGGCATGGGCACCCAGCTTGTGGCCATGACTGGGAAGGACATCAATGCCGCCAAGCCGATTGGGGCTGCTGCCGAGAGACATTTCGCCGTGACGATGCCGCGAAAAATAGGTCGACGTGAGTGAAGCAGCTTTTTTTATGCGAGATCTTGCGACGTGGAGTGACTGACGAGCTATTTTTTTTATAGCCGCTGTGGCGGATGGAAGGGGCGTAGCCGCTTATTACAGCTCCAAAGATCAATCCGAGGGACTTGGCCAAACGGACATTCTGGAGCGGTACAGGTCCTTTGCCCAAGAACACGTCTGCAAAGGACGCATGCTATGGACTCCTAGTGCCGATCATGTCTAGTTGTTGATGGGTCGGGCCTGGACGACAATATGTTTGATAGACGGCCAAGATTCGTTTTATACCTGGGTGGGGGTTCTGTGAGAGAGTGAGAGTGAGAGAGAGAGTTAGACTTGGGATGGGCATTTGCAAGCATTCTTTTCTTTTATTGCATTTTTGAGCTGTCGGCCACGGAGTTGGGAGCAAGGGCGACGTAGGAAGCCTGTTTCGCTGTACTGCTTTGAATATTCTAATCATACCTACATAATACCATTTGCCAGGCGGGTATGAGGCGGTCTACTCAGTTCGCTTCACCCTCGACGACGACGGAAATGCACCGCCTTGTGCAACCAGACCCGTTTTTGCGATGGGCTGTACGGAGCACGGGGCGGTTGGATACAAGGCTGCTTCTTTGTTACACCTGTGACCTGGGGCGGTCGGCGGCTGCATTCAATGTTCGCATCGCGGATGTGCTCCTTGGCGATGCAGCCACGCCACGGCTGCATTTAGGCTCCAGCATTTCTCGACACGAAGGAATTATGCGCACCAATAAAGCATCAAATGTTTTCAATTTCAACTACATAGCCAATGAATGGCATTCCGTCAAGTCCAAACCTGTGCTAACCTACTCGACCCGTCCTGCTCCTTGCCCCCATCTGTCCATGCAGGCATCCACAGTGCACACTGCACACACACATTCATCCCACCTACTTAGTCGTCGTCGTCGTCCACAACCTTGGGCTGGGACTCGCGATGCTCCGGCGGAAACTTCATGCCGCGATTCGCGCCCTGCGGCTCAGCACTGGGACCCCAGCCCCCGTATCCTGCGCCCGTGGCCACGCCGCCGAGCCCGCTTGCACTGCCAACCGCCAGCTTGCCGGCGAGCTGGTTCTTGCCCACGCCGGGCTGGCCGTCGGCCCAGCTCTTGAGCTCGTCCCGCGTCTTGCCCGTGTACTTGAGGATGTCGTCGTCGCTGATGGGCCGGGCGCCCTTTTTGTCCTGGTACTTGCGGTAGAGGGACGTCGACTTTTTGGCCTCTTGGCCAGCGTCGGAACTGGTGGCGGCCGACTGTGAAGAGCCCATGCTGGTGCTGATGGTGGTGGATGTTTAAATCTGATCAATGGGAATTGGCTCCGACGCGGAGGACTTGGAGTGACTGGAAGGAATATCGGGGCCGCGAAGCTATGTGAAAACTTGTACAACCATGCTGCAATTTAGAGTGACTTGGTTTTCTAGCGGGCGCAGTTGTTTTCCGAGGACAAGAGAGGGCATCTTATACAAAACCTACGCGATGCCATCAGCTGAGCGGTGCTGAGGCGGAGATCCTGTCCCGCCTCACGGGAGGACGCCACCTCGTCAAGTGAGCATCCAGGTGTCGCTAGTCCAGACGTTCCTCGGGGCGCGAAGCCATGACATTGGCTTGGTTGATTAGGCAGACGTATTTTGCGGCCTGGTACAGGTCAAGTAGCGTCAAGCGTTAGTCGGCCCGTGGCGAGCAGGCCAATGGCACCAAAGTCCCGATGCAATGAATTGGCATGGAACTGTCGACGTCGTGCCAGCCCACGACGGGCCAACCATTTGTTCCTTTTCTGCAGGTGCCTGGTGATTGCTCGTGTCACTCAAGAAACGGATGGCATTGTGAAAAAAAAACATGTTCTAGAACTATGTGACTTGCTGTATTTCGGTGGCTTGCGAAGCGCCGGTCTCTCAGCCCATGGTGTTTCTGGCAAATGACATTTGGATGTCCTTGTCAGTCCTTGATCCGACCCCGTAGCCTTTATGTTCTTCCTCTTCTTCCTCTCTATTTCACGGCCAAGTTGGCGGAAATATAGGCCCAGCTCTATCCTTGTATTACACACACAAGCACACACACACATATATAAATATATACATCTACGCGTGAGGAGCCATGCCCAAGCTGGTGTTGCCCGCGTTGAACGCGACAAACTGCGACTTGAAAAAGATGTCGCCATAGATGGCAAGGTTGCGAATCGGGCTGACTTGCAAGCCACCAAAGCACTCTAGACAACCGCCCCAATCGTTAGCAAACGGCCTCCACGTTTCAACAAGGTACTACCGAAAAACAGTCAACTTACCGCCGTTGCCAAGGTCCGCAAAGACCATGTCCGACCCGGCAACCCTGGCCATGTACACGCCGCCAATGTCGACGTCGAGGTCAGGCAACTTTGCGTTGCAGGGGAAAACGACGCTGCCATCCTGGGCATTGACCCGCGCACCCTGGACCTGGTCGTAGTAGGCCTGGACCATGACGGAGTCGGCGATCATGAGCGAGGTGCCCGTGTCGGCAATGGCCTGGCCACCGGGCGTCGAGGTCTTGGGCTGTCCGCCGTTGACGGCGAACCTCTCGCTGGTGAACTGCCAGAAGCCCTGGGTGGTGTTGACGGGGATCCACGCCATCGGGCCCTTGAACTTGGACTCGTCGATGGTGCCAAACGTGTAGGAGCCGCTGGCGGCCTTGCGCAGGTCCGCCGTGAAGACGGGCGCGGCGAGCGAGTCCTTGACGTTGTCGAAGAAGGTCGCCTGCTTGACCGGCTTGACCGTGTTGATCTTGGAAAAGGCGAGCCCCATGAGGCCGTCGTTGCTCTGGTCCTGGACGAACGACTGGGAGACCGCCGTGGCCAGCTGGACCGTCTGGTTGGGGAACGAGGCGCCGCCGACGTCGACCACGTCTGTGCCCACGTTGCCCACGGCCCCGGAGCCGTCGCCGTACGAGATGTTGAAGGACGCTCCCGGCATGAGCCGGAACGTCTGGCTCCGTTGCGGGTCGAAGACGCGGTGGCCGGCGCCAGACCCCGTCCCGAGCTGCGTGTTGAACACCCACAGGTCCGAGGAGCCCGTGTCAAAGTCGAGGTTGACCGTCTGGCCGCCAATCTTGACGGGCGAGATGAACTCGGCGTCGTTGGCCTCCGGCTTTGCCTCTACCGTTCCTGTCTGGTTTGTCCCGGGCGCCGTGCCCTGGGGAGGAGCGCCGGTTGTGCCGTTTTTGTTGCCGTTGTTGTTTCCATTCTCGTTCTGGTTTCCGTTCTGGTTTCCGTTCTGGTTTCCGTTCTGGTTGCCTTCCTGGTTTCCGTTCTGGTTTCCGTTCTGGTTCCCTTCTTGGTTTCCGTTCTGGTTTCCGTTCTGGTTCCCTTCCTGGTTCCCGTTCTGGTTTCCGTTCTTGTTGCCGTTCTGGTTCCCTTCCTGGTTCCCGTTCTTGTTGCCGTTCTTATTTCCATTCTCGCCCTGGTTCCCATTCTGTTCACCTTTATTGCCATTCTGATTCCCGTCCTCGAGGCCCAGGCCCTGCAGCAAGTCGTCCAGCAGTCCTCTTCGTCCCGGCTGCCTCAGCCTCATGGGCCGAAACGCCTCGGGGCTTCTCTTCCTGGCCTGGGCAGCAGCAACCTGCCTCTTGTCCTGCGCGTGCATGGTCTCCTCAAGACCTTTGGGTAGCGGCACCAGGAACTTCCTGTACACCTTGGCGAGCGCGCGGGGCCCATTTCGCCCAGTGAAGTTTGGGTTCGCTACTCTGCTGACGCTAAAGGAGCGCTTCTGGATATCGGCCGCCGAGACGCTGACAAAGGCGAAGAGCGCACAGATGTACACGACGAGAGACTGGGCATGCATCTTGGGCAAATATACAACGAAGGGTAACACCAAAGTTGTTATGTCCAAAGAAAAGGGAGAGAGGGAGGAAGGGGAGGGGGGAGGCGAGGCCAATGAGACGAATAACGATGATGATAATAATAATAATTAACGAGAATTAAGAATGTGTGTAGATGAAGGCTCACACCAGGTGGCCTGTGGTTTGAAAATTGAGCAAGTATTGACCCTGTCAACCTTTGCCTCGCCGATAGAGTGTCAATGACTGTTTGGCGTCACGTCCGGACAAAAAGAAGAGAAAGAAGAGAAAGAAGCAATGGGTCAAACAAGGCAAAGAACACAAGAACAGGTGCCCGACAAAGAAGACGAGATAAAACAAGAAACCGAAGATCGCGACCCCAAGCCCGTCTTTATGCTCGTCGCTGCGTTTTCATGGTCGCGGCCAAGTCGGTTTCGTGGCTGCGCCGATCCTCAGGAGGCCGTTTTGGTCTGGCCATGGCTGCTTCTTTTTTCTTTCCTGTTTCCTGTTTCCATGTAAGCTTCAGAATGCAAGTTGAGCCAGGGGCATGAGGGTTCGTCAGCTCGCGGCGGCAGAGACCTCTCTGGCGTACGCCAGCTTCAAACCCGATATGCCTGATGAGGTGGTAGAAGGCGCGGCTACCACGATGTTGTCAAACACAACCCTCATAGCCCCAAACACGGGCGTCCCCCATGCCGGGTGGAGATGGTGGCGTGGCAGAGGGTTGGTTGGCCAAGACGAGCCCCAGGTTGAAGATTGTCGGGGTCAATGGTTGCCGCGGATCGGGCGGCCCCAACGCCTGCTGCCGACAGGGGCGTCCATGCCAACATTTGAACCACTGGATCTTGCCGTTGGACGGGGTACAGGCTGCGTGTGCATGTGGGCAGTGCATGGGGGCATCTGGAACGGGACGATAGGGGGCGCGGAACATTCATTGAATTCAATGTTGGCATTGAAGCGAGCCAGGCCCATTGACCCCGGCGGCCTTGTACTACCGGACAAATCACTGGCGAGATGGACCCGCCGTAGGAGCACCAGCCAGTTGATGATTTCCAAATGCCCCCAGCAGCGCCTCCACTTGGCACGCCACAACATTGAACATTGAACCTTTCAACCCTGCTCTCTGACCAAGTTGACAGCTGCACTGACTATTTTCGCCATGAATTACTATTGTTCATTCGCGCCATGAGAAAAGGCCTGTTCTCGAAGCTAGAACGGCCAGTCACTACCGAGTCCCAACTCCCGACCGGGTTTGCAAACTCGAAACTGACCAAGCACTTGGTACATTGCAACTTGTTGCTCAACTACTTGTACGCATAGGAGTCGGCAAACACGGCGCTCATCTGGCCATGTGAGACGGTCGTGAGGTGCCTGGCAAGACCAGGAGTGTTCCGAGGGGCAAAACCACCCCAGCCCTTACACTGCTCTACTCTAGTCAATGCTTCCCGGCAGCCGAAATGCCGCTTTGTTTGCAAGCCCGAAAGAGGCTGTCGCCCGAACTCCGCACCCATGCGCGCCATCCTTTGACTGCTGGCACCAGCTTCGTTTCACAAATATCGATCGATACAAACTACACACAACATGCCGTCGATATGCACAGGGGGGGAAGGGCCATCGCTGGCCCGGCCGCGCGGGTGGCTGGCGCGCGGCTTGTGGACTTGACATTCAATGGTCTGGTCAATGCCGCACGTTTGTGGCCGTCACGTTTTGTCGAGGCCGCATTTCCGGTGCATCTGCGCTGCTGAAACCCTGCAGGTGCCGCTGATCCAAACGTGGCTGAAACTCGTGCCTCACTACTTGCTGACATTTATACTATATATATACCTAGGTACCGAGTATATATATCAAGTAGAGGCCAGTGATTGTCGAGTCTGGAGGAAATTGACTGATAAATGGTCCGGTTTGCCACCTACCACTTACTTAAGTAGACATGGACACTACAAAAAGTGGACGTCACTCCTAGCAGTGCAAGCACTTCATGCATCGTCACAGAAACAGCTCTACATGAGGCACAAGGAGGCAAGAAGACACAAGTTGAGGAAATTAGTTGATCAAGTTATTTTTCCGCAACCAAGTGCTCGACTCTTATGCTGGGCATCTGTAGTCAACATTAAAAACGACGGTAGTCTTGGCCCATCTACATTTGGCACTTCCCTGCCTGTTCTTTCTCGTCTTCATTGCGCGTCAGCCCTGTCATCATCACCAAGTGTTTCCCACTGCTCTAGGGACATCATGATACCGTTCTATAAACGACCACGGCACGATTCTGCAGATGTATCTGGTGCAAGACAGCTAGACGCAAACCCTAAATTCTAGCAATTCGTTCTCTTCCAAGTGCAACAAGTGTTTGGCGCAGACGTGTGTCGTTAAAATGGCCAGTAACCACAAGTCTATTCATCTCCATCGTCAATCCAATACTACAACAAAGATCTGCTGAACCGCTCATGGACATGGCACACCTCACTTCAGGTACTCCCTCTTGCCGATCCTCTCGCAAATGTCCCCCAGAGCCTTGGCGGCAAACTCATAATCCGCTAGATCCAAGTAGATCTGCGCACTAATGCGGATCCAGTACCGATTTCCCATGATAAACCGCAACATAAACGTCCTGTAGTCCCTCACCAGCGTCTCTGTGATCCACTGGAACACCGTGTCCCTGTCCTCCTCGGGCACCACGATATCCGTCTCCTTGGCCCCCTCGCCTCTCTCGCCCACCCATACCGGCAACGAGACATTGCCCATGGCGCAGTTTGTCATGGTGCCCTTGCTGTTGTCGAGGTACGTGGTGCCCAGCGCGTCGGCCACGAGCTTGATGCCCTTCTTGTTCAAGTCCCACAGGTACGAGACGATCTTGTCCTCGCCGCCGCAGACATCTCGGCGCCATTCGATGGCGTCCTTGACACACATGTACGGCCCGTTGTCCTTGGTGCCCACAAACTCAAAGTTGTTGACGTAGGCGCTTTTTGCGCTCGGCGGCATGGGTGTGGTGCGCTGCACCAGCTTCGGGATGAAGCCGTGGCTGGTGGCGAGCGTCGTCCGCAGGAGATGCTGGTTCCTGATGGGCGCGTAGAAGACGGCGCAGCCTCGAGGGACGTGCAGCCACTTGTGGCAGTTGGACACAAAGAAGTCGGGGTCGGCGGCCGTGAGGTCCAGATGCACCATGCCGATGCCCTGGGCTCCGTCAACGAGGCTGATGATGCCGAGCTCCTTGCACGCCTTGACCATGTCCATCCAAGGGAAGGCAACACCGGGCCGGGACGAGACCACGTCAAAGATGCAGACCTTGGCGCGTTTGCCCTCGTCTTGAATCTCCTTGACTGTGGTTCGGAAAGCGCGGATAATCTCTTCGTCCTCGAGCGGATATGTAATGGCAATACCCCGATGCTCAAGCTTTCCCTCAAAATACTCGGCCAGGTAGTCAGCCGCCTTGCCACATGCTTCGTAGATGGTAGAAAAGCTGAGGATGACGTCCTTTCCGTCCTCGGCCCAGGCCAAGTTACGAAGGACGGTGTTTACGCCGTCTGTGGCATTGCCCACGAAAACAACCGTGTCGAGGGGGGCATGGACTAGTCTGGCAAGCTCTTCACGCGCAGCATCGATGCGTTTGGGCTGCTCGTAGAAGATGAATGGGTCCGGACGAGCCTCTGCCTGGTCCTGGTACGCACGAAGTCTATCGCGGATATGTTTAGGATATGTGCCAAACGATCCTACATGGCAGTCGGATGAGTAACATGTCAAGTCTTGGTCGCAGTCGAGCAGGGGAAGGGGGTTCGTGCCAGTAGCTGGAGCACACGAGGTCCAGATATGAAATGTCAGGTCAAGTACCAATCACATACCGTGGTTCAAGTTGTGCCACTCTGGGTCAAAGGGGAACTCCCTCTTCCACTCTGATCCAAACGGCCTCGGGCTCTCGGCTGACTTGGCTCTCAAAGCGAGAACATCTTGATGGCCCATGACGACAGTAGTCTGGCTGCGAAACAAGCGCTTGTAATCACAGGTATGCAAAGCGTTGAAAATAAGGGCGGCGAGCACACGACGATATATAGGAGCGGTGACCTAGACACGTCAACCGCAGCAAAGCAAGGCCGGTCGGCGCAAGAGAGTGACTCAGTTGACGCTCATCTCCACCTTGGGCGGCGAAACTCGTTGCTATCCAAGAACCATCTGAAGCTAGCCGCGCATCCGCATACACGTCTGGTATTGATATTACCCCAGTGCAAACCCCGCATCTGTTGCGCCTCCAAGTTTTTATGCGTGTCAACTGCGCCCTTTTCGTCCAGGAGCACTGCTTTCCCCCGGTCCGTTTTCCTTGTTTTGGCGCTTAGTATTGAGGGCTCCTCCCGTGCCGAAGGTAGCCGCCAGCTATCATATATCATATAGACAACGCAATCAACTTGTGAGGAAGCCGTTACCGGGTCAGACGGCCGACTTGTTATGGACAAAAGAGTAGGGCCCTCGCCGTACTCCGACCTATCAAGCCCCGACTGGCTCTTGTACCGATTGTCTTGTGCCATCAATTCATTTGCTTCTTCATTGGGAAATACCAAAATCTAATGCTGGACCCCTCATATCCAACAGCAAAAATGCACCTTTGAATAGGCTTCTATGCCTCCCTCCCAACGCCAATCGGCTAACAGCAAGCCAGACATGTACAAAAAAAGCCGCCAATCCAACTCTGTCAACATCTGTCTCCTAATCGTGCATAGCTGGAGGAGGATATGTCGCCATGAACAATCCTTCATCACTCCTACTGTACCCATCATGGATTGCAGCTCCAAGTAGCCCCCCAATTCTCTAACCGACCGTCTAAACTCACTTCTATTTGTTTTCGTGGCATCGTTCTCGCCATAACTGGGCTGGTCCGTAAACCAGCCAATGCGAAAGCTGCATTCGCTTCTTCTTTTGTTCCCGCCTGAGTTGGAGGCACATTTTCGCTGTAGTTTTGAAATGGATGACCATGTGGTGCACTGTGCAATCCCACGAGTAACTCGTCCAGGAAGAAGGCGTTGTGTCTTTGGAATGTCTTGGCACTTCGCAAATTTGGCGACAGCGACGTCAAGGGTCCGGACGGCGGGCTCTTTGGTTCCAATGGTTGTGGTTTGCCGTAGAGCAAAGCTGGCCGATTCGTTCCCAGTGGCTGTAAAGGAGGCAGCTTCAGGTCATCTTTCTTGGCCTTATGCCTTGAACTCCCACCTCGCCTTCTGCCAACCTTGGGCGCGGGAATTTCTTCCCCATCCACCTTCTTTCTCTTCCTGACTCTAGCATTTTCCTTAACTGAACTCAATATAGAATTAGTACTGCATGGCTCGACAGAAGTGAGTGCCGGAGACGTCGTGGGTTCGGGCACATGGTCAGGCACCTGGCTTGACACCATTGCCTGCGCCTTCTTGCGTGATCTACCGTGGTTGGGGTTGAGTGTCGATGATCGTCTCTGACCCTTCTCCAGTGCCCCTGGAGCCGACTTTCGCGACCCTTTCTGCCTAGCCTTGGTTTCTTTCTGCACCTTGTTTGTCGGAGCATGGGGAAATACTTCAGCTACAATACCCGCTGCTGTGATACCTGCGGGTAGAGAGGCTCGACGGGCTGGCACATTCTCCGGCTGCAAGTTGCCCGTTATTCGGTGCAGCTCACTAAGGACTTTGAATGTCCAGTACGCGCCGGTGACTTTGGTGTCGCGTAAAGCCACCGGGTTGGCGGGCGGTGGCTTCTTTTTCTCTTCCTTTGCGCTGTCCTCAGATGTTCCGCTGGATTCTCGCTTCCTTCTGGGTCTTGCAGGTTCTAGCTCTTGCCAAAGTTTCGGTATCCTGGCCTGCAAATCAGTGACCCAGGCATCACAATCCCACTGTACCCAGTAGTCGATAATATCTCCCCAGATGCTATCAGGAGGCTTAGTAAAGTTTACAAAGACAACTTTGCCGCCTTTGCAGTGAACTGCTTTGGCAAACTCCCTTACCATGACCTTCAGGCCATGGACTCTAAGGCTTGTGCCTAAAATGAGCAGCATGTCTGGATACAAGCTCAAGTCATGGGTGATGATTGGGCTAATTAGGTGTGAGCTAGGATGTTCTTCGCCATAGAGCACAATATCAGGACGTAGTTTGCCAACGCCCAAGGCACGCTTGCCCCTCTCCTGTCGCGCCGCCGTGGCTCCAACGCAGTGAGGGCACTCTGGTTGCTGGCCTGAAAGTGTTTCAGACTCGCGATTGTCATGGTCCCAAGAGCAGACTTTGCCACAAAGAAAACATCTAAGGAGGTCCAGGGATCCGTGCAGAAATACACATTCAACTCCGGAGCGAGGCAACTCCCTTCGAACTTTCGGAATTGCATTGGCCTGGTTATCTGATCGTGGTTCCCTATCGGTAGCAGGGATGTTGTTCTCATCTGATGACGAGGGTTGTGACTGCTCGCTTGAATCTGCAGGAGCATCTGACAGGCTTGAAGTCTCAGATGCCAGTTTATCTGAGGATGCTGACTTGGCCTCTTCGACCATTTTATTTAGTTGCGTCATGTTTGCCGTTGATCGTCGCGAAAATCGCCCACGACTGCCTGGGCCATCTTGTAATCGTGTCGATAGTCCGACTTTCTCCTCTATTTGATCGATATTTTGGGTGTAGCACCTCACCAACTTTCCCCGATCACGCAAGTGGCTGATAAATCGATGCGATGTTGTTGGTTCGGCGTGTCTGATCTTTTGCCGTAAAGATGTTGCAAATGTATAGAAGACAGAAGTTCTTATCGGGTCCGACCAGATATTGGCGTCAAAAAGATCCTTGCCCTTCATATTAGGTAGTGCGCTTCTGCTCCCAGCGGAATTCTGGGATGAAGGAAGTGAATTTGGTGGAGAGTCTGTTTCATCAACCTCAGAGAGCGATGTACTACTCCGTCGCCCGGAGCTCGCCTCTGACGGCGAAACTGTGTCAAATGGGTCAAAGAGAACAGGGGGAGGCGACGAAAGCGGCGATGAGCTCAAGGGAAGGGCTGCATCTGTCAAACGCCTATGAGTATGTGATCGAACCGTGGATGGCGAAATCATGAATTCAGCTGAGGGAGATGATGGAGGCGAACTATTCAAATCTGGCGAAGAGCGAGTTTCCGTCTTTGATTGCGGTGTTCTGAACTTTGTCCCAACCACAATTTGTGTGGCAGCTGTAGCAGCAGTGACAGCACTGTCCTCCAACAGTTCCGGACGATCTGTATGTTGAGGCAAAGATGGTCCATCCTGAAGCGCGTCTTGACAGTCATCTGGGCCAACTTTGACAGTTATCCAGTCAGGCTCGTTTATGGCATCCATCGATGTTTTCCTTCTTTTCGTGGGACGTGCATTATCTGCGGCTTCCTCGTGTTCATCATGGTCATCATGCTCGTCTTGTCGTGCCTGCCGAGAAGCAGCATCAAATTGTGCCTGGATCAGAGAGTATAACCCATTCTCTGATCGAAAGTCCTGTGCCAGTTAGCTACAACAGCCCGAAAAGTTCAGAAACGCGGTCGAGACGGTAGAGGAAGTTTCCGTACAGGAATACCAGAGTTGGTACTGATACCAGCACCAGTCACAACTACCACTTTCCGCGCTTTCAACAAAGCATTCGCAACATCTCCTAGGTGCTCCTCAGTTCCCGGTTTCACGTGCTGCGTTGGCATTTTTTACGAAGTTGAAGCACTTCTCCCCAGTGTGTTCTCCTTGAAGCACGACAAACGTGCGACCAGATAGCTTCTTAGAGAGACTGGAGCGCGATTCTAGGTCGCCTCTTGCCTGGGCAGAATTTCTGCGTATAATGCGCCAACCTAAACCGGAGCGCAAGATACCTCGTTAGGAACACTGGCTCGGGCTGGCATCGTGCGATTTGGGGGGACGATAGACGCGTTGTTGGGGGGAAAATCGAATCCGGTAATTGGAGGTAGCAACTGAGAGGTGTGGAGAGATTTGGACCTGAATCTGCAGTGGTTAAGAAGTGAAGTGAAGTGAATCAAGCGCGCCAGGTGTTCAAGCTGTATACCAAGTCTATCGGAGACGCGGTAGATGGGCAGCTGTCTAAGCCACGATGAACATAGGTATCCAAAAAGAAGAAGAAATCTAAACAGATATAAGATGTTCAATCAGACAAAATGAATAAGCCACCAAAATGCAAGTGCTCCGGCAGAGCATCGCAAATGCGTTGATTGAAGCCAAATCAAAGTTGACGCGCTTCCATGATGGGCTGTTATTGACGTCCATGGCGCGGTGGTTCCTTCCCTTCCCTGTTAATCAGTCCATGTATGGAGTACCAACCTTCTTTATCCGCCCGTCCCTGTCCCACTCCTACCCAGTCCATTGATTCGTTGAGGCTTGGTCTTTTAGCGGGTCTTCCCGAACGCTAGGCTACTGTGAGATGGACAAACAACACACCGCCCTGTGGCATTAATGGAGGAAGGTAGCTGCAACTTTGTACGGCTCCCTTCCACGATAGAACAATCACAGCAGGCTCACTGGCGGCAATCGTCCGTTGCGCCGACAGAACCGAGTTCGAAATTTTACCTGTCGGTGATTATAGCTACTTGGTGCTGTTTTGGGACAACCCAACGCTTCGCGAAAGCTCACTCTAGAAGCACTAAACCCGCGTAAAGAGGTTACTACCAGCAGACAGATCCGGGTTTAATGCCTGTTACCTCGGCCCGATTATGCGATATTTAACATGCCTCAAAAAAGCAAATGGGGAAGAAACCAAGGCATAGATCTCTCAGTTCAAGTTTTTGATGGTGCATTATAAGCACAAACGGTGGCCTGCTTCTACAAAATGGACTAAAGCACGATAACGCTGTTTATGGCTTAACGGTAAGTAGTTCTGTGCAGATTCTGTAATTCCACTAATAAATTTAACAAAAAATAAGCTCTCTAATTTGGTCTAGTTTTCTAATGTCAAAGGGCAAAATCTATCCCTACAGTCTGCTTTGGACAAAGTAGGGGATGTTCTGTGCCTCATACAAATCTTTGTGTGCGGCCTTGATCATATCGGCAGCCTGCAATGTGCATTAGCCTCAGCGACTATCTCGTAGTGTATCTGGGGAATTGGACGGTGTGAACATACTCTCTCGCCGATCATGTAGACCGAATTCTGGATGCGGCAATCAGGAATAACGGGAATCACGGAGGCATCAGCGATGCGCAGGTTCTTGACGCCATGTACGCGGAGCTCGGGGTCGACTACACCCTGGTGGATGCTCTTTGACAGACGGGCAGTTCCGCAGGGATCTATACAAGAGACCTTGTTAGCAGTTGGTACATCGATAAATTCACTAGAAGCACACTTACGGAACCCAGTCTGACTCCTGTCCAAGACGGCTCTCTTCATCTCCTCATCAGAATGAAGAGGCATCTTCCATGGATACTCTGAGACAACAATGTCCTTGAACCCTTCTCCCGTGGTCAAGAGATCATAAGTCCAGCGCACGCCCTCGCGCATAGCCAGGATATCCAGGTCATTAGCGAAGAAGTTGAGATTGATGTTCGGCTGGACAAGGGCGCTCGGGCTGTTCAAGGTGACCTCACCCTCGGAAAGCGGGCGCAAAAGGTCAACAATGACAGTCATGTAGCTGCCCTCCTCTGGGACGGGGTAATGCCACTGAAAGGCAGTGCTAAACATGCCAACAAAGTCGAGCTCGAAGTGAGGCTGCCCAGCAGGCCCAAAGGGGTCGAGGCCTCCGTTGGCAGCCTTTGCCTCGCGGTAGCTTTCGTGCTTGTTTAGCCGCTCATCAATACGAGGGAAGCCAACGAGTTCCAGCAGCCCAGAGCCGATAGGGCCGGTCTTGTCACGCTTATAAGAAGCCACGGCCTGGTCATTAAGAGGTCCCTTTCGGAGAATATAATCATCGAGCCCATAGCCATCTTTGATCTTAAGGACAAACGGAACAATAGGGTGGTCGAGAAGGTGCTGGCCGACATGAGGGGAGTTGACCTTGGTAGTGATGCCATGGCGAGACAGCTCGGCCGATGGACCAACTCCACTAAGCATAAGAAGCTTTGGGGTTTCAAACACTCCCTGGGATAGAATGACTTCCCGGCTGGCGTAGACACTTATCTCAGTGGCTGCGGCTTCGCTGACGATGGTCACTCCGACACAGGTGTTTGTTGACGGGTCGACGATGAGCTCCTTGGAGCGAACCCCATAGACAATGGTGACGTTGGGCTTGTTTTTGAGATACAAGAAACTTCCTTGGCGCTGGCCGTCGTAAATGGTGTCACAGCAGTGAGTAAGGCCCCGCATCTCACCCTCATAAATGTCTTCGGTAAGGCGCTCCCCCTTGGAGACCCAGGCTGTGGTGAGGGCATCGCGGAAAGGCTGCATCTCCGGGACCAGATCGGCATGGGCAATATTAATGGGGCCGCCGGTGCCAATCTTCTTTAGTTCAGCCGGATACAGCTTCTCGTCATCGTGGTACGTGGCACACTTGCGCAGGTAATCTACGCAGTTGTCCCAGTTCCACCCCTGGCCACCAAACTCCTGCCAGTCGTCAAACGTTGCGCGAGACCCGGGGATCCAAGTGAAATAGTTAGCGCAGGAGCTTCCACCAAGCACCTTGCCACGGGTGTTGGGCTTTTCGATTCGCTCATAATCATCGCGTTTGATCATGGTTGACTTGTAAGCCCAGTCGTGTTTGCTCCCTCGGAGTCCAAAGGCCTGTGAGGGAGTGGTGATGGCTTCAAGTTGATCGGGGTTGGGAGCGCCGGCTTCTACAACGAGGACGCGGACCTTTGGGTTTTCGGCGAGACGGCCGGCTACCGCATTACCAGCAGTGCCGCCGCCGACGACGATGAAATCGTATTCGTTGCCATTGGAAACTGTTGCCATGGTCTTTCGTTTCAAATCGATGTGAATATGAAATAAGGGTGGTTATGCTGACTGATGTCCAAGTTGTTGGGCCGATGATGAAGTGCGAGGATGTAATTGCTGGGCATTTTAAACGAAAACAGCACCCCATGATGATATATTTATACTTCTTTTCCCCTAATAATGATTTGATATAAAGACTTTCCAAAGGATACCGAAGTCTGGCGACAGGGTCGGGCCATCCGGGCCTCTCCATGTTGAAGTGGGCATGATGCTGTCATAGCGATTCCGTTGTTGGCCGCCTCGGTGCTTGTTGGCCTGCATCAAGAGCCAAATCCAGTAATAGTAAACAGGATCTACCCGCAAGGCTCCAATGAAGGCATTCGGAGTTGACAGGAGAAGCATTTGCCCCAGTGTCCCACCGTCGTGTCAAAACACCCAGCCTGCATTGTGGTTCCTCATCAAACGTAGACTTGCCCTTCGGCGTCTCGGGCTTGAAAAGTGGAATCCGTCCTCTTCAATGATTGGTGGGAATGGGAGCGCGGACTACTCTCGGCGTCTTGATCCAGCAATGGCGGAAGGATCGGGAAGGCTCCTATTGGCCAATTCATCATGGACGGCCAGGACTCGGCATCTTGAAAACAACATGGACGCGATGAGATTTCCTACAACGGTGCCATTACGAGGCTTCACACTTGTCCCGGGATGGTTTCGGCATTTCAAGTCCAAATCTCAACTGATCTGTGGGGCCGAATAATTTCTAAGAGGCCGATGAAGAAGTGTGAAAACAAATAAAATATTTTTCATAAAAACAAAAAAAGAAAGAAGCGCAATGCATATGAAAGGTGGATCTTGGCCATGGCGATAGGAGTAGTATAAGACTTGCCTATAATCCGTATAACATGGACTGAAGCTTCGAATATTGGTCAAGAACCTGGCATCAATCATCTGTTCTCCTGGATTTCCTCACACTTCAGGCTAACCTGCTGCAGCTCACAAGCTACAAACCAATATTCGCAATCATGTCTAAGCCGGTGTTTACACTCGCCGAAGGTACGCCTTCACTGTATACTCGCGGATTGAACATTTCTCACAAATTCGTCAAGGACAACCCCTTTCGGACCCTTCGGTCAGCACAACATTACCTCTATTTGGTGGTGGAAGCCTGACGACCTTGGGTGACACGCTTCTCCTCGAAACGTTGGCGCACTTTAACCGAGAAAGAATCCCAGAGCGGTTCGTACATCTCTTGGAAACTAATAACACAACCTGCCGATATTGTCTTGACAGTCGACACTGGCTAACTTGTCGTAGAGTGGTTCATGCCAAGGCAACCGGCGCATGGGGAGAGTTTGAAGTAACCAACAAGGACATTTCCTCCTTGACCACGGCCAAGTTTCTCAGCAGTCCCGGCAAGAAGACCCAAGTTCTCTTCCGCCTGAGCACAGTGGGCGGTGAAAAGGGAAGCGCCGATACGGTTCGTGATGTTCGAGGCTTTGCTGTCAAGTTCTTCACGGAACAAGGCAACTTTGACATTGTTGGCAATGACATTGTACGCACCCTCCTTTCCCCCCGTCTACGCCGGGTTCCGTCTGTGATTAATCCATCGGCAGCCCGTGTTCTTCGTCCGCGACCCCGTACGATTTCCCTCACTCAATAGAAGCCACAAGAAACATCCTGCGACGAACAGACCAGACTGGACCATGGTAAGTACCAACATGAAGCCATGTGCTCTCCTGCCTTGTGTACGTCAAGCTGATGCTGCATGTAGTTTTGGGACTTTCACGTCAATCAGCCAGAGAGCGCCCATACCCTGATGCATCTCTTCAGCACTCGCGGAATACCCGACTCGATCCGGCGAGTAAACGGCTTCGGCGTCCATACATTCAAGCTCGTCGACAACGAGGGCAACTTCAAATATTGCAAGTTCCATTTCCGCCCGGCCCAAGGCATCGGCCACCTGTCCGACCAAGAAGCAGAGAGCATGGCCGGCGTCGATCCCGACTTTCACACAAAGGATCTCTGGGACGCCATTGCCCGCGGCAACTTCCCCGTCTGGAAGCTGTACATTCAACTCATGGAGCCCCGTGACGCCGAAAAGCACGGCCGCATAGTGTTCGACATCACCAAAGTCTGGCCGCACAAGGAATTCCCCCTGATCGAAGTCGGCCAGATGACGCTCACCCAAAACGTGCGACCCCGACAACCCAAGACGATAGTTGACGAGCTTGACTAACACTGCCACAGCCAAGGAACTTCTTCGCCGAGATCGAGCAAGCCGCCTTCTCGCCGTCCAACCTCGTCCCTGGCATCGCCGCATCCCCAGACCCAAGTAAGCAAGCGCCTCCCAAAACAAACACAAGTCGCTCATGACTTTCGAATCGCAGTGCTGCAGGCTCGCATGTTTGCCTACCCCGACGCCCAGCGGTACCGCCTCGGCGTCAACTACGCACAACTACCCCCGAATCGACCGACTGCCCCCGTCTACGCGCCATACGAGCGGGACGGAGTAACCACGAGCTCAAACTACGGAGGGGATGCGAATTATGTCCGCGGCACTCTCGGCCCGGGCGTGGCCTCGCGCTCTGCCACCACGCAGATCAGACACCTCGAGCGAGTTCACCCGGCTGCCACCCTGGGACTGAACGAGCTCGCCGTGACAGAGGAGGACTTTGAGCAGCCCAGAGTCCTGTGGCAGAAGGTCTTTGACGAGGCGGAGAAGGCGCGCTGGATATCCGCCGTCAGCGAGACGTTGGAGGGTGTTCCTCCTCCTCTTCGAGAAGCAGTGCGGTCGCTGTTTAGTCGGGTCGATGCGCAGATTGGGCAGCTGCTGTCTGCCGAGGACAAGGAGGCCTCGCATCTGTAGTATTTATTGGCCAAGAATAAGCCCAAGCGGCACTGTATATAGCGCTAATAGACTATCCCGCTTCATAAGATTCTAGCATAGGGGGAACATGGATGTAGATGCCGAATGGAGGGGAGAGATTCGTGTTTCAACTAAATGTAGCCAACATTCGGAAAACGTACAAACACCGTCACGGCATAGATTTCGTCTACCATGATTCAGTGTATTATATCATGTATTATATCAACTCTAAACGCCAGTAGGCATCTCCATGCCATGCCCTAACCAGCAAACCCCGGGCTTCAGCCCGTGGCACTCTATTTCTCAGACAATGACAAAAATTAGGGGCCCATCCCGTTAAACTCGGCTAGTCCATATTCACCAACACGTCCATAAACTTATTAAAGTCGTTGGGCACGCCAAGGCCCGTAATCGCATCATACCCCTCGGTGGCAGGCCAGCCACCGGGCTCCTTTCCCCCAGAGAACTTGCACGAGAAGCTCTGTCCGGCCGTGATGTCCTGCAGGACCTCACGAACCTCGTCCGAGTACAGCCTCTCGTTCAACCAGCCCAAGACGGGCTTCCCCTGACGAACGCGCGCGTCATTCACCAGGGCAATCATGCCAGCGAGGACGGGGGTACTCGCGCTGGTCCCATCAAGCATAAAGGGGGACCCGTTGATGACGGTCTGGAACCGGGTGCCGATGGCGGAAATGTCCGGCACGGCACGCATGCTCGAGTTATAGTAGCCCTCCAGGTGACCGTCAAGTGCGTCGACGTACTCGCTCACAGCGGCGTCCTGCCAATCCGGGCGCTCAAAGTAGGCTGAGAAGCCGCCGGAGCTGAAGACGGATCCGTTTGGCGGCTCCTGGCCGTTATTAACGGCGCCGACAGACGTGACCCAGGGGCACGAGGCCGGGAAGGTCGAGATGGTCATGTCCTTGTTGCTCCCGTCGTTGCTGCGGCAGGTCGCATTTCGGCCGCCCTTGGCGCCGCCGTCGCCGGAGCCGCTGAGGACGGACACGCCGCGGCTGGTAAGCATGCCAATCTCGTTGCAGACGCGGATGGCGTAGGCCTTGGGCACGGAGAGCTCGTCGTCTGCGTACGAGATGGATAGCACGTGGGGGAGCTCCTCGTTCTTCTTAGAGGAGAGGTGGTGGAAGAAGTCGAGGTAGGGTTCGTTGTCGTCCAGCTCGCCGGTAAGAGGCTCGCCGTTGTCGCCAATCTTGGCACCGCGGCCGCCGGTGGAATAGTAGACAACGTTTGTGGGGTAGCCAACGGCCATGCCGAACTGGATGTCCAGGTTGGCCTCGGATCCGGCGGTGCCCAGGTCCTGTTGGTTCTCGCCGCCGTTGATGAGCTCCACGGTGAAGTTGTAGCCGGCCTTGACGAGGTCGGGCCGCGAGTGTTCAAAGCTCCGCCTCGTGTCGTCGTAGTTGGCCCATTGCTCCAAGAAACCGGCGATGCCGAATCGAATGCACGACTTGCCGTCGGGGGTCGTGTAGTTGATTCCGTACAGCTTGTTGATGCAGTCGGGAGTCGTGGCGGGCGAGCAGGCGACATCACGGCGGTGCAGGCCCGCGTCCTCGGCCAGCGGCGGTGCAACGGATACCTCGTGCTCGGGCGTCATAAAGTTGGCAATGGGATGAATGAAATCTATGGCTGTGTCAAGGGAGTCGGGGATGTTGTACTCGGGGGCGCGAAGAATGGGCTTCTTGCCGTCGTACGAGTACCGGCGAAGCTGCATATCAAGCAGCTTATTTGCTTCGCCAACAGTCGTCGCAACGCGGATCCAGTCCGTGTCAACCTTGGCCTCGGAGACGCCATTGCTCGATAGCCACTCCATGACATGGTCTACATCGTCTTGTGCAGGCGTTCTGAGAGACCGCGTGTCGCCCATGCCCAGCAAGCCGTTGGCGAGGATCTTGGATGCCAGCCCGTGCATCTCGGGCTGCCTCAGCGCAATTGAGAACCGCATTGGCGTCGAGGGATCGGGTATCTCGTCAAGCATCTGCCATCCGTCGGGAATCGTCGTGGCCTTTTCGAGACATATGGCACCGGCACCGAGACGGGCAAAGGCGCACGCCGTCATCAACAGAGTCAGCGCCATGGTGAGGTGACGGTTGCTGATGATGTCTGGTGTGTGATGTAGATCAGGCGCGATGTTATATTATACCGCGGGATGCCAGTGTAAGCGTAATGGTAGGAACATTGAAGTCGGTAGGCAAATATATGATGCCACCACGGACCGGTCACTGCAGCCTGCAATCTCCATGGAAGCTCGTGAAACCTGAGCGCGGGAGACAATAACAATACATACCAGACTACTTCTGGCAAACACATGTACTAGTATTCCTTGAATTTGGAAGGAGCCAATGGGCAGGCCGTTGCCCCTGATGTGAATGCAATGTCTTGCATTTTTCCAAGACATACGTGGACCAGAATGGCCGTGCGCGGGTTTGTCAAGGCCATCGAGCCCCTTTTCGCCCTGAACTACTGGAATGTCAGGCCAGTTGAACAGTGAGCCGTGTAACTAGGCAAAAGTTTGCATCAGATCGACACGGGTGCCGCAACAGACAATGGGGTGAAGGAACGGTCAAGGTGCCGTGTTTCTCGAGCCATTCACCGTTGGTCCGGGACCATGACGTTGTTGACGGCTTCAACTCGCGACGCGCCAGTTTTCCCGACGCCAGATCCGCCAACGATCGCCTAGGCCCTCAAGTGCTAGTACTAGTAGTACTAATATCAATAATTAAAGGAGCGGCTGTTTGGACCTCCAAGTGACCTCATCTTCCGTGTGGATTGTGGCTGGCTGCTCCGGCGCGAATCGGTAATTCCACAACGCTCATGGCGCGGCTCGATGCTTCACGGCTGCGAGGCACAAAAACAGCGCGAGTGCAAGGACGCACTAGTACATCAGTTTGCTCGTGACGGGCGCCCACAACAGATGGTTGTGCCGAAGCATCGGGGACACCAAGCGGAATGCCTCCCACTAGTTCGCAGAAATGGTGACATCTGGGCACCCTTTGGTGCACCCAGCGTCTTGGCAGGGGGAAACAGCTGCAGCGTAAAGGGACAATGGTGTATCCCGTGCCAAGTCGATTAGTTGATCGACATGTTGGCGGTTGTGCTCCCATCCAGCGTTGTGTTCTTGTCCGGCCCATGACGGAATACTTGACAGACAGAATCAAGGATGGACACTGTCTTTTTGAGAATCGCGCCCATTGACTGCTCGCCCTCTGAAAAGACCAGACAACTTGGGGCTGCGGCTGACCTGCTCACTTCCAAAGAGGCGTCAATATGTCGGGTTGGCAGGGACAACCCCATGAATATGCATATGCATACCTTGACTCTACATCCCAAGCTTCAAACGTTACCAGACTGATACAATCTTCCTCGTCTCTGTTGGACCAAGGCCAATACAGGCCGCCAACTCCATTTGATGGCTTTCCATGCCGGGGCCAAGGTAATTTCCGGCCCCGTGTCCTCCATACAACATGACCGAATCCAGTAAACCCTCGCATTCAAAGGCAACTGCTGCCGCCAGACTTGTAGTTGACTACATTGAATATTTCAAGAGGACGCCACTTGCTGGCGGGGAGAGGGCGACTGGTCCTCTTTATTCAATCGCCCGGCACTGGGCGAGTCATTTAGCACAAGGTCCATGTGCCTGGTCAGGGTTGGGAATCGGGCACGGCGCTGGAACCTCACCTGGTCCCGGGCTGATCCAGGGACCACCAGTGCTTAGTCCTAGGGGATGGGACGAACTGAAGGTGTTTGCGGCTGGACGAGGAGGTGACTTGTGGTGCTGAACTCGGTGCATCGTTGGTTCAATACTGTGTGGATCAGTAGTACCAATTGATGGTTGTACGGAGTACTTGTATTGTATCCTCCAGGTGCAAAATCAGCATCCTATGCCCTGGTAACTGAGACGTCCATGTACATACACTTGCATGTAGTTGGGCGCCACAAAGCGCTGACTCTCTGGCTGGGATGAAGGGCTGACCAGTTGACCTTTTTGCTGTGATCATCACAGTGGGCAAAGGATCAGAAGAAAACATTCGATCTGGTAGTTCTGCCTTTATTAGCCATTGATGGCCTTACACGCGGGTCAAGTTGCCTCCCTGCAACAAGTCTGGTTGTCGGGCAGTTACACCGCGGTCCTTGGAAGAGTCATCTGAAACACCCGCGACATCCATTTCGCCTTGAAGGGTACACATGTGCTTTCTTGCATACGTCCGGTATGTATTTGTCCCCCCACAGCCCTGCGTAAGCGCACCAGACACTGTGGACGAACAGGGCTATCCGAGAGACACGAAGCAACCCGCCATTTCCGTCTGATGGGTGAATGTGGATGTGAATGCAATCCTTAGTCCTCAAAAGGATGTCCCGTGTGCCTATTCGAGAGCAGCAGCGTAGTAGTTCGTTCCGGGGTTATGGCCGTGATTCCGGGTTTACAACGCTCCTAGCCCCGGCTCACCGCCGCAACATGTAAATCCCTCTTCACGTTCGTCTCCATTGCCGGTAACAAGTTATACCAGATATCCCACACTTCTCCCATCATCAGCCCGCTCGAGTTCCACCGAGGCCTCGCCACCATCTCCGGTTATGGCATGGCTTCATGGGTTGGCCGCTGTCCTATCGAATCTCAAACTTTACTCGCGATCCTCTCGTCGTAAGCTTTGGCCCTAGCCACGGCAGGCGGGGCACTAAAATGCCGACTTCCAGCTCCCAGGCCCGAGGAGCCGAAAGAAATACAAGTTGACCTCTCCAGTTCTCAACTGTAGAATCCTGTGGATCGGGTGTGGGATACTGGTACCACGACGTGCATGTCAACTCCGTGACCGAGGCATGCCAGCGCCGATCCCATGACTAGTTCATCTTGGACATCTGGACCCAGATATCCAATGAGGGCTCCCCGGGGCAAAATCTACAAGCATCATGATACTGTGACGGTGACTTGTGGCGTCGTTTCTTGCTTTCCTCATGAGACCCAGTGGAGTATGTTGTCGGATACAAAGAATCCTATTTGATGAAGGGCAAGTTGCGTCGATGAAACTAGTTCTACATGCTGCAAACATAATCTTTCATCCTGTGCGAAACCCGGCCCGTCGGCATTTCTGCTGTGCTGTGCTGTCCCCCCAAGACGCAACATATATACGCGAGCCCGTCCTTTCTGGTCGAGTTTTGCTGCTTCTTCTCTCTAGTCCCCCCAGACTACACCAGACCCTTTGTCCCTGGCTAGCAGAAACAAAAACGTCATGACGGGCATCAATCATTTGAACGTATACTCCGGGCCAGACTCTGTGAGAAAATACTTTGATCCAGAATGCCAACCACCACTGCCGCTGGTCGAGATCCCAGAATGCCTCAACCCCTACAGGGCCGATGGCGTGCGCATCTACGCCAAGATGATGTCGATGCATCCGGCAACCAATGTCAAGGTCATGCCAGGTGCGTTTGTCTTGACCTTGTTGCCACCGTACATCACATCCTGTCCAAGGACTAAATCTGTAGACCAGCCATGAATCTGCTGGAAAAGTGCATTGACAAGGGGAAAACCACTACCGTGGTGGAGAGCTCGTCCGGATCAACCGTCATTTCCATGGCAATGGTCGCCCGAGCCTTTCACGGCATCAACGACGTGCATGCGTTCCTGAGCAACAAGACGAGCGAGACCAAGCTGCGCCTGATGCAGTTCTTCGGCCTCAACGTGTAGGGATCATGATGCCGGTTCCCCTCTGTCGCAATTAATTCTAATGGCGTCGCATAGAACTCTCTTTGGCGGCCCGGCTCAACCAACGCCCGTCGATGAGCGAGGAGGTATTCGTGCGGCTTCCCGCAAGGCCGCCGAGTCGGAATCTGTGTGCAGTCCCAACCAGTACCAGAACGATGACGTGAGTTTCGCCGCTCCTGATGGGTGTGACGAGAATCTAACAACTCGCAAACAGAACTGGAAAGCCCATGTCCGCTGGACCGGACCGCAGATCCATAAACAGTTGCCCAATATCAATGTTATTGCGGCTTCTATGGGCACATCCGGTACGACAATTCCGTACTTTTCATGTGTATGCTGAGTGGTTCGACCGACTGTTTATACTGACCAAGACGGACCAGGCACCATGACTGGTCTCGGCACTTACTTCAAGCAAGCCAAACCGTCGGTTTACCGAGTTGCGTAAGTCCTGTCCCCCGGCTCCTCCGTTGTCCTGGCCATACTGACGGCCACCCCCCCCCCCCATGCAGCGTCTGTACGAATGCCGGGGAACGAGTCCCTGGGCCCCGGGAGTACTCTCTCATGAACGAAGTCAAGTTCCCCTACAGGGCCGCCGTCGACGCCCTGGAGGAAGTCGGGGCAAAAGAGTCGTACAGCCTCTCCTTAGATCTCACCAGACAGGGCATCGTGTGCGGGCCGTCTTCCGGCTTCACCCTGCAGGGCCTGTTTCAGCGTCTGGAGAAGAAGAAGCAAGATGGAAGTCTGTCGCAACTGGCCGGCTCCGACGGCGAAATCAACTGCGTCTTCATCTGCTCGGACCTGCCCTACCAGTACCTGAACGAGTACTTTCAGAATCTCGGGCCCGAAAAGTTTAGCCCCCTGAAGAACGAGGTATACAGATATATCCATCCGCGTGTGATTGTGCTCGTCCAAACCCCCTCGGTGAACTGACTGGCAAAACGCAGAGACTTCGAAACGTCGATCTCTACCGATACGACGACGCGTGGGAGAGAGGCGCGCTCGACGCCTTGGCCGACTTCTTCGCCATCCAGCCCACGGCAAGCAACTGTACTGTGCTCTCGCTTGCGGCCGGCGGCCCGCGGGAGCTGGGGAAGCATCTCGCCGCCAGGCCGAATACCCAGGTCCTCGACTTTCGCCGCGCCGCCGATTTCGACGCCTTCCACCTGCCCAACTCGGTCAACGTTCCTCTCGAGACTCTCAGGGACGGGGCGGCTCGCGGCAGTCCCTTTGCCCACCCGGTGGACGACGGCACCATGCTGGAAGAACTGTGGCTCGAGCTTGAGGCTATCTTCACTGCACGGGACAAGGACGGGAAGAGGAACCCGGGCGCCGAGGCCCTGATGGGCATTTTGAGGAACAAGAAGGTCCTGACCATCTGCTACGATGGTGATAGTGCTAGGGTTGCAAACAGCGTGCTTCGCCACAGGGGCATTCGGGCGGACAGCATTTCGGGAGGGATCGCGGCCCTGTCAAAGGTCCAGCTTCCCAATGCCGGTGCCGCCCAGCAAGCAAGTCATGTTGTCTCTGTTGAAGCCTAAATGCGGGCATGGGGTCCATCATCGCCCTGCAGTATCGATGAGTTTGTGCTTGATGGATCCCAGGAATGGGTGCCGATGGCCGTATTCCAAGGTTTCTTTGGACATTTATTCTGATTCTTGGTTCATTATTCGACCTCGGTCGATGGGGGTTTTGTCCAGAAGAGCAGTAGGCTTCTGGGACATCGTTCAACCTTTTTTTTTTGCTCCTTCCTACAGCTACTCATCACGAAACCTTCATTCACGGGTGCAAACTAGATCGAGACGAGCGGTGAAGGCGTGTTTCCGAAGCTCTGGGACGAGCAATGGGCGTCTTGCAGGGTCGTTGGCCGGGCGAAACCAAACAAAACGTTTCCTTCTCGTCGTTCTTTCTGACTCTATCGTCCGTATGCTAACGGGACGTGGATTAGATTATGGACATGAGCGCCTTTTGCTTTACTCATTTAGTAAGAAGCGCGTTGGCATTTGGCGACCCGCTGCTGGGTCTGGTCTTGACTTAACAAGCTTGGCATTTCGAGATGAACTGTCTCTTCAAGCCTTTTCCGCCCACGAAGCAATAGTCTTGTCAACCCCTGATGTTTAGAAGTGCGCAGGATTTATGTTGTGAGATCGCCCTGGCTTGAGGCTCTCGTGTACTGACGTGCTGACTTGGACATGTGTGTTGGCCTGTTTCGTGAATCCTCTTGCTCATGCCTTGCCAACACGTCGTGCGACGAGCACTTTGGACCAAACTCGTCTTGAAATAGTTGATCACTAGTGGTGCAAGCCCTCCCAGCCATGATATCCGCAGCTCATCCAATACTATTGTTATTTTTCGTCCAAACCACGTAACTCGCTGACCTTGTTTGCCCGCACACGAGCCCATCTCATAAGCCCTAGAGAGACAGGATGGTTGCGGCGAAATTTCAGCTTGATCCCAAGACCCGACTAAGCAGAACGCTAGCCAAACCATTGAGAAAGCGCAATTTGTGTCTTGCATCCAATCCCCAGCACCGCGGGAAGCCAACAGCCACCATACGCCATTTCACTTCTCATCAAATGCCCCTGTGACTAGTATGGTGGCTTGCCGCCATGTCCGCAGACTACAGGAAAGCCACAGCCCGTGTGGCAGCCACTGGCCAGATTCGGCACTCCGGTGCTCATTGAAGGCCTCGTGGCCGTCGTAGTGGTCCCGTCAAGGCAATGCAGCCCGGCAGCTTTATCCCAGCCTGTCTGTTGTTGGTGCTCGCCTCGTCGTTTGCTTGGGTCAGTGTGTGAGAAGCATGACTTGAAATTCAGTTATCCTGATGATGAATGTTGCAGAAAATCTCACTGATACACGGTGCCAAGGGACGATTTCGCTGAGAGTACTACTCCGGACGGACATCTTTGTCCTGAGGGTCGTGAGAACTAACATTGAAGTCTTCTCCACTGTGACCCATCACGATGCTGACGACGACGAGGCACGGCCATGCCACTCGCATAGTGGGGAGTCCGTCGCCCTGACGAGCCTTGTAATGGCCAGTCGTGTAAAGTGCGCATCTGCCCGTTGAGTGCTCTGTACTCTGCAGACTATCGCGCCTCGAGGCGTCGGTGTGTCGTCCGACCTCCCGCAACAAGGCCTCGTCAGCTTCCTTTGCCACCACGATGACCCCTTTTACCCGACAACGTGGTTCCAATCCACCTTCACTCTGTAGTGAAACACCAAAAACGCCAATTCCATAAATGAGTTCGAGACCCGATAGCCGGTGGCATCGAGTGGCGCTTGCCCACTATCGGTCTTGGTGAGCCTGGAACTAGCGACGGATGGCACGCAAGGCCCTTTCATCTCGTTCTTTTTTCTTTTGTACCCTTTGTTCCACTACCGGCCCAACAGCCACATGGATAAGCAGCTGTGGGCGGCACTACCGAGGATGGATGACTGTGATACCGAGACTGTCGTCGCAAAAACCCAGCCGTGGCTGGAACAAAGTCTCGCAAGACGTCGTCGAGACTCGACGCACTCGCTCACTCGGCTCGACGTGACGACTGGCTGCCCATGCTTATGTAGCATCAGCATCGTATTTGAGCTCCATTGATCAGAGCGAGGACTGCCTACCTTGGTCCATGTGTACGGAGTAGCTGCAGGTCTTGCAGGGTTGGGTTGTGTTGGCAAACAAGCTCTTCCTGAGCTTTTGTCCGTTATCACAACCCTGGTCCGATTGACACAATTCATCAAAGGGACACAACACCCATCTGATGGGCCAGGGCTAGATGGTGGGGTGACAAGGCGCATCGTGTGCATTGTGTGATGCACCAACAAGCACGAAAGAGAACAAGAGACAGGGAACAGGGCTGTGCGTCCTTCGGTGGGATGGGGATCGTAGCTGGGCGTTGCGGAGCGCCTCCACCGGGTAGTTGGGCCTGCGGTAGGTCGGCATCATCTGATCATTGATATCAAATGGCTGGTTTACTTAACTACGACTTCCGCCGTATCATCAGAGGCAGTCTCGTTGATGTTCGCCTTTTTTTGATACACCCAGGAATTAAAGTGCCGGCGGTGAGGCTTTTTTTATTTATTTACTTATTTACTTATTTGTGTTGGTGGTTGTTTCTTCTTCTTGTTTCATGTTTCATGCTTCCATGGTCTTGTTTCTCTCCCACCCTCTGTTCATGTTGTGTCTCCCGCCTTCTTGTTCGCCCGTCTGGTGAGACAAGCTGCAGAAAGGAGCAAATAACAAGGAACGCCGCATCTCTTTGCCCTGCGCGTCGGTTCTTGAAACCGGTTTTGACCTAATTTGCCTGCCATGCAGTGAGCCGGCGATCCGAACCAAGATTCAACCAACAGGCAGGGTCCTGCCACTCTGTGTCGGAGAATACTCGACTCTCTCACCTTGGTCTCTGCATCGCCACTTGTGTCCTGCTATATCGCAGCCTGACGCGTATATTTGCCTCGGACTCTTTCTGCTTTCTTCTTTGGCCGTTTTATCTTCTTCATCTCTTCATCTCGTTCCTCTTGGGCTGTGCTGCCTCCTCAAGAATCTTTCATCTCTCCATCGCTTGTTGAGAAGAGAAAAAGAAGAAAAGAAGAAAAGACGCCGTTCTAGACCCGGCACTTCTCGTCATGTCCAGATCGTGGAGCAGACGGCATGCACCTGCAGGCCCAGCGGCAATGCCTCCAGCTACACCGCAACCCCAACCCGAACCCCAACTGCACCAGAAGCATCACCACCAGCCGCAACAGCCAGAGCAGCAGCTTCGCCGCATGACATCATTCACACAGCGCCTTCGAGGCCGCAAGCCTGTGTCCCCCACCGCCGCAACCACAACCACACCACAACCAGAGGCTCACGACGCAGCTCCAGCTTCGGGACAGCTTCGCCGGCGACCGGCCTACATCCCCACCCACGCAGCCGCCAGCTTCGCGAGAACCGTGTCACCGCTGTCGACGCCTCGTATCGACGAGCGGGATGAGCTCGCGTGCGACGAGACGTCGTGGTCGCCCAGGATGATGCACTCCACATCCGCTGCAAGGGGGCGCCACGTTCCGTCAACCACCACAACCACAGCCGCGAGCACCAGTCCCTCTGCTGCCTCGCACCGCGCACAGTCCGACGTTGGCGAGCCGCCGCTCGACGACGACGACGACGACTACGCCGCCTTTTTGGCCAAGGCCGAGGCGAATGACCATGCCTTTCGCTCGCGATGGGCCCAGAGGGAGAGGGAGAGGGAGAGGGAGCGCGGGCAGCAGTGGGCGCTGTGCAGTCCCGCCGCCTCGCCGCCGGGCTGCTTCAAGGGCACGGCGCAGAGGGACAGCGCCTATTACTCGGTCGCGTCCGTGTCGCCGAGCAGCATGAGCGGACATGGGAGCGGACCGCAGAAACAGGCGCTTCACGGCCGTCGGTCTGCGCCTGTGCCTCTGCCCGTGTCCACGTCCATGCCCGCGTCCACGTCCACGTCCACGCCCACGTCACCGCGGGCTCTGCATCACAAGCCGAGCAAGACCCTGGGGAGGCGTATTTCCGAATACTTCAAGCCTTCATCAAAGGCCGGCGTGGCTACAGTTGCATGAGTGAATGAATTCAGCGTGGGGAGGGCTGGGATACATAATAATAATACTACCTACCTCGGTATGTAGGTAGTCGTAACGAGGCATGATATCAATGATTGCAAAGCGCGGGCGGTTACAAAGGATTCCGGTAGATACGCATCTTGTTAGAGTAATATATTCCAATGGGGAATAGTCAACATTCCTCTTTACACCAAAGTACGGCCACACAAATCGGGTGCCCAGTGAAACCAGTTTTGTCCAACAATAATTCTCAGAAAGAAAAAAGAGAACCCCGCGGTGACCCCTTCCGTTTTGTTTTCAAGTCCGATATGCCCCGTGGTCCTTGCAATTCAACGAATCATGTCCTGGCCAAATCTCACAAGGCCAACCGTCGATGAACAAGAAATAAAAGGTTCAAACGGTTCGCTTCCCATCTCCACCTTCAACGATATTGCCCCAATACCAAGAGACCCCAAAGAGGTGCTGTGTTGTCAAACCAGACCCTCATCAACTCCACAATGTCCAGGGATGAAATAAAAACAAAACCCGAAATGCAAGATATCCAAACACGACATGTAATGAATATGGCATAAAATAAAGAACAACATGATTAAGAGGTATCCCCGCATAAATGAATGCAAACCCACTTCCATATGCTGGATTTTGTCATAAAACTTCGTTAAATGTGATATATGCTAAATATCGTATCGTCTGCCCCTCCCTTCAGAAGCATTGTTGCCCAAGGGCAACGGCCGTCTGTGGAGTCCATCCGAAAAAAAAAAATGAACCACTCGCGTCATTGAGGATTATATTCCCATGGCGCCGGCTAGTCGATTACGGCCCGGCGGTAACTGGATCTCTTCGTCGTCAGAACTGTCCGCCAGCTCTGCTCCAGCATGATCCAGCATCCGCTCAATATCCTCGTCTCGCAGAGCCTTTCGGGCAGTGCCGTTGCCGAGACCGAGACCGCTGGGCAATGACAGTGTGGTTCTGTGTCGGCTCGCTAGACTCGTAGCCTGCCGTTTTGGCGTGGATCTGCTGTGGGCGGCATAATGCTGTTGCTGTGGCGAGTCAAGGTCCATAGGTGAGTGTGGCGGAGGCACGCCGGGTGACTTGTCAAATCCGACCTTCTTGGCTGAAGAGGGAGGCCGGCTTCCCGGCAAACCACGTCGAGGTCCAGACGGAAGAGCATGCCGTTCACCAACGCTCCTCGGAGGGGCGCTTGGCTGTGGACCAGGCGAGCCCGATGGCGAAAAAGTGTGTTTTAAGCTGGCCGAGTTTCCAGGACTACTCATAAACAAAAGCGTCTCAATGGCATCTTGCTCCCTGACGTTCTTATGGTGTGGTGAGTACATGTTGGCATCCAAATGACTGTGCGATCTTCTGATTCCGTTGCTAATGGGCGTGGTCTGCGCAGATGCATTGGCGGATGCTGAATGCGAGTGAGACAGCATAGTGGGTGTATATCGAGGGTTAGAATTCCGTCGTGGGTTCGACCTCGGAGCAGGCATCGAGGAAGATGGCTGGATAGACGCTGGCGGAGCCAAGGTTGGCTTATCAAAGTTCGCAGATGGCGGAGAATTCGATTTGCCCTTATAGTTCATCGATTCGTAGGTGAACTGCGGGTGAGAAGGCGTGACTGTCGAAGGCAAGCGCGGGCTCGCAGACGATCCCTTCCTTCGATGTACAGTGGATGTGCTCGAGGCTGGTGATGTGGCCTGGGAGGCCAGACTTTCAACCTCGTCCAGATTTCTAGCCTGCCATCCGTTGTTCACCTTGACCATAGCGTAGGACAGTCTTGTCCGCAACTCTGCAGAAAGCTGTACCAAATCAGCATCGGCGCTCAGGCAGCAGGACAGCTTTCCCTTCGAACTCATACATACCTCACCTATCGTACTTCCGGCTGTCGAGGCAACGCTGACAGTACTAGTAGTCCGGGAATGTCCTTTTACCGGACTCATGCTTCCTTTACGATCTTTGACCTCGCCGTCAGCCATCCTCTTTCTCGGAAGCCCGGCGGCATCTAGCCCCAGCCTATCTTGCACAGCAGCAATGGCAGATAGTTGGTGCAGCTGGCTATCTTGACTAGATACACCCGTCGTCACTTCCGGGCCAACATTGGCATATCTGTTTTTCAACATGGCGGTTACCTCTGCAACCGGAGGACGTTCCACGCCACTACCCGAATCGCTTCCAGGGGGTGTGGCAACCTGGTCTGTTGCAGAGGACGCGTTGGAAGTCTGCGAATCAGTAATGGACTGGGTTTGGCTCTGGGACGAATTGGTGCCACTGTCGTGCCCTGAAGGCGCCAATTGATCTTGCCCGTGGACAGGCTGGGAAGCTGGGTAAGGATCAATATCCATAGCGCTAACCACCGCCAGGATATTCTTCTGGGCGGTTTGCGAGTTCGTGATCACGGTTGGGGCGAAATTCAAGCAAAGCTATCGAAAGCCGCGCGTGCCTGTCTATATCTTGTGTTTCAACAAGAATCTCGATGTCTCGAGGCGACTATTCGTATTGAGAGGGGTCTCGGGTGTTGTATTGCCGTGGACAATGCAGTACAACGCTTCCAGCTCTATCAAGGACGTTGCCGCGCGTGTTGCAGATGATGACACGGCGGCGAGTCGCGAACAATGGCTGCCGGTCTCTTGTTTCCCTGTGGGAAGCGCGACAAGAGCTTTGATTCGCAGTCACGCGACAGGTCCAGCGAAGAACGGGCGAGTAGCGATCAAATGAGTGTCGGGGGCGATAGACGGATCAAATCGCGGCGTTGCTGGCTCTCGCGAAGGCGAAGGTGACTGCAGCCTTTGGAGTGGAAAGTGGGAGCCTGCGACAAAGCGTGGCCGCCGTACGCCTCCTGTTGAGCACTGAGGCCTGCTGACTCTTCAATGTGGTTACGCGGTCCGGTCGCGACGGATGCGGGAGGACGACGATTCGCTGTGGCGCCGCGTTGGAGGTCCATGCAGTCCCGTGCATGTGGGCGCAGCGCCCGAACAGGACATGAGCGTCTGGAGAAGACGCAATATTGATGCAAGTACCGTTTAGAGGTACATGCATGTGTACGGAGTACTCTGCCCGCACAATCTAAAGCCCAGGCACCTGTACAAAACCCCGTACAAGGCAGGGCTTAGGTTCCCAGGGCTCCTGATGTCCCAGACTCCAATACATCCAAGTACTTTAAGTACTAAGTAGACTTGCCTAGAACTCTGACTGAGATACCCGTTGGCAACCAGACAAGTAATAAGTGACTCGTCCTTGTAGTCGCTGACGGTTACTTGGTATGAACTACTAGTACTTAAGTCTAAGTATAAAGTACTTGGAAGTAGTCTGGTCTTCTGTGCGCCGCCACAAGACCCACTGAAGATGGCTTGTACCATTGATCACTAGGCATTGATCAGATGGCACCAGACTCGCCACCTAAAGTGTCAAGTCAAGTCAACATTGAATCCAGGCTGGATTGATGTCTTGTTCCCGCTGGTGCCCGTACTCGATCGAGTTACAGGGCTCTTGCCGTGAAAACTTGGCATTGAAGGCCACTCTGGATGTCCTTAGATTCAGTAAGCCCTAACTAACGTTTGAAATCCTTTGTGATTCTCAAAACGTGCCTGGTGAATCGTCAGGTGCCTCAATCTGCTCGTGCGTGCATCCTAAATACTGTAAGTACTCCGCAGCCATTCGCTGATGGCGTGCTAGTACTTAAGTACTTAGGGAAGCAAACATTGGAACAGCGACAAAAAAAATTAGAAAAAGCCTGATGGCTGAGAAAGGTTAGTCGCCCAAAACAAAAATCCACAGGCTCGTGTTGGCTCGCTTCCACGCGAGTAATTGGCCAACCTTGAAGGTTCAACGTTATCTTTGGTGCGCTCTTCCGAGTCGTTCGGCCGCAACATTTGCACGCCGGATATGAATTGGTCCATCGGGACAAATGAACATGGATGTGTGCTGCAGAAGATTTTGCACTGCAACCTTGTTGTGTTTCCCGCCGCATCTGCGTGCTTCTGTACCAGGACGGGAGTGGACTTGACGGAGTCCTTGTAACATTGAACCCATTAGCCATGCAGGCCAGTCCCCATGTCCACAGGCTTCCACTCTGCATGGTCGTTCATGTGAGGGAAACATCAAAATCCAACTGATGGCATTGTACGTACATACAAATACTGTGGCCACGCACGGAAAGGTGACCATGTGATCCTTTGGCTACTGGGTATTCGTCTTTCAGGGCATGTCCCAGGCTGGGCGCTCAGACCGGCTTAAATTTATCGAGAAACGCGTGATCACGTGTCTCGAGGTAACGCAGTCTACGCCGGAAGGACATGGGTTCCCTGGCTTGAGGACGGTGTACAGCACAACACAACATTATTTTCTCACCAAAATCATCGACAACAACATCAAGACGCACTTGAGCTCGTCTTCAATGGCGGTGGTCCCACTTGCCAGCCCACCAATTTGGCTCATTGGCGTCCTTCATATTTACCGTATTACCGTATGTATACGTAAAACGTGGCTCTATCTCTCATTGGACCACTAACCACAAGCTGGCTCGTCCCCTCCGTCCTTGTAACCATATGCGCCGCCATCTAGAATGACATCTTCGTTGTCATCAAGATCGTCTTGTACCCTTCGCCAGCCCTTCTTGCGCTCTTCCCGGCTCCTGGCTGCCCCAAAATCCTTGTCCTTGCCCTTCACCTCAAAAACAGGTCTCATAAGTGAGCCCAACAACGGGTTTCCGCTAAAGGCTCCTCCATTTGTACGATTTTGTCCCCCGGTATTCCCAGATGTCTCTCCCAATACCCCTTCATCGGGTTCGCTATCAACGCCGTCATCCGGGGTTACTGGTCTCTCAACCGCAGCCATCTTCCGTACTACTCTGCCTCCGACTAGGTCAATGCTAATGACTTGCCGGCGTTTGTTATAATCGGGTTGGGCGTTCCATTCCATTTCTCTCAATAACTTTTGTTGGCGTTTCAACTCTTTGGCTCGCTCTTCTGGGCTAGCCCACATGCTACCAGTGCCATTCATTGCTCCCGTGACGTCGAAATCTGCGGCTTCATCCCGAACCGTCGTTCGTTTGGCATTTTGCGCTTGGAAGTTGAGTAGCTTGTCGCGGTGTTGTCGAGCCTTGACGGCTGCTTCTGACAGTGAACTACCAGCGCCGGAAGCCGAGTCGTCACGCGTCTGTGTGAATGGCGCCGGTTTTTTCGATACCTCGGCTCGTCTATGAGCCGATGCATTGACTGCCATCTTTTCCCTTCCACGTTCATCCTTGAGCTCTCTCACCATCGCCTGAACCTCGTCTGCGCTCAGCAACGGCGAGCCACAGAATGTGCATGGTCCTAATCCCTCCTTCATGCAAATCACCTTGCCGCAAGACAAGCAATTTGGTGCTGCGCCCTGGAGGGGGTGTCGAGTCGCCACACAGTTGCAAGCCTTTCGTTTTCCATTCTCAAGCGTAGGATTAGTTGTGATTTCCAGAGCTCGAATGGCTGCATCTAGATCCGCAAGGGCAGTAGATTGGCCTGCCATTGGTGTCCCGCCTGCTATTGATACCTTGGTCGTGTTTCCTGATGCTGGCTTCGGTGTCGACGTCCTTGATCCCGGGTTTGACTTGGCCTTGACCTTTGGGGGCCCATCTGATATCAGGTACCCTGCCGAAGAGGCATGTTGTTTAGCTTGAGCTTGGGCCGGTGGTGTAGCTGATCTAGATGCGTGATTGCTGCTCGGTGCACTAGCACGTTGCGGTATGTATTCAAAGTCTAGGTCCTTCTTGTATGCTTTGCTTGATGGTCCGGCATACCCGTCAACCCTTCTGGCCTCTGGTACGTGTATCGCAGGCTTCTTCTTCTTTTGGAAACGCTTTGCCTTGGGCACAGCATCAGCTGAATCCGAGTTTAAAGCTGTATTTTCTGTTTCTAGTGACGGAGCCCGCGCCCCAGAAGGGTCTTTTCGGTGTGAGTTGAATGATGCAATAAAATCTACGGCAAGGGGTGAGTCTCCTAGCAAGTTGTTGAAGTGCGTGGCCACCTCTGCCTTGGAAAGCGTCGAGGCATATTGCAAGACCTGCTGAAGTTCCTCCTCGGGAAGAGGAAGCAGCTGCGAGAGTTGCGAGAGAGACATTGCAGCAAAGTCGTTGGATAGTCGCTGCGTTTTGGTGAGTGTCGAGGTCGATGTTGCAATTTGAACATCTGTTTGTGAGCTAGCTCAATCGAGGAGGCAGCTTGGAATTGCGGATGTCCGTTTTGATTGATGAGTGGCCTACCCTAGGGCTGTGAGTCAGACCGACTTGATTTGGCTCTTTGATTGCTTTGATATTGCTACTGTGGGATGGCAGCACCATTCTCAATTATATTTCATTATTACTTCCTCCCATAACGCATGTGAGTGCTTCTTATCTGCAATCTCAAGCATCCAACCCATAGTTTCTAGAACGGCAAATAAAGTTTGCCTGAAGGTGGAATGGGCTTTTAACAAGCGAATGCTAGAACCTCCTGATGCCTGGAGTGTTGATACGTACGACCGTAAGGCACCAGTGCGCTCCATGCACCTCCAAGCTGTGTTCTCAATGTATACCGATGAGTTCCAGCAACTTAGTCTGATTCTATGCAGGCTCACAAAATCAAGATCAGTGTGATGTCACACGCACGGAACGTTGCTCCCTACGTGTACATCCACGCCCCTTTTCCTCGCTCAACCACAAACCATCCTCTCAGCTGGTCACCTATCGCCTCATCTAAAACCTCTCAGAATTAATTTGTCGGATACAACCGCGGATCCAGCACTTCAATTGCACTTTGTTCATCCTCGCACAAGCTTTCCACTTGACACATGATCGCCTTTCACCCGAAAAACCCCGAGCTATACCCGATTGGGACCAGGCGCACCCTTGTTCCTGTCCCCATGGCTCCGATGGCCACTTTTCCTCACCTCCGACCTATTTTTCCCCCCCGTCGTCCTCGCAACGGAAACCACCTTGGCCACTTTCATCCCCATTGCCTTTCTTTTGCATCTACATAACCTCTCATCGATACCTGATTCAATTCACCATGTTGGCTTCCAGAATCCAGCGCAGGGCTTTCTCTGCCTCTGCCCGCAACGTGAGTCTTGGCCCCCAATTGGCCCGGCCGCAGTGACAACCTTCGTCGTCGGCTAACATGCATTTCGGTAATAGCTCTCCAAGGTTGCCGTCCTCGGTGCTGCCGGTGGCATTGGCCAGCCTCTTTCTCTGCTCCTCAAGCAGAACCCCAAGGTTACTGAGCTTGCCCTGTACGATATCCGCGGCGGACCCGGTATGTTGATCCTTTTGTCGTGAACGAGGCAGCCCGCAAGCAAACTGCGAGCTCCATGCGTCAATTTCCCTGTGCAACCCATCCCCGTTCTTCCCGGCAGTTATGGAAGAGGACTTGCCTAGCTAACGTGACTGCTCGACAGGTGTCGCTGCCGACCTTTCCCATATCAACACCAAGTCTACCGTCAAGGGATATGAGCCCACCGCTGCTGGCCTCGCCGAGTGCGTCAAGGGCTCCGACATCGTCCTCATCCCCGCTGGTGTCCCCCGTAAGCCCGGCATGACCCGTGACGATCTCTTCAACACCAACGCCTCCATTGTCCGCGATCTCGCCAAGGCTGTTGCTGAGTCTGCTCCCAATGCCAAGCTCCTCGTCATTGCGAACCCCGTCAACTCGACCGTTCCTATCTGCGCCGAGGTCTTCAAGGCCCGCGGTGTCTACAACCCCAAGACGCTTTTCGGTGTCACCACTCTGGATGTTGTCCGCGCCAGCCGCTTCGTCTCTGAGATCAAGGGAACTGACCCCAAGGACGAGAACATCACTGTCATTGGCGGTCACTCCGGTGTCACTATCGTCCCTCTCTTCAGCCAGAGCAACCACCCCGACCTGAGCTCCAACGCTGAGCTCGTCAAGCGTGTCCAGTTCGGTGGCGACGAGGTCGTCAAGGCCAAGGATGGCGCTGGTTCTGCCACCCTCTCCATGGCCATGGCTGGTGCTCGCATGGCCGACTCTCTCCTCCGTGCTTCTGCTGGCGAGAAGGGTGTCATTGAGCCCACTTTCGTCGACTCACCCCTCTACAAGGACCAGGGCATTGACTTCTTCTCCAGCAAGGTCGAGCTGGGCCCCGACGGCGTCAAGCAGATCCTGCCCGTTGGCGAGATCGACGCCGCTGAGGAGAAGCTTGTCGAAGCTTGCCTGGGCGACCTCAAGAAGAACATCGAGAAGGGTGTCACTTTCGTTGCTCAGAACCCTGGAAAATAAATGCAGCCCATGAGCTACATGTCTGCTCTTCCACCTCTGCCGGATCTTGATGACATGTAACGGGAAAGTCGCCAATTTCCCATCTGATGCCAAAACGGACTAGTGGGCTGGATTGGGAAGTGTGACAAATGTACAAAAGTGATGAATAGGGGGTATCATGAGAGCGTGACTTGCCATTAATGTCTGTCTGATGCGAGGATTGGTAAAAAAATGGGACAATATTTCTGCATGTTTCGCGACTGCCATAGAATATTTAATTGAGTCCTTGTACCATAGTAAATTGCCTGTCAAAAGCTCAATGTGAAGTTCAGATGGCATGTTAATCGGACGTAAAAAGAGTAGGGGAAAGTGATTTGATAAAATAATTAATCATCATCTACCAAAGTCTATAGTGTCTTGAATATGTTACATGATTTCCCTGCTCCACATCATGACAGCACACCTAGTCCAGTCCATTCCCTCCCCGGTCTATCCATACGCCTCTCTTGTATAAATCCTGTCTAGAGCTCCCCATGACAGTAATACAAAGTATACACACTAAATTCAGCAACACTTTTATCATCCATGCTACTGAGCACGACGCCCGGCTCTCCACTCCTCCAACTTCCTCCTCCTCTCGGCAACTTGTCTCTCGAACTCAGCCACCTTCTCCATCCTCTTGGCCTCCTCGTCAGCCGCCTTCTTTTCCGCCTCAATCTTCTTACGGGCATTCTCGCGCTCGAGCTGCTCGGGTCGACGCTCAGCGATATCACGAGCGTGGTAGTCGCTGAACCCAGCCTTAAGGCCCTTCTCAATGACGAAGCAAACGACGTAATCGAGCGCCATGACGACAGCCATTTTGATCTTGAATTCTTCAGTAAACTTGACGAGTTTCATTTGCTCATTGATTTCGGGCATCAGTTCCAGGGCGCAGACGAAGGCCAGACCTGATACGCCGAGGATGCCGTAGAACATGGCTTTGTTCTCGGAGAGGGATTCTCGGAAGGGGCGGCCTTGGTAGTTGATTGCAAAGGTGGACACTTGCTGGATAAGTTGGAGGAGGTAGATGGCGGAGTTGAGAAGGGATGGCTCAAATTCTGCTTCGAGATCGACAATACCGGAGCGTCTTTATGTTTGTTAATGATGGTTGAACAGTTATAGTGTAAAGTGGGGGGGGGGAGGTGGTGAGAAAACTTACGGCTCAATCTTCTCGCATAGTCGGGCAACATAGATTAGAGTTACGATGTGGATGGCGAATTGTCCAAGGATAGAACCAATGATGTAAATGTTGAAAATGTTGGGCTGAGGTCTTTCCTTGCTCAGACCTTCGACGACCTTGGCGCGGGAAATGCTGAGGAAGCAGACAGACATGAGCATACCACTGATTGTGTACTGAGTATCACCGAACTTGATTCCCTCGAGGTACAGGACGGAGAGGGAGTAGGCGCTAATCAGACAGTTGAGGGCAAGAATCTTGTACATCTGAATAGTGGCAACGAGAGTGCACCGGCCTTGGCGGATGATGTTGGGAATGGCAATGACGTCTCTGAGCTTAGAAGTGAAAGGAGCAGCGACAGATGCATCACCAAGCTTAAGAGTGGGTGGTTCGTCATCACCTATCTCCGCTTCAAGCATGCCAGACGCAAGCTTGTCAGCAAATCCAGCGGCCTTCTTCTGAACTTCGGCCTGTCGAGCATCTTGAGCATTGGCCAAGCTTTGTGCCCCAGGCGAGACAATGGTTTCGGTAGGATGACCCTGTGCCCTGATGTAGTCTTCGATAGGCATATTCTTGTTCTTAGCCTCACGCTCAGCCGCCTTCATGTAGTTGGGGTTGCTAGGACCAGGAGGATATAGGTGGGCAATCATGACAGGAACAGGCGGGGCTGGCTGGTTGAAACGCTTCATTAAATCACACTGCTTCTGGTAGACTTCCTTCATTTTGGTGTTTCTCGAGTGTTCAGCAATGCGAGTCAAGTCCTCCTTGGTACCGTTGAGGAGGGCAACGCCAATGTGTGCCTGTTTGAGAGCACCGACATCGTTCGTGCCATCACCAGCCATGAGAGTGTAATAACCCATGTCCTTGAGCCCAAGAAGAATGTCTTCCTTTTGCTTAGGGGAGACTCGGGCATAAACCCAAGTATGGCGGAGCAATGAGTTCCAGCCGGCTTCGTCCTTGAACTGAGCCAAGGCATATCCGGTGACGCAAAGATCCTTTGTCTTGAGAATTTCAGCGTCAATGGGCTTGGTTGCATCCACAGGAATGCTTATCTTGTCATCAACGCTCTTCCAGACCAATTTCTTTCCGTCAACATTGTCCTCAGGTGCATCCAGAATCAAGACATCTCGATCAACAATTTCGACCTCGCGAGCAACATGGACGGCAGTCAAGGGGTTGTCTCCAGTGATCATGACAACTCGGTGGCTACTCTCATTGAGCATCTGGACGGCCTCCTTGGCGTCCTCCTTTAATGGACAGTGCAACACTAAAAAGCCGGCAAAAGTAAGATCAGCCTCTACCTTTTCACGCTTCAAGTCGTTGATTTTGCTAGAACCGAGCTCAGAATCCACTGTGAGTTGTTTGTAGGCCAAGGCCAGAACGCGAGATCCCTTGCGAGTGAAGTACTTGTAGGTCTCCTCGTAGTCGGCGGGCACATTCACCAGCATTTTCATGATAGTCTCGGGAGCACCCTTGACACCAACGAAAGTACCCTTCACCTTCTTGCCGGTCCGGGAGATCCCATTTACCATGGCAACTGAGCTCTGACGTTTGAGAGCCGAGGAGAACTGGAAGCGACGCTTGATCTGTACGGTTCCCTGGGCACCACTATACTTGTTCTTGCTAGCCAAGATGTCGTTACGACCAAGACCCCAGTCAAGGGACGTCAGGGTAGCTTTCTCCATGGGATCACCAACAATATCGCCCTCGTCAAGCTTGACAAGAGCATGGGCAGTGGCGAGGACGAGCTGAGTCTCAACACTGGCCTCGGTCACACGCACCATGGTGGAGTGAGCTCCGTCGGCTTCCTTTGTATCAACAATATTTGAGTCGGCCAGGCCAAGTCCAGCAATGCCTTCGACAACCAAATCTTCGCCGGTGAGGGTACCGGTCTTGTCGAAGCAAGCAACGTCAATACGGCCACCATACGGAATTCGGAAGGGCTCGGTACAGAAAATAGCCAACTTGGAAAGTGCGGCCAGACTGGTATTGACCGCAAGACTGAGCTCCATGGGCAGTTCCGGGGGAACGACACTGGTGACAATCAAGATGCAGTCGAGCAGAAGTTTGGATCGTTTGCGGTCTTTGCGGACACCCTCGTCCCAAACATACCAAGAGGCGGCGATTGCGAAAATCAAGAGAAACAAGATGAATAGAAGGGCCTCAAAGTTATTGGCCGAAACGCGTTCGGTGGAATAAATCATGGTGCGAACAAGACTGCCCTGAGAGGTCTCGAATCCAGTCTTGGTAATAATAGCCATGGCGCCGTTGTTAGGAGGAGTTGGAACGTGAGACGATAGTTTTGGCTTCTCTTGCTCGGGGTTGCCGTGAGTAACTTGAAGAACCTTGGTGCCACCCCAAAGGAAGGCGTTCTTGTCTAGTCCTTCAGGATCCAGCACAGCGTCAGACGGACGCAGCTGGATAGAGTCCTTGAGGAGAGGGGTGCTTTCTCCAGAAAGCATAGCCTCGTTAACGATGGCTGTTCCTTCAACCAAAAGCATGTCACAAGCCACACCACTGTCCTCTTTGGTTCGGTCGACAGAGACGAGGTCGCCGGGCAAAAGAGCGTCTGTCTGAATCTCGATCCATTTTCCAAGACGGAACACCCAGATGTCATAGGGTTTGATGCTCATACCACGGAACTCGTTGAGAGTGCGCTGACGCTGCCAAACGACGGTGCTTTCGAAAGCCACAAGCATGAACAGCGTGAAGAGTGAGTAGTACCAATATTCATCGAGCAACCAAAGACCGACGCAGAAGATCTGGAAAACGAAGAATGGAGCAACGGCGTGCTCCTTGAAAAGCTCGGTAAAGGTGGGAACGGGAATGTCGAAGGTGTTGGTACCGTAGTGCTGTTCGACTCGGGTGAGTTCAGACTGCTTCTCAAGACCTCTGAAGGACTGGAAGTGACCGATGGTTGGCTTGGGCTCGGAGTCGATGTCATATTGGAGCGTCGAGAAGGACTTGGTTTCGGTGTTGTAGAGGAAACGGCGTTTCTGAAACAAGAACGAGGTAATGAGCTTGCCACCAACCTATTATGATAGATGTTAGATAGTTGCCAAGAGGACCTTGGCGTGCTTAGGCTTGAGAGGAAGCGGGCAAAGAGAAGAGTGGACATACCTTGTCGCGAACAAGTTTGCAAATCTCGCCAGAGCCTGCGTTGGCAATGGGCAGAACCTTGATTAGCTGGGCATCTTCAACAGTGTCGACCCTGGTAGCCTTGAAGCGAGCCTCCAAGGAAACACTCCAGTGGGTGCTAAGCCAGACAAGCGACTGTAGAGTGATGATGGTGCCACACCAAACGAAAGTCCATTCCGGCGCACCAATGTATTCCTCGTACAGATCAGGAGTCAGGTAGTATCGCAAGAAGATGGGCCAGATGATGGCAAAGGGCCAGACGTAGGTGTGGAAGTGAAAGGACAGCGGGCGCAGCAGCTCGGCCTGCTTGATCTGAGGGCTGTCGATCAGCGGCGGCATGATGAAGATATCAACGACGTCGATGCGTCGCAATCTCGGACGAACCGGGGAGGAGGGGTGAAGGAGAGGATTTCAAGACCCAATCAGACCAAAGACGGGGGATGACGAATTATGAAAGGAACAAAGAAAGAAGAAACACAAGGTAGCAGCAGCCAAAATTAGAACGGAGAGCAGGCCACGCTACCACAATTATAACCACGAGACCGACGTGGAAGGGGAGGGGAGGAGAATGGAAGAAGTGATTCGCAGGGAATGGAAATCGGAGTACGGAATTGTCCATGCTCCAACTGTCATGTCGCGATCTGTCAAGTACCTTGGTACTTTTCGCAGGGCCCCATCGCGTGGCGATTGGCAGAGACGTCAACTGGTCTGGTGCCTGGTGAACCGGACCGGCCAGGCATGTCTGGTCTGGCACTGGGTGCTGCCAGGCCTTTTTCAGCCTGGAACTCCAGCGTGTACAGCGTGCACATGTGAATTGCTCCGGGTGTACAGCACTGAGCATGGGCGTACATGGGTGCCACTACGGCGTAGTTGGCCAACGACGGCCAGCGAGCAAGCCAATCACTGTGCGGCACCAGACTCGATTAACCTTTGACTCCAGATGTCAACGGTCCCATATTGACCGGATATCAACTCGACCTCACACCAACCAGGCTCAAACGCGAAGCGCCACAAGCAACAATGAGCAGGATATTTTCTTTTCATCATGGGTATCGTGCAACTACACAAGACCTTCTAGAATGCTAAATGTCGGCAGAAACGCCTTTTCTATATGCTCGTCTCATATTTGCTGCGTCTTCTAATTCGCTCACCAAAAACCCAGAAACACCACGGAATTGGAGCCATGGCTACGGTAATAAACCCCAGCAAGCTCGTTGCCCACCCCACGCCGAGGGCCTTGTACATTTGCAAAGCAAACAATGGAAATGCAGTACTGAGAAGATACCGACTCATCATCATGGCACCAGAAGCCGACGCCGCGTACATTGGGCCGTAGGCATCGAGCATAAACATGGTGGCGCTGGCGTAAATCAGCAGGGAGCTCAGCATGACACAGCTCTGGAACATGATGGGCACTATCCAGTGGACCTTGTACTGAGCCGTCCACGCCGATATGAACAAGCCAGTCGGTAAGAGGAGACTGCCAATCATGGCGCCGATGAGCCGGTGTTCCGAAGGCAAGGGTTCCTCCACGCCGTCGTCGTTCGGAGGATGACTCTCTCGCCACTGAGCCAGGCGCTTCTGGTAGTATTTTAAATCAATGAGAACCAGGGGTGCCGAAGCAACAAGTGTGCCAACCATCAGACCCAGGTACGACAGTGATTCACCCGTGTTGCTGAATCCGTAGTACTCTCGGAAGATCCACGGCACAGCAATAACGAATGTGTACAGCAATCCGTACAGGAAGCCGTTGTACAGACTAATCAGCGTTACAATGGGTTCCGTGAACAGCATATGCAGCGGCCGCTGGATCAGCACCGTGGCGAAGTACCGGAAAGCTCGACCAGGCGACGTCCTCTGCGAGGAGGTATCCAGCCCAAGGCGGATGGCACGTCTTCTCAAAATCACCCTCTTGTACGTCTCTGGCGTAAAACACACGGGGATATAAAAGCCGACAGCCATGGACACAGCCGTCCATTGCGTCCATTGCCACCCGCCAGCCTGGACGATGAACCCGCCCACAAACGGACCGAATGCAGCTCCAAAGGACGGCATGGTGTAGTATATACTCAGACTTACGCCTCGCAGCTTTCCAGATGCAGAGTCTAGAATCGTGGCCGGTGCATTGTTAATAAGCGACGAGGAGAACATGCCTGCAAAGAAGCGGCAGGCGATGAGGCTGGTCAAGGTCGTGCTGAATCCTGACCCGACCATGAAGGCAGCAAAGATGGGGCCGGCGACGAGGAACACGGCCTTCCGGCCGTATGTCTCAGACAACGGAGCGCCGATTAGCGGACCAAATGCCAGGCCGAGATTGTACATGGACAGCGGGACAACGGCCAATTCGCGGCTACAGTTGAATTTGGATGCGACGTCGTCTTGGGCCGGCGCATACATGGATCCGGCGACGGTGGCAACGGTTGCGAGGCCCGTGACGGCGACGGTGCTGAAGAGGCGGATGGACAGTGGGAAGTTGCGTGGGTTGTCAGGGTCATCCGGGCCGGTCCAGTCAAAGGCCGCGTTCATGGTGCGAATGGCCCGGCGGACCTGGATATTGGTGTAGGGCTCATCTTCAGCCTCACCCTCGGTGTCTTCTGGCTGCGGTTGCCGTGGTTGTTCCTGGTGTTGCCGTGTGCTGCTGGACGACCATGTTTGAGAAGTCACCTGTGTCATTTCCGGTTGTGCACGGCGCCGCCCGAATGACGACGTCGCCGGTGGAGGGTGCTCCATGGTAAAGAGGAGGAAGAAGCGATGCAACGGTTTCTTTGTTGCGGCGAATTGCAGTTCGCTTCTCCCAAGTTTCTGCAGAACATGGCAGTCGTCGGGATTTTAAACAGACAACTCACGAAAGGCGGAGAGATTCCATCCAACACCGGCACAGAGTCGGCGTGGCCCGTGACCGTCCGAGCTTCCCAGAGGGGAGCGGGCCGGACGTCAGCCCGAGGGCGTTCGTTCCCCAGGTTTCCATATTTTCTGCTGTCAATTGGCACGCAACCGTGGGTAGGGTGAGGCGGCGGAGAAATCCGGGTCGCCGCTGGGCATAGTTGGTTGGTCACCCAGGTAGTCGACCAGTTGAAGCAACCAATCGTGGCTAGGGACAGCCAACGTCTTACGCCTTGCTTAGCGATGACTGTGTTGCGATGTCGCTGGTAAAGAGGCACTATGACCTGCAGCGGCAATTGCTTCCAATCATGATTGTCCCTGTTACCCGTTTCTCGCCTTTGTGTCTGCCTGGGTTTCCCGGTTGCTGGGAGAGTTGCCTGCCGCGTTACAATGTGGAACCACGGACGACATGTTTATTAAACGTGCTACGTTTGTTCCAGTGCCCATCGTGCCCACCGGTATTCTGCTTAGTCTTACAGTAAGCTTACAAGGAGTATAGTCTTTTCACTTCAAAGTCAAGTACTGGAATTATTTAACTTGATCTAGATTCCAAAGCTCCGTCCTCATCCAGAGTCTTTTCAACCACCACTACCACCACTACCACCACCACCACCATCTTATCAGGGACCATGACTGTAATGACTCCTTGTTTCGATCTCACCGTCTCCCCGGTCGTAACGTTGTCTAGTCTAACAGGTTTCCCATTGTCCAACTCCCAGTTATAACTCCACCCATCAAACGTCACTCCGGTAATAGCATCACTGCCGTTTGCCATGTGTCGCTGTTCACGAATCGACACATCCCGCGCCAGGTTTCGCGCCGCAAACGAAAAACCCCGGCTCATTCTTCCTGGAGGGTTCGGCAGTGGCTCCGTGCCGGCCCCGTCTTTGGTCGTGTTGTATCCGTGCATGTTGATGACCATGAGACGCTTGAGGTTTCCGCGTTCGAAAATTGCGTACGCTGCTTCCTGGTCAGATGGCATCGGTCTGGAAGAAACGCTGACAGAGGACGTTATAAGATCCCCAAGGGCAGCTACCACACCGATGCTACCGTATTAAGGTGCCTTGGTGCCCTTTGACGTCTTGTTGGTGTCAATTGGCTGGAACGCTTGGCACTGTTGATGGCGAGTGTGATTCAGCGCTCTGTGGTAGAGCAAGTTTTGCGTCGTCGGGAACAAGAGAAAAAAGGTACTCACGCGATAGCCTATGCCCTGGTGTATATACACGCGTTTAAATCCAGCAGACGCGGAATACAGATTAAAGTCGACGCCCCATAGAGCTGCGCCAAACGAGTTGGACAGTCCGGAGCAGACAGACAGGCAGACATGTCAAAAATACAGGACATAGGAGGCAGGACCTCCAATATTAAACGCCAGACAAAAAGATTTAGCCGGGGCAGGATTCGAACCTACACCTTCTGACTCCGGGCTAATGATACTATAATGATACTGGTTCGCTGCGAAGTCAGACGCTCTACCATTGAGCTACCCAGCCTTTGTTGGTCTTTGTTGGAGGAAGTTGGTTAAAACTATCTTAAGTACCATCTGGAAGTATAGCGAGTTGGTTTCCCCGAAAAAGTGGGGCGTGGCACGGTTAACCCTTGTTAGTGGACCAGACATAATTCGCTTGTATTCCGCAACCTGCTCATCTACATCTCGAATGATGCGGCTGTGATTCATCAATGTCCCTTGCAAAGTCACACCAGGGGAAGTCGCTCCATCAATGTAGCTAGACGATGTCCCGTCAGCTTCCTGGATGCGTTGACCACCGATGATGCTGTTGCACCACTTACTTGTGAACAGAATACCACTTGACGCTGCCATACTTGTCGAGTCCATAGCCCCAAACCTGGGTGGCATTCAGGTTACTCACACGATCGTCGTATGACGGTGCCATGAACCCGAAATCCGCAAGTTCCGGGCAATGCTTTCGCATCTGCTTGATGATCCCACGCGTCCCGTCGAGCCACTCATCAGCAAAGTCCCTGGCACTCCAACCCCTGGGACGGGTAGGTCCCTGAGCAGAAGTCGGGTTCATACTCCCACGCGTCGAGATTGTCATTGCTCAAGGCTTTGCAAGCCAATGCTGCTGTGCGCTCGAGTGTCTCCCAGGCTGCTGCACCAACAGCCCCCTTTGCGAGGTTGAACCCGTGGGAAAACTTGACGCCTGGCCATGTATTATATGACTCGAAAAACGAGTCCCTGATGTATATGGTTGTGGGGTAGTCCTTGGACTTGTTTGGATCATGTGTTCCGTTGATGGCTGCTTTGAGAGACGCATTGTACAATACATAGTCTTGTCTATTGCCCCCAACTCGCACGTAGGGCTTGCTGCCCATCAGATTGCCGAGATTACTGAGTAAATTGTAGGAAAAGGCGTTTGGTGTGCTCAAGTTCCCCAAGGGTTTGCCAATCGGGGCTGCAGCCTCGGACCTCGATACGTACCGGCATAGTCTACAAACGAGGACAATTCTATAGAAAAGCTGACAAATGACTCTGACGGGCCGGAATCGTCATCTGCTCGGGCGTTTATGTTGTACAGCCGCTTGGGATTCTTTCGCGGCTAGGACCGCAACAAGCCCGGCCGACCAAAGATTGAACATGTTGGCGTGCATCTTGAGCACAGGTACCAACAGCAGCAGCGCTTGGTCGACTCTCCTAATAATGACGAATGAGACTAGAAGCTAGGCAGTGGTAGCGATGAGTATTTGAGGCACGGTTTGGTGATGGTCCATGCCGACGGTTCACCACCCTGTCCACGGTGTGTGAGGCGTACCGGTAGGATTTCATAAAACGGAGAGGACACACGAGTCGGCAATTGAAGCCCTGCCGATCGACGCTGCTGTAATCAGTGATTCGTCTGGTCCAAGGTAAACTCCAAAGTTTGGGGCCTTTATACTTTAAACGCCCGCACCAGGATTTGATCAATCATCTCACTCATCAAACCAATACAGGCCGACGGATAGCGGGCCAGCAACCGAGTTGTCCCTATCAGGCTTGATAAATCCAGTTGATGCGAAAACCACCGGCCGCGAGGGGTAAGCTTTCTCCGCACATGCATAGGATACTACGTTGCAAATCTCACCCGAGAAGTTGAGACGCCCTTTTTTAACAGACCCGGAAACGTTAGCCGTGTTGTCCCACAACGTTGCTAGGCTGCCTACGAACTCTGCAGGGAGATTTTCCCGTCGGGATATTTGGGATGCGAAGCTTGGTGATGATCGACGCGTTGCCCAAACCAGCATCAACACCGGTCTCTGCTTTGGACCTTGCAACGGATTCAGCTGGACGAGTTAGCCCTTGGTGTCGGTAGACGAGATATGGCTATTACTATGTACTGACTCCTATTTACTTGACGACGCTATATATAAGTTGAGTCACACCCTCATCGGAAGATGTGGCGTTCTATACGGCGAAACCCCCAGAGTTCTTCTGTCTCGGCTCCCCAGCCGCCTCAAATGTTCCATTGGGCAATAGCCGCAATCCCTGTGCCGTGCTCTGTCCCGGAGCAACCCACGTGGCATTGTACCCCAGAGACTTCATATACGCCACCGTCCGGTTGTTGTACGTGTACTCGAAACTCACTCGGCTCGGGACAAGCTGATCATGGAGTCTCGGCTGCCCCAAGGCCTCTTCGACCGTCATGTTGCCGTCCAGCAGGTGGATCGCGTTCTGGATATTCGCCGTAATAATACGACTCCCCCCCGCGGAACCAATAGAGAAATACAGCTTGCCGTCTGCCGTCTCGGCAATGATGGGGGAAATGGACGACAGCGGGCGCTTTCCCGGCCGGGCAAAGTTGGCCGCGCTGGGGATGTATCCGAAGGCGTTGCTTTCCCCGGGGATGCTAAAGTCGTTCATTTCATTGTTCATGATGACGCCGGTTTCGGGGACCATGAGGCCCGACCCGAAGAGGAGGTTGACGGTTGTGGTCATGGACACGGACATGCCCGCGGCGTCTGCGGCGACAATGTGCGATGTTCCCGGTGTTTCTAGAGACTCGAGGCCTTCCGGGTCGTAGTACGACACGTCAAAAGTCTTTTGGTCGGTTATCTTGGAGCGAACCTCGGCGCCTGCCTGGGGAGAAATCATGTCCTTGGTGTACTTGTCCAGGCCTGCAACAAAGGACGGATCGCCGAGTTTGGTACGCTGGCCATACGCGAATTTCATGGCTTCATCCATGAGGTGTGTGGACAGATTCGATCGGCTTGGATCTAAAAAGGCGTCATATCCGCTCAAGATGTTCAAGGCGCTGAGAGCGACGACGCCACTCGAGGGAGCGTTTGTGCTGGTGAGTTTGTATCCACGATATTGTAGTTGGACCGGTTCCCGAAGGGCAACGGTATAATTCCCGAGGTCCTCCAGGGTCATGGTTCCGTTGGCGGCCGTGAGAGCCCGAATCGTCGCGTCTGCGATGGCACCCGTGTAGAAGGCATCGGCGCCCTCGCTGGCAATGGTCTCGAGTGTGTTTGCATACCGCTTTCGCGTCATGGTTTCGCCCAAGCGCACACGAAATCCCCGGGGGGCGAAATCCATGGCCCAAGACGGGTCTTGGGTGAGGAATGCGTTTGGAGACGTCGAGTCCATGTACCGGACCAGGTCCTCAGTCACGGGGAACCCGAAACGCGCGAGCTTGATCGAAGGTGCCACGACATCAGCCCATTTCAGAGCGCCGTATTTCCTGTGGATGTATTCCAAGCCTCTCAACTCGCCAGGCACTCCGCTGAAGGCAATGTTAGACAAACCAAACTCCTGCCTTGCCTCGGGGACAGGGCCGCCCAAGGCCAACGTACCTGGCCAAGCCGCCGTACATACTTGCGTTGACGTTTCCCTTGTACATGTCTTCAAAGGCGGCCGCGGGCGCCGTTTCCCGGAAGTCGACAAATTCGTAGGTGCCGTTTGGCGATCTCAGCAAGAGAAAGCCGCCGCCGCCGATTCCGCTGTGATACATGCTCGTGACGCCTACACAAAACACGGTGCCGACGAGAGCGTCGACGGCATTGCCGCCGTCTTCCAGCAGGCGCGTTCCTATTCTGCTGCATATGCTGTTTTCTGACGCGACGGCCCCCAGCTTGGGACCGTCACGACTGCGGCATTGCGTCTGGCCATTGACCGCCGGGGCGAGAGCAGCGGTTGCGAGAAGCAGTCGCAGGGCGAACTTGGCGTGATGTAGAAACATTCCGAGGGTCTGGATAATTGTGCTGATGATTCTTCTTCTCGTCGTGAAAGCGGCATCAACGTCTCATCAGAGGCAATGGGACGCACGAGTCGAGAGAGGATTCGGGTTTTATCCGTCCATTCCAATGCTTGTACTACCACAATGCATTCTTCACCGGGCCAATACGACGACAGGGAAGCAGCAATCTGCAAACCCCGACTGAACCCCCCGGTCCATTGTCAGACTGTAATTGCCTTATTTGGCAAGTCTGCACGGGAATTGACTCGAGCAACCGGGGGCCAATCTCAAGTGTGCGGGGAAAGATAACCAGAGCGTCTGTCTTTTGCACACCAGACCGTCTCTGACGTAATGGCAACCCTGAAATGATATCAAATGGCGCAAGTCGGAGTGGCCAGCTCGGCAGGGTGCTGAACAACCGGGCCATTGTTGGCCGGGGACTTGGGCCGCTCAAGTATGAAGTCAATCGGTCGGGCAAGACGCAGCGGTTCAGAACATATGCGGACTAGTCAATAGATAATGCTATTCGAAGTGAAGTGGACTAGTTCATACATGTATCAACAAAGATAGGACGTCAAGGCCGGTTCTCACCTCTCGGCCCAAGGGTCAGTCGATCGGTCATTCAGTCCACACTCTACCCACGAACTCGCCTGGTCCTGGTCATCGCAGTTCATGACTCGAACGCTTCATTTACTACATATTAAATTCATGAGATGCTGGCGAGTGGATCAGCTCCGAGGAATTCACAGCAGCCGAATAGGGAGGCTTGGGCGAACAGGGATCTTGGCAACTGGCTTCAACTTGACCATGACCATGCTGAAGGAGCATTCCGTCCTCGGACCAAGCACTCTGTTCCGCCAAGATATTGATCAAATTCACAAATTCTGGCGTGACCAAGTCCCAGAACGATCGAGTTACCAAGAGTCTGGGCGGCTACCAACCTCCGGTTTCGCATTTACGCCGTGGCTCTGAGAAAAGAGGAATGCAAGGACATTTTTCTGTTTAGAAAGTGTACCGCAGAGAAACGAACGGCATGAGGCTCAAAGTCTCTCACAGACATGTATTAGCAAAGTACGTATTGCCACCCGTTTACGAGTGAACAGCCATTCCAAGTGACCATTCCACGCATTTAGAAAAGACAGAGGAAACCAGCCAGGCCAACCAAGGATGACGCAAATCTGGCGCTTGACCTGCTCGGTGACGCTCCAGCCGTGACTACCGGAGGAGTCGCAGTTGATGCATTTCCGTACGTTGAGCCAGAGCCATGAGCAGAGGAACCTGAGCCCGAGTCTGAACCAGAAACACCCCCCGACGGACCACCAGATCCATGTCCGGACTCGATGCTGCTACTTCCATCGGTATGGCTGTGTCCTGCATTATTTCCCTTTCCACTGCCGCTTCCATTTTCACCTGAGCCGCTCCCGAATCCATCGTCTCCGGAGCCGTTTCCACTGCCGTTTGCTGCGTCGGTTCCCGTGGGATTTCCAGATCCATTGCCTTTGCCACTTTTATTATCCTTGTAGTTCACGGTACCCGAGTCATGAGATCCTGGATTGTCGGGTTGAATGCTGGCTCCATTTTTAGATTCGCTGCCAGAACTACTATTCCCACCACGGTTATCAGAATCAGAATCAGAATCAGAGCCAGAGCCAGAGCCGGGCTGGAAGTCCTTTGCAGATTCATAACCTGGACTGTTGTAGATTCCGTTGCCGGTACCCGAGTCGGAACCCGAAACACTATCATGTCCATTACCAGTGGCAGATTCGTAGCTAGGTTTGGGCCCGCTGCCAGAGCCAATGCCACTACCAGGAGCTGAGTTCGAATTCGAATTCGAACCCAAACTGCTGCCAGATTCGTTTTCCATATCGCCAGATCCAGAGTCATTACCAGGTGCAGAGCCATCGTCTGGCTCAGAGCCGGTGCCGCTGCTGACTCCATCACTATTACCTGGGCTGGGACCCAAGTCGCAACCAGATTCATTTTCAGCGCCGGATTCAGGGCGATTGCTGTTTCCCGGGCCATGAGTAGGTGAAGAAGCCTCATCTGGGAGGGAGCCAGTGCTACTACTGACACCGTTACCAGGGCCAGAGTTGGAACCTAAGTTGCTTCCAGCTTCACCGTTTGAGCCAGAGCCAGAACCGTTGTCCAACTCATTGCTGGATCCCAAGTTGGAATCCGGACCACTGATAGGGGTATTTCCAGAGCTATTTTGGCCGTTTCCAGAACCATTGCCGTTCTGGTTACCATTTCCGTTACCACCGTCATGGCCACCGGATCCCGAAGAAGCGGGCACTTTGTCCTGATTATTACCATGACCATGATTTCCCTGGCTTCCCAGGCTCTCAGTTGGTTTGGCAGTACCTATTTGGTTACAAGTACTCGTAGGGGCCATGATTATTGATGTCGTCTCAGCAAGAGTCTTGGTGATTGTTGAAGAGCAGCCCTCATCCGGTGAGCCAGCCAAGACGGCAGCGCTCAAAAAGAGCGGCAGGGCTGCCACAATGCCAGTTCCGCAACGCATGGTAGTAGGCAACAAAGATAAAGAAGCTAACAGAACCACCTGGTGAACTGTGGAACAGGATGAAGAGAATGCTGACACGGAGCCATGAAGTTAGACACGGGTTTCTCCTAGTGATGATGGGGGTTATTCAGGTTCCTTTATACTACTCATCTTTCTAGAGACCAGAGGATGTGGCTAGTCGCGCAAGCATTTTCCCAAGTTGATGAATATTGATTCGCCGGAAAGAGATAAACGCAAGAAGAGATGGCATCCGTGCCACCGTCTCGTATCATTCCGGGGCAATAGCCGCCCTGCCAAGGATCGGTCTAGACCGTGCGAGTTACCTGTTCCTGAATTCATAATTCACAATCAGAGCAAAGAGTCATTGCCGTAATTCGGTTTTGACTCGGGAATCACTTATACAATTAGAGTCGAGTGTCCTAAAAGAGACCCCGAGGCAACGTCACTTAGAAGTACATCGAGCATCTATTTTAGTCAAGTATCGATGTCTGAGTAGGGCAACAGCGCGAGTCCACAAACCGTCATCGCCTTATGTCAAGATCCAATTTTTTTTCCCAGGTAATGCCCTTGGACCCCTGGGAGTCCATACCATGGAGTCTTTGTCAACATTATGACTCGCGGGCTGGCTCGCAGTGACGGATCCGTCTTGAGCTCTGTGCTTGCTGACCAACTTCACCCTGGGAACTTTCTGAGATGGTGACATCTTGTTGAGAATTGACTTACTCTACAAATACTAGCTTTGTTGCTCTTTTGTTGTTGATGAAGACGCATAGGGAAGGGGGTGGATCATGGATGGTGACAACCGTGGACTATTGGCATGTCCAAGGTGAGCATTGGTCCAGAGGAACCAGAAAATGAATATTGATTCTCCAATTCCGGTCGAATTTTTCTCGTTTTGTAAATGCACGTACGGGAATAACGTACGATTGTCTATTCGGCACCATTGAGTCTTGGGATCTGAGGGTATCGGGCTGGACTACGGATACTTCAGCGCGTCGCGATTTTCGCAAATCAACACGCCAATTATATAAACAGGATAGATTCCATACTCTGGTGAAGATTATGAGAAAGGCAGAGATATTCCTTCATACAAATTTGTTGAATGTCTTTCGTTTGATCACGCTGCGGGAGTTTGTGGACTAGCCGTCGATTGGCCTTGATAACCAGCACACCTCAGCCATGACAATGATATCCTACCGTCTTTTTGCGGCAGCAGTTCTTGCCTGGCATTATGGTACTGCCGGAGCCGGTCCTGTGCCCGACATGGACTCTTGTCCAGATGGTGTACGTACCTTGGAGACGCAACACACCCAGATCTTGACCATAACTCCTGTTCTTGTCTCGACACACTGTCCATATGATATGGACTTGGTGATTGATCATGCCAATACCATCCCTTGTACAAACGCTCCGACGGATATTTCCACAATCGTTACAATCACCAATACTGGCAGCCCTGCCATGACAAGGTACGAAGTGATTCATATCGGATGGACGCTACGCATTCTGGACTAACACAACATACCAGTCTAGAGAATGGCACACCAGCAAAGCCCACTGAGACAGGGAAGCTTCCTCCACCAAATACAGTGACTACGCAGGCAGAATCCGCCAGCACTCCTGGGCAGAGCTCGCAGATGAGTGATATTGGAAACAGCAATAGCAGGCCAACTGGCTCTGGAGCGAGCGGATCTGGCTACAGCAAGACCAGCCATGCTGCCTCCCATACTGACGAATCGAGTGCCAGTAGCAGGCCTGGAAGCTCAAACAGCAAGCCATCCATATCTCTGACAAGTAATTCTGCCTCCGGTCCTTATAGCAGCCCAGTGTCACTCATGCCGGAAGCATCATCTTCTGGAAACTATACATGGAGCCCTGCCTTTGCTTCCTCTACTGCGAATAGCTCCTCCGGCACTGCCAGTTCCGAGCCTACAAGTTCCCGGTCTGCTGCGTCCCCGGGAGAGAGCTCAGCAGTAGAAGGCTCCCAGACAACAAGCTCTCCGTCGGAAAGCTCCGCAGAATCAAGTTCTCAGATGGGGACATTGCCGACGGAAACCTCACGGACAGGAATCCTTTCGTCGGGAAGCTCACGGACGGCAACTTCCCAGTCAATAAACACACAGACGGAGACGTCGGCAGACACCACTCGGACAGAGACCTCCCGGAGTGAGGTTGCCCAGTCGATGAGCTCAAATATGGAAGCATCTCCGACAGGAACCTCGCAGGCAGGAACCTCGCAGACAGGAACCTCGCAGACAGGAACCTCGCAGACCTCTGAGGCGGCGATATCTAGCAGTGCCGAAATAAGTCCATCTGAGTCATTGTCGGCCTCCCTTTCATCGCCCATGACTGATGTCACGTCGTCAGCCACGGAGACCACCATTACCAAGGCCTCTTCGACCTCTTCTGCTGATGCTAGCTCTTCTACCTCTTCGACCTCTTCTACTCCTGCCAGCTCTTCTACTTCTGCTAGCTCTTCTACTTCTTCTCCCTCTGCCGGCTCTTCTCCTTCTTCTCCCGCTACTAGCTCTTCCACCTCTACTACCTCTACTACCTCTACTACCTCTTTGACCTCTTCTGCTTCTGCTGGCTCTTCTACGTCTATTAGCTCTTCTCCCTCTGCCAGCTCTTCTAATCCTGCCAGCTCTTCTAATCCTGCCACCTCTACTACCTCTACTTCTTCTACCTCTTCTAACTCTTCCACCTCTCCCACCTCTTCTACCTGTTCACCAGCTGCACCGACCAAGGTCTGTGCTACAGGACTTCCTCGTCCCTGTAAAGATCTGGCCAATCTGGGCAGCATCAATCTCAACATTCTTCAAGATGCCGCGGGATGCACCTCGGCACTCGGAGCCTTTGCAAAAGACGTGTCTCAGTGTTTTGTGTTGGGGCCACTTGACCTGCTTTCTCCATGGAAGAAGGTCGTGAACTGCCTGCAAGATAAAATAGGAGAGATGTGTCTTCCTCAGTTGCCCGATGCTTGTACAGGCCTCGCGGGCCAACATGGCGTGAGCTTGGCCAACAACGTAGCCGCTTGCACCGTTCAGCTGGGACCATTCGCGGTTGGAAAAACATACGAATGCTTGAAGGGGGGCTTCTTCGCCGGCGGTTTCTTCAACGGCGATGACATTGTTGCCTGCTTGCGCGGCACCACCGGGTTGGGTTTGTCGACCTGCGCACCCGCTGGCCCGGCGTGTGTATCGGCCTTGCCTCCCGATTGCAATCTTCTCGGCGGCCTGAACGGACTCGACATAAGCCTGTCCAAGCTAGAGGGCTGCGCCAAAGCCATTGGTTCATATGGCGGTGGTGTTGCCGCCAAGTGTCTTAACCCTGCCGCAATCGTGCAGACTACACTGGGAGGTGGCGTCGTTGCATGTCTCCGCGATGCGCTCAAAGACGTATGCATCCCAACTCTGCCAGAGGCCTGCTTTAATCTCATTACTGTGGGCGGTGAGCGATTGACGACGCAACTGCCGCAGTGTATCGATGCCTTGGGGCCGTTTAAGAGCGGAGCTGTGCTTGATTGCGTCACGAAACCAACCTCGGGCCCTGGGGTTGTGCTTTGCCTTAACAAGGCGATTTTCGGGTCTTGATGGTTGTCTGTGAGAGCATCTGGAGTGTTGGCATGATGGGATCGCCGTTGCTTATATCTGCTGCATGTGGAAGAGGTCTGGTGTTTACAGACATGGACGCACTCGTTACCACGCTTTCCATAGAATAGCTCCCGTTATAGATTGTTATAGATCCAGTCAAGTTGTGTCAAATAAAGGCCACAGGAGTTCCTTTTATACGCGGGGCTCTTGTGTATGTAGTATCGGATCCATCGTTGAAGAGCTGTCGTGCCACAGATAACCAACTCGTCTGATCCTCTGAAACACTGAAGCGTCCTTATCTGAACGACATGGAGTCATGGACCCCATGCAAAAGCCCACTTGAATCAGATGGATTCCGATAAGCACACTCCGGCCGTGTTATCACGGTCGCGTCTGCCTTTATGCCGCTCGACCGACCGTTGCTACTCGGTCGGCTTGGTGGGCCAGACACGTAGTGTTCTTGGAATCACCGACACACAACCTCGACACACTCAGCCTTGAGACGCCCAATGAGGCCATGGCGGCCACGGTGAGCACAGATAACAGCCCAAACCAGCAGATCGGCTTGGGGGGGCGAACGGAATAACTGCCGCTTATTTTGCGGGGTAAAAGGATTGACAGTGCTAGTAAAGGACTGGAGGGTGGAAGGAGGCTTGAAAGTTGGGAACCCCGCGAGTTGGTTTCCAATGGATCAAATCAATATATGACGGGCAAGGCGTTCCGCGTCGCTCGCCATCTTTCCACTCTCGACTCATCGCCTGGTCTCTTGTACACAAAGAGATTATTTGTGAGCTTTTTTATCTGTCCGAATTGATTAATCGATACTATCCTCTGCCATGCCTGGCAAGATCCGTACCGCACAGACGGTGTCCTTTGATGTCCCGGCCGCAGAACAGCCCGGCTTACACAACCGCTGGCACCCAGACAGTAGGTTCAAACAGTGAATCGGAGACTACGTGGCCCCTCGGATATCCAGATTTAACACAAACGCTTCACAAACAGTTCCCTCGATTGGCACCATCAAGCGGGGTGAGACGGTCAAGATTGAATGTCTGGACTGGACGGGAGGGCAGATCGGGAACAATGACAGCGCAGACGACGTCCGCGACGTCGATCTCACCAAAATCCACTACCTGACGGGGCCCTTTGACATCCAAGGCGCCGAGCCGGGCGACCTCCTCGTCGTCAACATCACCGACATCCAGCCGTTCGACCACGCTCCCTGGGGCTTCACCGGCGTCTTTGACCGCAACAACGGCGGCGGCTTCCTCGACAGACACTACCCGCGCGCGGCCAAGGCCATCTGGGACTTTGACGGGATATACTGCTCCAGCCGCCACATCCCGGGCGTGCGCTTCGCCGGCCTGATTCACCCGGGCATCCTTGGCTGCGCGCCGTCCGCAGACGTGCTGGCCCAATGGAACCGCCGCGAGGCCGAGCTGATCTCGGCCTGCGCCCAGTCCATGCCGGGCCAGATTGTCGCCCAGCCTCCCAACGAGGCGAATGCCCACGCGGGCCAGGCCGACGGGGACCTCAGGGCCAGGATTGCCCGCGAGGGCGCGCGGACGATTCCCGGCCGGCCGGAGCACGGCGGCAACGTGGACATTAACAACATCTCTCGAGGATCTACGACCTACCTCCCCGTCCACGTGCCCGGCGCCAAGTTTTCCGTTGGCGACCTCCATTTCAGCCAGGGAGACGGCGAGATTAGCTTCTGCGGCGCCATTGAAATGGTAATCATCTGTGTTCCTGCCCCCCCCCCCCCCTTTTCGTCGCTCTCACCGTCGTCTGACACTGCACTTGTACTAGGCGGGCGTCATCACCATCAGGTTTGACCTCATCAAGAACGGCATGAAGGAGCGCGCGATAGCCAGCCCCGTTTTCAGACCAGGCGATGTGCAGCAGCTCTTTGGACCGTCGCGGTACCTGACTTTCGAGGGCTTCTCGGTGGACGAGGCGGGCAAGCAGCACTTTCTCGACGCCACTGTTGCGTATCGCCAGGCGTGCCTCCGGGCCATCGAGTATCTCAAGCAATTTGGTAAGTCGAGACAACGCTACCCGGTATTGAAAAGACGGGGACAAGGTGTCCTCGTCTTGGGGAGACGAGACGCTAATCGTGCCATGCTCTTGTGGCGTCGCAGGCTATTCCGGGGAACAGGCATATCTGCTTCTGTCGTGTGCGCCCATCAAGGGCTCCATTGCTGGAATTGTAGATGTGCCCAATGCGTGTACAACATTGGGTCTTCCTATGGATGTGTTTCAGTTCGACATATCCGTCGAAGCTGAACGGGTGAAGAGGGATCTGGGAGCCTGTCCTGTGGCCGCAGAGTGATCAGGGTCTCGAAGGTGTCTGGTACGAGTGCCTGCCTGTCATGCGGTTGATTTTTTGGGTGTATTCGCTTTTGTTACAGCCTGGGAGTTTGCGGGGAACCTTGTCAGTGTCTTGCTGGAGCTTTGTTCTGTTCGCGAGCAAATAATTGCAGTTTAAGAGAATTTCGATCCGTTTCGCAGAAATATCCCCTGAGCAGACCCCAGTCCCGTCAACTGGTCCTTAAAATTGTCCGCCAATCACTACGTGCCGTCTAGATAGTCCACCAATAGCGTCAGCTCTTTGGCAATCAGCGAATGTGACCCATCGGATACCCTGTTGACAGGTGCAGCGCAACATCGGCATCTCACAACAAGACAGCTATCCGATGGCCATTGACAGGATGATATTTTTCTTTTCTTCCTAGCAAAATGCCCCGAGTATCATACTCACATTGTTGAAACTCCGTTTCTATTACATGCAACATGCGGACTCTCTTGGGATATCTGGTCTTGGCTGGCTCTGGCATCCTCAATGGTGTTCATGCGGCCAGCCGAGACGACGAGCTTGCGCTCATTTCAAAGCGTCGCATTGCTGACCTGGCGCAGTTCCCTGACCCGACGTGGTTCAGTCAAATATCAGCCTGGTTGGACACTCAGAAGAGTGACGGAACTTGGCCCGACGTCAACTACATGTCGGGATGTGCAGCTCGTAAGTTGGCTTTCCACGCACCGCTTCGGGACCTTGCGAGGTTGACGCCTTGGATTATTCTTCGTCGACATCTACATGGTGTTCTCATGTACGTAAACTAGCTGGCAGCTAATTGGCCCTGTACAGAACGCGCCAATTGGCCGATTCAAGTCCACTGGAATAGAATCATCACCTTCGCAGCCGCGTGGTCTGGCGCCAACCCGGCTGTCGCACAGAATTGGACTAGGAACGACAACCTCATGGAGGCTATTTCCAGGGGCTTGGAGTATTGGTTCAGCAACGACTATACTCCAGCTGACTGTATGGGAAATGGCGGGAAAGCGTACGTGTGCCAACGACGACATGTTGCTTACTGACTAACTTTTCGTGACAGGACTGGAGGCTGCCCATGCGGTACGCCTGGTTTGTGGAACACGGTATGTGCATGCCTGGTTACGGCATCATGTTTTTCAGATGGGCAGTCGTGCCTAACTTCCCGTAGAACTGGTATGGTCAGGCTATCCTGATCCCGCAGTTGTGCTCAACTGCGTGCTTGCTCTTGAAGGACGCAAACCTAACCAAGGACATAACTTCTGGATGCGAGCGTATTCCTCGCAGGTCGTACGACTTGAGAGATGGAGTCTACGGCAGCGGTGGCCGTATGACTGGCGCCAATGTAGGCATATATAAAATCCCCGTCGCTGCTTGCTCTCACCAGTCACTTACAAGTGACAGGCGGTGCTGGTAATGCAAAACTCGGCCAGTCTGGCTTTGTACTCGAACAACGCCACCATACTGCAAGATGCTTATGCCAGGGCTATGTCCGTCATGACAGTAGGTTTCACAACTATGAATAACATCCTTTCCTGACGCTGACGAGACCAGTACGCCGACAAGACAATGGAAGATGGAATCCACAGGGACGGCACGTTCCTTCAGCACAACGGCATTCTGTATAACGGCAACTACGGCAAAGATCTTGTACGTCCCAATGTTACACTCTACCCTTCATGTCAAGTCCGTTCTAACACGGTCTTCAGTTCAATGCCTTTATTCAACTTGAAGGTGAAGCAATCGGCACCTCATTCGCAGCTGGAAATGCCACCCGAGACGCCATCGCCGCCCAAGTAAGGGGCAATGAGTGGATGATCTTTGTTGACCAGCAAACAAAACAGGAACACTGGGACTTTGTAAGTTTTGGCATTGGTTTTTTTTATTGAAAAGGTCCCCGCCATATTGACGGGCTAAAAAAAAACCAGAATGCCATCGGCCGGTTTGTCGCATTTCCCACGCAGGACCTCCAAGCAAACGCCGACATCAACTTCAACACCACCAAGCTCGCCGGCGCGGTTGCCGATTTCGCGGGTGCGAATAATGTCAGTGACACGATTCGACGCTTAAAGTCCAATGGAACCGAAAAGTTGGTTGGCAACAAGGGCTTCTGGGCCAGCGACTACATGGTAAGCCAAGCGTTTGAACCCCCCGGGCAGACGGGCATGACCTCTTCGACAGCGCGCCTACTAACTTGCCCGCAGGTCCATCGAACCAAGTCCTTTGTGCTCGGCAACAAAATGCTCTCCACGCGGTCCCGCAACACCGAGTCCGTAAACTCTGCCAATCCGTACGGATATCACCTCGGCCAGGGCACCCTCTTCTCGTACGTCGAGGGCAACGAGTACAAAGACATCATGGGAGCGTGGGACTGGAACCTCATCCCCGGAACCACGACCCTGCTCAACCACACCAGTTTATCAGCGGGCGCGTCGGCCAATGTCGGAAAGAAGGACTTTGTCGGGGTCGTCAGCAACGGCAGGGTCGGGGCCGCGGTCCAAGAGTACGCCGATCCTCTGGACGGAAGCATCTCCTACCGCAAGGCGTGGTTCTACCAGGACGACTTTGTGCTCATAACCACGCAGGACATCAAAAAGACTGTGCCGGACGCGTCCGTCGTCACCGTCTTGGATAATCGCGCCTCCGCCCACGGAAATATCTGGGTGGACGGGAGGAATGTGCAAGCCGACGGTGGCAGGACGGCCCGGGGCAAGACCCTTTTCTACGGAGGAAACGGATACCTCTCGTACGGCAAGGCTTTTGACCTGACGCTATTTGAGGGCAAGCGGACGGGCAATTGGTCCGAGATATCAACTTCACCGGCTGGCGTGACCACCGTGTCTATATTCTCGGCATATGCCACCATCGCTGATACTTGCAGCGCGTATGCCGTGTTCCCGGCATCCAGCCGCGGCCGACTTGCCAAGGAGCTGGAGAAGCCGTCGGCCTCGCCCATCATCCAGAGCGGCATCAGCGGCGCCGTGGGATCCGGTAGGCTGAGTCTTGTCTTTTGGCCAGGCGGCGACGGGAGCATCAAGCTGAGCCTTCGGGAGATTGGCTGGGCGGAATCGGGCTCTGTAAACATCACCTCTGCCCAGCCTGGCTCGTACCTTTTTTCCGGCACCGGCAAGCGCGGCAAGGGCATGACGCTGGTGGTTACGCTGTCCGACCCGACCCAGAAGGCGGCTTCGGCTTCTTTTTCGCTGAATTTTGACGGAGCGAGGGCTAAGCTGGGCGCCGTGGCGGCAGATGAGGGTAGATCCGGCAACGAGACCGAGGTCAAGTATACGGTGGATCTGCCGACTGGTGGCATGGCAGGATCGTCGACATCACGAAAGATGTACGTGGAGTTTAGATGATGTAGATCCCTGGGCTGGATACACTTATATATGAGTATGAGCTGTTTATTGTGCTGGTTCAGCAGGGTGGTGCGGCATTATATGCCCCGTGGCCATGGTGCATCTCGGTCTGTCGTCAAACAGTGACTCGGTAGCAGCCAAACATCTAGTGCGGCGTCTATGTACCGGCACGTACTCAAGAATCCTACGGGGTTGTTCTCGGGATTTGGTTTCCTACATGTTTCCCCCTTGACAAGCGTTTGAGAATGTATAGCAATGCTGGGATTTGAACGAAGACGTCAAGGAGTCTGTGATGGTCGTCCTTAGGGATCTTTTGCCAGGGAACGGGTTTCCATTGGGTGCCAGAAAGGAAAGCGGGTGTTTTCTCGAAGATGGATCTCGCAATCTACATCAAGCAAAGTATTGCTTAGCGTCATGTCTCACACCCAGTCAGTATGGGTGCAGCAGAGTCTCACATGGATGCCCGGGCTGACAAGAGTGTTGGATGCAGCGGTGGATCCTGGAAAGCTTGAGGTCTGGATTGTTCTGTGAACATGGCAATGCCGCAAGCATGGCTAACGAATCCCCGTACATCGGAGAGCGATATACATAGTCTATTTCGACGCCTTTTCAGAAACGGGGAAACTAGTTGGGTGGCCCTGACGAACTCTCACCTCGATTATTTGCAGAATCATGAGATGAGACTCTGGATCAGATACTCCTCTCTCCCGGCCCCTTCCCGCAGGTTCCACGATATAAATCTTGTCGCTCTGTTTCTTCTTGTGGAAGCGTACTTTGACCTTCTTCCTCCGGCAGTTATGGCAGCGTGGCTTTACTAAGGTGCGGGGAACCATGGAAACCAACCTGTTTGAGGAAGATGCTTGCGATGGTGCGGAAACAAGAGCAGGGCTCTGCAGTTTGCCTGAGTGGATACGCAACCGGAACATTGTCCCATTTGGAAGAGAGGATGACTTGATAAGAATATAGGCTCAAAGTTGTTTATGGGAGCATGTAATTGGCCGCAAATTGCCATCATACGCAAACCAAGCTTTGTGTCAAACTTGTCGTGCCGAACTGGGGCCTTAAGCAACGCATCACCTTTCAGCCTCATCACTCATGCAATCTTGTCTCTGGTAGACAACAGTGGGAAGTGTTTTGCTCGGCGTAGTTGAGCAATGGCATGAGTTGGCAAGTCAAGGTTGAATTTCAACATGGGTCACTGGTACGTGATGTTCATGGCGGAGAGATTTGCTCGCTCTTTTACAATTCGCCCATGAATACATTTCAAAACTAGTCCTAACGACTCGTACTAAGAACTTGATGCGTCTACGCCTCGGATGCTCAAACACCCAAGCATTGTCTAGGGTGCAGGAATGATGCGATGCGCTCCAACTTGAACAGACGACAAATGGCCAGACAAGTCAGTCGCAGCCTCAGCTACACATGGTCTACACATGGCCTGCGGAAAAGCTTAACTGACGGTTTTGCACGCAACTTGGAAAATAGTTGCCACCAATGTCGACGTGTATATTTCTTGCGGCGGTCTCGCCTCGGGCGAAGCGTGACAGCGCAATCCCCGAACAGTGCTGCGGCCAACACACAAAAAGAAGCAGCCATGAAGCCGCCCCGGTTGTGAAAATGCTTCTTGTTTCATCAAGGACAGAAGAAAGGCAACATTCCCTGAAAACTGCCGGCGTAGGGACCCTGCTCTTACGCTTGGGCGTCATTGTGCATCCCAGACCGGGGTCGGCTCACGGGCGGCAGCAACCATGACGTAATTGATGGACGCAAGAACAACCGGAAGCTGCTCCTCCAAGAGAGAGTGTCAAGGGCGGAACATTGACAGGATAAGCGGGTAACTTATCACCGGTCAGAAATTGTTCCTACTGGGATGACTAGGGAATCCCTGCTTGTTGCCTGCAGTAACGCAGGCAGAAAGAATTCTACGAAAAGTCGCTTATTTTCAGTCCCACTCACAGAAATGAGGCCGACTACTACAAGGAATACTCGTTTCAATAGAACTACGGAGTACTCCTTGATTCTTACAAGTCAGTGGTGGTTGGCGCAGGTAACACGCGACAATGCGACGCAAACCTCGGACGCACTGGTCGCTACAGAACTGGCTCGATGGACCAAGTAGCCCCAAGTTCTAACTGCTTGCTTTCAACTTGGAATACGAGGGTCGACTTGAACAACATGCCGTGTCATTGGGGTGTCCGTGTTGCCATATCCGATGTCCAACGAGGCGTCCAGCCTGTGCGCAATATACGCTGGGCTTTTGCTTCAGCATCATCGGAATTGTGGGAAATGACAGACACCAACACTGGATATTGGCCAAAACAATGTACCGCCGATCAGTAGGCCATTTGAGGCGAAAAGTTCCGCCGCAACACAAAGACGGTTGCTCATGAGTCGGGCTCCCTGAGAGTCTGGGGAACCACCCACTGTTCCTGGCGAATGTCTTTGTCTTTGAGTTCCCCCATTCTTCAATAGACAAGTCGACTCTACAAAACTTTAATAAACCCAGCTTCTGGTCTTGGGTCGTTTATTGTTGGTTCCACTGCGAGCCGCCGGACACAAGGCCGTCGAAACTGGCTCCGTTAAAGCTCCATAACATGCGTCATGGAAGGCTCCATCTCCAGGCAGAAGCATTTCCAGGAGTTTGAGCAGGGAACAAACCGGGGGTAATGTAGCAGTGGCTAGTTTCTCGACATGGGAGAGGAGGAGCCGTCAGCCATCCAGCCATCCAAAGCCACCCGCGAGGGAAGAAGGCCGTGGCCCAAGTGGCGCGGACGTGCGGACCGATCGCAGACCAACCCTGCTAGTGTCTCTCCAAACGACGATGTCATGATGAATGGTGTCGACGGCTCACAGACCGGCTCTCTGTGGCGAACGAAGCAAGATACTCGAGGTTTCCCAAAGTCAGCCGAGGGCGACCGGACCTCCCGGTGTCGTAGCATGATGATCTGCCCCTCCATGTCAGTCAAGTTCCTTTTTTTCCTTCCTGTGTTTTGTCTCTTCTCCCAGAGCTGAGCTGAGGAGGGCTGGAAGGGTCCGTTGCCTGTCTTGCGTATTTTGGGCGACAGAGAGCATCTTGATCTAAGCGGCCAGGCTGCCCACGGCCGCCAAATGCCAATCATGCAAGACATTGACTTTGCCTGGGCCCTTGATGAGGCTGCAGGCGGTACTCCGTACTCCGTACTCCTACTACTCGGTGCTCCCTGCTACCATATCGCAACCCCCCGGGGCATGTCTCAGATGAGAACAGACGGTAAACACGGACGTCGACTGGCTCTCCCGGCGTTGCCAGGGTGGTGTTCCGACAAGAGAAAAGACTGGAGGGACTGCTGTCTCTCAAATGCTCACAGCTCGGTCGGGGGCCAGACCCAAGCGCCGTGTGCATCTGAGGCAATTCAAACTCTCTGTCCGCAAACTGAAGCCGGCTAAACCCAAATCGACGATCCCCAGACCATCCGCACATTGCCAGAGACCAAACGCGGACGCCAATGCCATACTGGGAGCCATTGTGAACCAACCTCGGTGGATCCTTCGCATGCTTCAAGTCATGGCTTATACAAACTAGGATGGCCATGTGGACGAGGGGACAAGACGTGGGAGACAAGCTCGGTGTTTAAAAGCAATCCGTCGCCCACCAAGTGGGTTGGAGGTTGTGTTTTGATATTGTTTTGCCCGCTTCGTCCCTTTCTCTCATCATCTTCCTCCCCCCCCCTTCCCGTCTCCATCTGTTCTTACTGTGGAATATCTCTCGTCTTGAAGCCATTTCAGGGCACACGGGGCCAAGAGGAATCAGAAAAGATGCCGCCCCAAACACACTTTTCCGAGGACCCCCCTCAGGTCATCAACCAGAAGGACCTCGAGCTGGCCAACGAGAGGCTTAAGCAGTCCGGGTCAGGCAATGGTCTGGCCGCCGCCGGCGAGGGCTCCGGCATCTCTGCCTCGGACGAGACCAGCTCGCCTCCCGGGACCGATGGCAACGGCGGCGCCATCGAAAAGGTGGGCACGTACGACAGGTACGAGATTACCGAGGACGACTGCTACGACGAGCTGGGATACAGCTTCCCCTCGTGGAAGAAGTGGTACATCCTGACCGTCATCTTCTGGGTCCAGGTGTCGATGAACTTCAACACGTCTCTGTACTCCAACGCCATCCCCGGCATCTCGGAGGAGTTTGGTGTAAGCGACCAGGCGGCCCGGTGCGGCGCCATGATCTTCCTGGTCCTGTACGCCTTTGGCTGCGAGCTCTGGGCGCCGTGGTCCGAGGAGTTTGGCCGCTGGCCCGTCCTCCAGCTCTCCCTGTTCCTCGTCAACGTGTGGCAGCTGCCCGTCGCCTTGGCTCCCAACTTTGCCTCCGTCATGGTCGGCCGCGCCCTGGGTGGTCTGTCGTCCGCCGGCGGCTCGGTGACGCTGGGCATGATTGCGGACATGTGGGAGGCCGATAACCAGCAGTATGCCGTTGCCTACGTCGTCTTCTCCTCCGTCGGCGGCTCCGTCTTGGGCCCCATTGTCGGAGGCTTCACCGAGCAATATCTTGACTGGAGGTATGTCCATTTTCAAAAGGGAAGTTTGGCAAACAATGAATCCTGTACTGACGACGCATACACACACGCAGATGGTCCATCTGGATCCAGCTCATTCTCGGCGGCTTTGTACAGCTCGTTCACTTCTTCACCGTTCCCGAAACCCGCACCACCATCATGATGAACCGGATCGCCAAGCGGCGCAGAAAGGAGACCAACCAGAACGTCTGGGGCCCGGACGAGCTCGTTCCCTTCAGCGACCGCTTCTCGGCCAGGGAGATTCTCGTCACCTGGGTTCGACCGTTCCGCATGTTCCTGACCGAACCCATTGTCCTGGTCCTGTCGCTGCTCTCGGGCTTCTCCGACGCTCTCATCTTCATGTTTATCCAGTCGTTTGCGCTCGTCTACGGCCAGTGGCACTTTACCACCGTCCAGATTGGCCTGTCCTTTATCGCCATTGGTGTCGGATATCTCATGGCTTGGGGCCTCTTCATTCCCGCGATCCGCCGCAATATCAAGGAGCGCAAGCAAAAGCCAGACGACGAACGTGCCCAGTATGAATCTCGCCTCTGGTTCCTGCTTTATACCGCGCCTTGCCTGCCCATCGGCCTCATTGGCTTTGCCTGGACTATCCAGGGGCCGCCCATCCACTGGATCGGGTCCATGGTCTTTGTCGCCATTGTCGGCATTGCCAACTACGCCATTTACATGGCCACCATTGACTACATGGTTTGCGCCTACGGGCCTTACTCTGCCTCTGCCACCGGAGGCAACGGCTGGGCGAGAGACTTTTTGGCCGGTGTGCTCACTCTCCCCGCGATCCCGTTCTTCAAGAATATCGGTGCTTCCAGCGGCAAGAACCTGGAGTACGCCAGCACCATCCTCTTTTGTATTTCTTTTGTCCTCGTGGCCGCTGTCTATGTTATCTACTGGAAGGGTCCTGAGCTGCGACACCGCTCCCCCTTTGCCCAGAAGCTGGCAGATGCTCGTCAAACGCAGCTGAACGAAGGCCGCCGTGGCAGTATCCCATACGACCCGGACGAACGCCGAGGTATGCCCCGTTTATTCAACCTTCTTTTGTGTCATTTGCTCTAGTCACTAACCGTCCACTTCAACAGGCTCTGCTACGTCTGCTGTTAATGTTCGCCCTGGAAACGAGCGACGATACAGCCAACAGCACCGGTTCTTTGGTGAAAGCCGTGTTACCCCCCGGGGGACTCCTCGCGGCACACCCTCGGCGAGTCGACGACCTAGCATGGCAAATCTGGCCGCGAAGAAGTAAATGCCGAGATGGATGATTTCATTGGTGATAAGTTTGGTTCTTGTTTTGTTAGATATATTCTGTTTCTGGACTATTTGTAAGTTTTAATTCAAGTACTTTGAATGCAGAATGATACCATGTTTTGCCAAATTCTTCTCCCGTATGTTTACTTGCACTCGTTGAATATCCAGCGATGCCAAGTCTTGCCCAGCAGCGCTGTCGGATGACAGTCACAACGATCGATAGAGTTCAATGTGGCGTGCCAGTCGACATGCTACAACACCCGGATCGCAGATCTTGACAAGTTGGGCGGAGTGACGTGACAGTAGGTTGGGCAGCGGATGTCACCTCCATCTCTTGCAATCTGTACGATCAAGTGACAAGGACGTTATTCCCGGATCACGGGAGTTCATTGACTGGTGCTCACCTCCCCAACCCCGAGATATCCGTGGTTTAGGCGTTCATCGTAGCCTCACGATTCCCGTTTAGAATGTGGCTTGCACTCCTGCGTCATCACTCATCACTCTGTGTAATGTGAAATGCGCCATGACGAACTGCGAAAATCACATACTGTAAATCCAAAGTTGTAGGCCAAGTCATGGCGTCAACCGCTTACAAGCAACACCGGCTCGAGGGATAAATGCCACGAGATCGGCGTTGGCTACCAGTTATCATTTGACCTGTTTGCGACCATTCCAACCATTACCTCTTTGGCCATGCTCATCACTGTCGCGCCAGCAAGCACCAAAACGGGCAGGGCTGCGATCCGCTCGCTATTGACCTCTCGCGATGCCGGGGTTGAAATTCAAGCCATTTACCGAGATGCGGCAAGGGCACCAGCCGAATTCACATCACTGCCCAATTTCACAGCCATCACTGGAGACATTGCGGATGAGTCGTCTCTGCATTTCCAGGGCTCAGATGTCGTGGTTGCCATCACACCCCCGGTTTTCGACAGCGGCGATATAGTGGCCATGGCGAAGGAGCGCTCCGAAAACGTCAAGAGTGCAATTGAAAAGTCGGCAACGGTGAACAAGGTCGTCCTCTTGAGTAGCATTGGCGCTCAGTACAGCAGCGGCGTTGTGTGTGTTTCTTGTCCCCCTTGTTTCCCACGCGGCGTCGACTTTTCCCCTCTAACACGTGTGCTCTTTAAAAGGGCGAAATCAAGACAAATAACATTGCGGAACGGGTGTTTGCGACTACCAACGTCCCCGAGATTATATTTATCCGCTGCGCATACTTTATGGAGAACTGGACCGTTGCGCTGGACACGCTCCGTGGTCCAGAACCGTTCTTCTTTTCCACCGTCACGCCGCTGGAATGGAAGATTCCCATGGTGGCCGTGGGAGATGTCGGCGCCGCGATTGCAGCTCAGGCATTGAAGCGGGAATCCTCGCCCAGTAGGCCGTATGTCTTTGAGCTGCACGGCCCGAGAATGTATAGTCCTCTGGATGTCCAGGTGGCGTTTTCGGATGCCCTAAGGACACGGGTGGCCGTTAGGCCCGTGGCAAGGGGAGACTTGGTCGGGTTTTACAAGCAGGTGTTTCCGGAAGATGTCGTTCCAGAGTGGGTAGAGATGGCCACGAGCTTCTTGCCAGGGGGCGTGATGAAGCCCGGTGATGTGGAGGAGGGCACTGGTGTTGTGAATGGAAAGACGGAGCTCGGAGACGCGGTGAAGAATGCTGTCGAGTCGTTGCTTTGATGATGCGCAAATGAGAGAGAAAAGCTCACCTGATACTACCTAGCGGTTATGACTAGGGTTAGGGTTAGGCTAATTGGTGTGACCTACTAACACAAGTGGACAACACCGAAGCCGCTCAACTTCGGTTAACCCGCCCTTTGATTGACCACCTTGACATGCACACATCCGTCTTATTCCCTCTATCCACACATCTACACCATTGCCGCGGATATTCCCCTCCGGTCCTCCTCCGAATTACAATGCGCTGTGACGTAAGCAGTCTTTTGGTGCGTCTTGGACCGAAAAGCCGACCGCAGCCGCCTCTCCAAGCATTGCATTTATTGACATGCTGTCCCAGTGCCGTGGGAAACCCTGGCCAGTGTTTCCCGTGTGTACCCTGAATCGGGCTCAATTGCACAATGTACATGTATGCAGTTGGACGCGCTGCAACCCAATCCTGTGGCAAGGCTGTGCGGCAAACCTTGCATTTGCAAACCCGGCAATTCAGCCTCAGCGCGGCGAGGAGAACTGATGACGGCAATGGCACGGCGCTGAACCCGAGATGGTTTACCGACTTGCGAGGCCGTATCAAGGCGTGCCTAGCAGCCAATCCGCAGGGAGAGGAGGGCGCGAGATTGAACAAGCATCTGGAGTATGTGGATGATAACTGGTTGGAGCTCTCAGCCGGCAGAGAGGGCTTCCTGACCGACGAGAGATGGAGGGGATTGAACAAGTTTGCTGTGGCCTGGGGTGACATGGTAGGTTCGCCTCAATCATGAGGTTGACAAGTAATTATTGACTTGCGTTCTTGATGCGGAAAAATAGGATAGCATGGTGAGCTCTTTGACTCGGCCCTTGTTCCTACATTGTATGTACTCACTAACTTTTCGTGCCTAGGGTATGTAATTATACAACAAGTATTGTGTCTTGGGCTCGAATCCCCCGAAACCACTGACACGATGCAGGCCACGTCAACAACATCATGTACAACCGGTACGCTGAATCCGGGCGCGTAAATTGGGTCACGTCGTTTGCGGCACACGCACCCCCCGAGCAGCGCCAGCAATGGGTCGACATCATGAGCCCCCGTGGCATCGGCCTGATTCTCAAGAGCATCAAGACCGATTACAAACTTGTGAGTGGTCCCGGCGAAGTTGCGCCCAAGAAAAGGCTGGCATCCTGACCGGAAACGCCGACCAGCCCGTCGAGTATCCGGACAAAATCACCGTCATCCACAAACTCGCCCAGCGACCAACCTACTCCTCCGACAGCATCTTCCTCGACGCCGTGATTTACTCGGAAGCGCATAGGCGCGTGGCGGCGCGGTGCTTCGAAGACATTGCCGTGTATGACTATAGAGCAGGCAAGCGAGCCACGTTGAAGGGCTTCATGGTCGACGAGCTGCAGAAGATATACGACTTGCAGGAGCGGGGCAGAAAACAAGTCGATGGCAAAGTGGACGAGTTGGAGCGCGACATCAAGGTGATGGAAGACAAGGCGTGATCGGCACCACGGGATATGCGATATGATATGACTGTGTATACAATATGTATTAATGCAACAGGTTACAAAGTGGCGATGGAACAAACACGTCGGCAGGTTTGTCGTCTCGCAAGATTCTCACATGCCGACTGGGAAAGCACAACTTGTGACTTTTTTTTTAACGAGTGTATGTGCAGCTTTATTTCTAGCGAACGTTGTGTTATGTACGGGGTGACTTGGCGACGCAAGTGATAACTATATACAGTGAATCGAACGTCGACCATGGTGCGACGCGTTACAAAACAAGACCAAAACCCTCAACCCATCCGGTGCGACATGCGCTCCTATCTACAGAACTATTGACACTTAGGTGCTGTAGTGAGCGACGTACGCAACCTCCATCATACTACCATAGCCGTCCTGGGTATTACCATTGGGATAGCCGGGCTGGCAGGTTTCGTCAGCATGCCGTTTCATGAGTCACGACGGCCTTCGCCGAGGGGGCTCAGAGAAGATCGGGAGCATAGAATCACAGACTTACCCAGTTGCCGCCGACGGCAAGATTCAGAATGAAGAACTGGGGCCTCTGGCAGAGCGCAACCCACAGGTTATAGTCGCCGATGCGAGCACCGCTGATCTGGTGGAACTGCCGGCCATCCATGAACCAGGTGATAGTCTGCTGCGCCCAGTCGCCGCTGCGGCGGTCAAACTCGAGACGCCAGACGTGCCACCCGTCGTCCGGGATGCCGACGGCGCCGCCGAAGCCGTTGGGCTCGTTGCAGGGGCCGCCGCTGGCCGAGTAGCCGCAGTGGACGGTGCCGTAGCCGGTCCAGAGGCCGTTGACGCGCTCCATGATGTCGAGCTCGCCGCCGGTAGGCCACTGGACCCCGTGGCGGATCGAGTCGCCGAGCAGCCAGAAGGCCGGCCAGATGCCCTGCTTTGCGGGCTGCGGCGCGCCCCCGAACCGGAGGGCCGCCTCGACCCGGGTGACGCGGCCGGCGTCCGGGGTGAAGACGTACCGGCTCTCCATGCGGCCCGAGGTCCATCCCATGCGCGTCGAGCCGTCGCGCCAGGGGACGAGCTGCACCGTCTGGCCGCCGCTGATCTGGAGGTTGCGCGTGCTGGGCGAGTACCGCTGCAGCTCGTTGTTGACGTTGAGGTAGCCGTCGACCAGATTCCAGTTGCCTGTGTTGGGGCTGGTGCCCGCCGCGCCGGGGAACGAGTCTTGCCATCGGAGAGTGAAGCCGCCGTATCCAGGGGCGCCCCAGGCCGTGGTGGAATGGGCAAAGGCCAGGAGGCTCAGGAGGGCTCGGTGGTTGACCATGTTTTTGTTGTTTTTTTGGTTTTTTGTTTCTTTATAAGCAAATCTTGGTGGAAGAGACGAGCGGAAATATGTACAGTAACAAAGAGTATATACAATATGTACGTCGAAGCGAGGATGGGACCGAGGCGTAGCAAGATCTGGATCTCGAGATGAACCGTTCCTTTCTACCTCGACCCAGGGGACGATCAGCACCCAGGGGGGGGAGGACCATTTTTGAGTTGATATAACTACTCGCTAGACAAACAAGCCTGATCATGCACAAAGGGTCAGCCCGGGATCAAGGAATGCCACTGTATCAGACCAACGACGCCAAGTGACCACAACAGCCTCGTTGCCCAAGGCCAATCAAGACAGGCACCATGGCTTGCATGGGATACATGGCCAAATACCGATGGCGGGAGCCTCCTCTGGGAAACGGCTGCTCGAGACCTTGATTGGCCGGGCTTGCACATGATGGTTGTGACTTATGGGGGTCATGAATCTCCCGCCGGCAACCAGAGGGTTCAGTTTCAGAGCAGAGGTTAGTTAGTCATGGAGACAGGAGACATGAGGCAAAGGGCACTATCGGCCATGCCAATGACAGCAACTGGGAAGCAATGCAACCCTGCCGCAGGAACTCGATGCCTCCTGACGAAAGGCCCGACTCAACTACACGCAACACGTGCCATGGCAGATGTGAAAGCGTCGCCGTGCCTGGTTCACAACCCCCGCCGCTTGCCCCAGATGATCTAGTTGGGGAGAAGAGAAAAGTGACAAGCTTTCATGTCCCGAGAGCTGGTCGGAGTTGGCATCGCAAAGGGGTTTAGCGCTGGCATGTGTTGCTGGTTCGTGGAGGATCCATGATCGTCGGGCCTATGTTTCTGAGTTCTGGGTTCCGCCCCGAAAGACAAAGACCTGGACCTTGATTCGATCTCCTTTTTTTCGGCCCGCTCGACTTTAATTTATTTTTGCCGAGACGTCTGTCTGGCGGCGTCGGGAGGCTTGCGAGTGGCTTTCTTGGCCGTCCAGTCGCCGCGGCTCGTTGGCGTGGTAAAAGTAATCAACCAGACCACATTTCTCGGCCGGGCGGCGCAGTCACGATGCCGATGGCCAACGGGCATTTATATGTATTAGCTTGGTTGCGAATCCACAAGCCGGGGCATATTCGACCGTCCTGCTGATTGCTCTCTTCCCACAGCTTGGCCTGCGCCGTGGCAGATGAGAGCGTCAACTGGTCTCCTGAGGACTCATGGACGGCGTGAACGCTGGCACTTCCCCATGACCGGGATAGCATGTTTGGCGGCTAAAGGCATCAGATGCCAAGAAATCTTCAATCGTGATGCGTGAGCCATCACATCCCGGATCGCGGACAGCACCCAGCGGCTTCTCGAGCCATCGGTCAGTCATGTGCGTGGCACGCCTGGGAGTTAGTGGTGTGCGGGCGGATGTGTCGCCTCGCCTAGCAGGTCGCAAAGAATGACTTGTTGGACAGGGTCACATTGGATGACGCGTGAATCCCTCCATGTTGCTGGAACAATGAAACGTGTGACAGCGCCGACACACCAGTTGACCCCTTCAGCGGCTTTGGCCAAGACACGGCCACGTCGATCCTCACATGTGTGTATCACTGTATGTATGTACATTCACCACTGTACTTGTGTGGGGAGCGCCGTATAATCGTATTGGTCGCGCGTTGTTGTGGAAAAGGTCGATGGCAAGTCGCACAGGGGAGGCTGGAAAACAGACCAGTGACAGCTTCAATGTTGCCAACTCCCAACTAATAACTAACTAACCAACCAACCAACCAACTAACCAATGCCAACAACCAGCACGCGGGCGCTACGCTAGGCAAGGGACGTTGTTGAATCCTTTGACTGTGTCACCAAAACGCCATGGCCATGCCGAGCGAGCTCAAGTTTCCCTGTTGGATGCAGGGACCAACTCGTTTGTGTTACACGGCGAGCTCGACAGAAGCGAGATAGTCCTCTTGCAAATGCTAGGGAGCCCGGCGTGTCACATATAGCAGTCCTTCGGCGTGGGTTCTATATTCAACTCCTTGTCCGTGATGCAAGCCGAGCGCCGCCGCCGCCACGAGCCTTTGCAGGATTTTCGAGTCCCCAAACCTCTGCATGACAAAGAGGTACTTGGCAAGCGAGAGATGAGCATCGCCGACGAGTGTGAAACCCGTCCAGCGATGCTCACCTGCGACTGGACCCGACAGAGCCACGGCATGCAATGCTAGACTGTCGCGGATTTCCGTCGTCGTGACCATTGGACGGCGCCCAACTTGGAGAGCAACTTTCAGCTTTCCCACCAAGTTGTAACAACAAGCTTTCTGGAATCGTCCGCCAATCTCGCCCCGGTCCAATTGGAGGCTGCTGTCGCTGCCGGATCCGACCGTACCAAAACCCTGGATTCTTACTCATTGGCTCTCTGGTGAGCACGGCAAGGTCTTGTTCCCACATTGCCCCGAAGGGCATTCACCACCGGGCTAATAGGACTTCAGGGCTGGAGGGCCTTGGATCTCTGCGAAACAGTCCGTCACAAGATTGGAGCCAAGTTCATGCACATGTGCGATACGCAGGGCGCTTCAGAAGCCCATCCCAGATGCTGATGCTGATGCCTGATGCACTGTCCATCAGGCCGCGTGGCAGCCGTGCACAAATGCCCATTGACACCACGTCTCAAAAAGTCTGGTCCAAGTCAGCGTACAGAGGTCGCGGGACTGGTTTGCTCGTCTTGACTTTGTAAACTCTAGGGCGTTGGATATTCCTCAAAACAACATTCGCGGAAATCTGATGAGGCGTTGCATTAGGTGGACCAGACTCGTCCTGCACGGCTTCGGAGTTAAGAAGAAAGAGAAATGTCAAGTCCATTGATTCGAGAGTCGAGACTCGAAACCCCCGCCACATTGCCGTCGTCGACGTCACGACCGCATCCTCACAACTACTAAACCGTGAAAGGGGACCTTGAAACACTGCCTTTTTGCTTGATTCGTTCCCGTATCTAGTATCAAAATTCAAAGCCCTACTCCAACATGCCCGCAACCGCCGTCTTCGCATCCGGATCCTCGGCCCTCATCACTGGCGGCGCATCTGGCGTCGGCCTGGCCATTGCAAAGCTCTGTCGCAGCAAGGGCATGAACATTCTCCTCGTAGACGTAAACGCCGAGGCTCTCCAAACCGCCAAGAAGCAGCTCGTTGGCGAAGACGACGCCGGGTCCGATGTCGTCACGGCCGCAGCCGACGTCAGCAACCCGCATGCCTGGACAGAGTTGAGCAAGACTGCCACCTCGGCATTCAGCACCATCGAGCTTCTCGTTCTTAACGCCGGCGTCGGTGCGAGGGGAACCTGGGGAGACGGCGAGTATTTCAACAAGGTACGCCCTTTGACTGCGAGGGCGGCCAGTCCACCCACTGATACTAGGCGTCATAGATTTTTCAGACGAACCTTTTTGGTGTCGTCTACGGAATTAACGCCTTCCTGCCCGTGGTCCGGCAAGCTTCCGAGACGAGGCCTACTGCTATTGTCATTACGGGAAGTAAGCAGGGCATCACGAATCCGCCGGGAAACCCGGCCTACAATGCATCCAAGTCTGCTGTGAAAACTCTGGCTGAGCATCTCAGTTGGGACTTGAGAGGCACCAATACCAGCGTCCACTTACTCGTCCCAGGATGGACGTTTACCGGAATGGTAGGTCTGCTGTTTATTCCTTTATTTCACGTGCATGGACCGAGGGCACTAACAGATGCACAACATTTGCAGACCCGTGGGGGAAATACGGAAAAGCCCGCGGGTGCGTGGGCTCCTCAACAGGTAGCCGAGTATTTGTATCGCAAGATGCAGGATGACAAGTTTTATGTTATATGCCCCGATAATGATGTTTCAGAGGAAACTGATAAAAAGAGAATGCTCTGGTCGGTGGGGGACATTGTGAATGAGAGACCACCTCTTACAAGATGGCGTGACGAGTGGAAAAGGGAAGCAGAGGAAACCATGGCTAAAACAAATGTATAATAGTTGCATTCATGGGGTTCATTACGCACACTTTGAAATTTCATACTCGCGCCAAGTTACAGGACAAACTTGAGTTTATGTACTAGATTATAAGCAAAGGTATACAACTCTGCAGGATTCCCTTCAAGACAACATGCATTTATTCGGTTCTCCTTGAGAAAAAACACACAAACCTTAGACGACGGTCCCAGACACCTGTTTGATCTTGCTGAGCTTAATGTCCCTCCACAGCCAGGTGCAGCCCCATCCAACCACGAGCAAGCATACACTTGTGATGAGCATATACCGCTGAGTCTGAGAATAGGCAGCAGAGATTCCATTTCTCATCTCAGACCCCACAGGGTATGACGCTTGCTTCCTGACCTGTCCGTAAATCTCATCAATGGGAGACCCAGGGGGTAGGTTGTTGATCAGCTCCTCTCGGAAAGTTCCAGTCCAGATGGCCGACGATATGGTGCTGCCGACGGCAGACCCGATGCTGCAGAAGAGGTTGAGCATGGCCATGATGACAGCCACATGCTGGTGGTCGGACGGCGCCATCATGGCCATCTCACCCGCGACAACCATGGGTCCTCCGGCAAAGGCAACAAAAATCTGCGTCATGATCACGTATCCAATGTCCTCCGAGGCCTGGCGGAACTTGATCATGAGCCCGACCCCCAGGATAGTAAGAGGCAGCGCGTAATACGTAGAAACCCACTTGAACTTTCCGACCTTGTGGACAATGAGGCCGATAATGACGGCTGCGAAGCAGGACCCAACACGGTAAATGTTGCTGATATACGTGGCCTTGGTGATGCCAGTATCCCAAACGACAAGAAGCATGGAGTAGAAGTAGCCTCTCCATATAGAGCCACTGGCGTAGATGAAGACGAAGCTCACGCCGGCGGAAAAGACGGTGCGGTCCAGCAGCAGCTCATAGGGGATGAAGCTGACGGGGGCGAGGAACTTCTCCCACAGGACAAAGGCGACGAGCAGGACGGCGCCAAAGACCAGCATGCAAATAATCAACGGAGAGCGCCACTGCTCCGCCTGATAGGACCAGATACTAAAGGGCAGAAGGAAGAGCGCCATGCCACCCGCGAGCAACATGATTCCAGCCAAATCCACAGCAATAATGTAGTCCCACACGTCCCGGGGGGTAATCCAGCCGGTGCGTCTCTCAATGAGGCCGGCCTTGACGGCTTTTCTGTCGTTGTAGAGGAACAGGAACGACAGAGGCAAGATGACAACGGGGGTGATAATGGTCCAGATGCCAAACCCCCATCGCCATCCGGGACCCGCGAGCACACTTTCAGTGACCGGGCCGCCGACCCAGGTCGTGATGATGTACGGCGATGTGGCAAAGGCAAGCATGAGCGGCCGGTTGAGAAGCGACGACGTATCGGCAATGAAGATGGTGACACAATACGAGACGCCCTGGGAACTGGACTCTCCGTTAGCAACTTCAACAACGCGTGTTAGCATACAAGTGCTTCCTCCACCTACCCAACAGCGTTGAAGACTTTGGCAGCAGCAAACGTTTCCACATTATTGCAAGCCGCCATCATAATCAGGCCAATGACCCAGATGAAGACGGTCAGGGTCAGGCCCTGCGGTCGGCCCCAAGTATCCAGGATCTTGGCGAGAGGGATGTAGCTCAGGCCGCCGATGATGATGGCCACGATCTGAATCGCAGGAGTAATAGAGTGTTTGTTGAAGGCGCTGGTGACGAATGGATCCATGCTGAAGACGACCACTTCCTCGATGGACTTGACAAAGTAGAGGAACCAGATCCTGGCTGCTGTTAGCTTTCCCGCCCCCCCTAGGGCACTCGGTGCGTCTGGCACTTACATGGCATAGGCGGTGATGAGGTGCGACTTGGACCAGATCTTGGTGGTGGCCTCGATGCGAGCGACGCCAGACTGTACCTTTCCCCTGTTGAGGCGGTTGCCAGTTGCGTCTGTGGACTCGGAGTCACAGACATTGTTTTCTGGCTTTTCAGGATTCGCCGAGACGGCCATCGCTACCGGCTGCGCTTTGGAGACGAGTCCCATCTTGAGATGGTGGCCGCCCTGTTTTCAGAACTTGGGAAACTCTGCTATGTGTACGGTAGGAAGTGCAAGGGGCCCGGCGCAGCAGAAATCCCTTTACTCTTTATAAAAATCCGCATGCCTCGTCCAACCTCATGTTCAGTGGGGATTCGGTAGACGGTATTGGATTGACCCTTGGCTCGCCTGCTGCCATCTCACCCACCACCGAAGTGACACCGTCTTTGCGACGTGAATGGAGCCCGTTTCCCGTGTCTTGCTAGATATTGCAGGGTATACACAGACAAACCTGGCCCTAAGAAGTGGATATCGTCAAGGTATGTCATTATGTCAGAAAATCAGGGTTGTACATCCCGGCCATGATCCTCCCTTGGTTGCGAGCAAGTGAAGTGGCCCACGCCGAATCAAGCGGTTATCTGATGATCTGATAAGATTTCAATTTTTTTTTTTCGCAAATCCCCACTAGACCTCATCCCCAGCGGCTCGGTCGAATAGGCCCAGGGCCCCTGTAGGATCCATCCATAGTAGGTGCATATCAAGGTGTGTCTGGATCTTTCGATATCGCTAGTTGCGTCGTGGTGGAGAGTAAAAGAAAGAGACATGGTCATGTCCAACAACCAACATGAGCGATTTTCTTTGGGTCACGTCCGCCTATCGAACTTGCATGAGGAAATTTCCGTCGGAACGCCTGCTTTGGCTGGAATGCGTCTTCTTTTGCGATGGCTGGATGCTTTTGATAGTCGTGGTCATTCCTTGGCCAGAATATCGGGCAATAGGCTCCAAGGCGTCCAGGATTTCCTGACAGAGCAGGCAGTTCTTTCAGGACTTCCATATTACGGCTCAAAAACTTTAATGTATTCGTCACCACCGCATGTAGCGCTGCCATGCGCGGTGGCCCAGCTATTTGAGTAGGTGTTTGGCACGCCGATATAACTCATAACGCTGACGGCGTGCCAATGGTCGGATGGCTAGACCAGTTGGCTGCTCATGTAATCTGACTGTGCCGAGGCTCTGAGCATTGAGTTTGGGGTGATACGATCAAGGTCAAATGTAAAAACTCAACCATTGCCCAAGTTAATGCTTTGTTGATCGCCGCTAGTATCATAACATAGTGACTCGACATCTGGCGGTAAAAGAAGCACCGGCACCGCTTCATACAGAATCCACCGATTGCTGACACAGAGAATTCGTGTTTATTGTGCTTTCGATAGTAGTAAAACCGATATTCGTTGCTAGGTGTCAGCCGCCTATGAAGAATTTGAAGGAGTCGACTATTTTTAGGCTGTAGACTTGTTGCCCATGGTGGAATTTGCGGCCACTACTACGTGTGCCGCCCAGTAATGTCGACGTCTTCAAGGCTTTATTAGCGTCCAATGACTTGATCGTTCTGTTATTCGATCCTAACAAGATTGTCTTGCCGTCTAGCGAGAATGCCATGACCTTGACCGAGCTCGAGTGGCCTGCGAGGGTCACATACACTGACTGAATGTCCGATGATAAAGACGATACAAGCCTGAAGGTAAATCTTGAATGGTGCTCGATGCCTCGTTCGGGCTCACGCCTTGGAGCTCCTGGCTTACGAAGCTTAACTACAAGTACGTTTCCTCGGACGTTTCAGTAAGCTCAATTTCTGCCTTGCACCACAACATTTCTCCATGGCTGCGGCGACTATCGGGCTCGTCCAGTTTGATTGTGATGCAAGCTTTCAGTTTCAGCGCTCCAAAATGGCTAGCGATTAATCACTTTAGCAACGTAGCTTGAACTTTACAATCCTCTAGAGTAATGTAAAGGAAGATTTTACAGGCACGTCCGATACGTCCGCGAGGTACATTTCCGCATCTTCAAAGAACCCGGAGACGAGAGGAATTTCGACGGCCGATTTCTCGCAATCCTTGGTGAGACCGGCTTCGTCCTCGCCAGCTTCCCAGACTTGCATTGTAGCATCGATCGTGGAGATTATGGAAGAGATTGGCGCCGACGCCCAGCATGCTTAGGACATTGTTGGTGATGTGCATGAGAAATACGTACTGCAAGTTGGGGGAATTTCTCTGCGAGGTCGCGTCTAATTTTAGAGCCGTGTGTCTGAGCCAAGGGCCGCAAGTCGTGCTCCCTGGGGTTGGGCTTTCTAGGGTTGGTGATTTAACCTAACCCTAACCCTAGCCCAGCGTGGTCAGATTACCGGGTTTGCGCCAGTGAAGAGTTTGTCGGTAATGCAATTCACAGCCGATAAAAAGAAGGGAGGAAGGAACGAAGCTAGCGTGAAGCCGAGACCATTTCCGAATACGTCAAGTAAAAAATAACCCCTTCGTTCTGTCCGAGATTTAACAACATCAGCAAAAATGAAGGTATAATGGTGGATTCTAACCACCTTAGATGGACGAACGGGGAATCGAACCCCGGACCACTCCCAGATCAGAATCCATCACATGGAAACTTGCTAAGGGAGTATTATACCACTAAACCATCCGCCCAATGAATGTTGAAGAACCATGTCGGTATAATAATAGAAAAACTTTTCCGGCCGGTTGTGCGGTGGCTTTCGGCCTTCCCCCCGTTTCACGGCCCAGCCCCCCCAACTCTGCCGAATGTGGGGTCGCACACGTGATCATCACCCCACTATCCCGAACCAGAGCCGTAATCGGCAGGTCGCTTCCAAGGGTGCGTCTAACCGTCGTTGCTGGGCGCTCTTGATCCATTCGCACCAAAAGCTTGCAGGCCACCGCCGTGTTGATGCAGCGCTGCGGTTGCTGATCACTGGCGCTGTAGCCTGGACAGATAAGAGACTGGAGGATTGTCGGATCGAGGTCCAAGCAATCTCAGACTTTTGCGCACCATGTCGGAGGACGACGTCGACATGCTCGGCCCCGACGGGCAGGGGTCATCCAAAGTTGACCGTGACCGCCGTGCGCCGAGGTTCAGTTGGACGCCCGCATACGAGACGACTTTTTTTCGCAGCCTTTGCGAAAGCGTCCAGTTGGGCTTGCGCGAGAACAGCAGTTTCAAAGCGGAGGCGTGGGACCGCGCTGCTCTAGCCCTGCAGGACAGCCACGGCGCGTATCCTGCCAAGAGCCACCTGATCAACAAGAGCGACAATGCGCGGAAGCGGTTTCGACTATGGCGAGGGCTTCGCGAAGACCCCGAGTTTATGTACAATCCCGTCTCCAAGACGGTGACGGCTACTGAGGAGGCCTGGAGAGCGCACATAGAGGTTGGTCATCCTGAACGTCCGATGCGCCGAGATGCGCTGCCATGTCAAAATGCGGTCAAGTGCGGGCACTGACTGGTGATTAGAGAGAACCGCTGTCGAGGGCTCTGAGGGGTCGGCCGTTTGATCATGAAGAGTACATGGAGATACTGTACCCCGATGTCATCGGGTCTGGTGGTGCGCCAAAGAGGATAATGAAACCTCGTCGTAGGACAGATGGACAGCCAGGCGACGAGTCAGATATGCCGGGGACGGGCGTTTTGAATCTTCAACCAGAGTCTGCATCTGGACAAAATACTCTTGAAAGCCCTGGTCCTGCTCGCTCATCTTTGAGCCAAACGCCAATTGGCTCCGCCACAGCATCAGGTACTCAGCTGAAGCCAAGCTCTACCACGATCCCTCCACGAACTACACCGACGCAGCCTTCCGCTCTCACTCCTCCAGATGAGTCGGCCAACCACGCGAAGAAACGGGTGATGCCCGCTCCTCAAACTGAAGGCGCGTTTGGTGCAACGCCGCCGCCTTCTGCCGCCAAGTCGGGCAATGCCATGGCAGACGCCCCGTCGCCCGAGAAGAAACGACGAACCTCTATACACGGTGACCCTGTGCCTGTTGTCACGTCGACTTCGAGCAACTGCCTTCACCATGCTTCATCGTCCGACTCGCCTACTGCTGTGCAGCTCCCACCGCCAGTGACCCTGGCAACTCCTCAGACGACAGCCGCAGACTCGCAGCCAAACGGATTGTCAACCTGTTTAAGCAGCTCGCGATGGTGCGAACTAGCTCTGGAGCAGTTCTTCAAGGATTTTGCAGGCGAGGACATGGACCTTCAAATACGAGTTGCGGAAACGGTTTTGGTTGATGAGAGCAGAGCACTGGTGTATTGCAAAATGCCCTGGTGCGTGAAACAACACTGGATAAAGAAACTTGATGAGACGTTCCGGAAAATGCGGTAATACTGCCGATTCATGAGAGGGCTTCGGCGACAAAGCCCGTTTTCTGGATGCCGAATGCATGAGACACGGGTGATTTTGGTGGGATTGATACCCCTGGCAGGAGTGGCAGATAGGAGCTTGTTTAGATAAGTGATACCCGTTGATGAGGCGTTAGGATTGGATTGATGGTTGAATTAAAGCAAGGGGTTCTTGGGGTGCATTTGTTTTTTCAAGTTGGGGGGAGAGCTTTGTTTGCATTTTACTCTCAGGGGTCAGGCAGCTCGTGTTGGCGAACGATAATTCGGCTATTGCAGTCGGTTTTCTTTTGGTAGGAGAGCGACTGGTATACCAGGTTTACGTGCTGGTCTCCAGGCCGGTGACCTGGTCGTCATCCATTTGGCTGCGTAATGATGTTATGTCAGACATGGTGTAATTGACCTTTTCGCATCTTCAAAGGCAGTTTAGGGTAATGTAAGGAGGTAATGAACAATGTTGTACTTACTCGCACATGTCATTTATTACCTTGTCCTTGCAGATATCCATTAATTGAACATGCTCTTAATATCATCTCGCGCACAGGGTCGGCGAAATTTCTCTCAAGATGGTTACGAGTTGAGTGGCTAATGGCCGGTTCTGGGCAGTCTGATCTGATCTCGATTCTCACAAAAGAAACGGGCTGCAAAGTGGAGCATACACTCTTTCATGAAAGCAAGGGAAGCAGGAGACGCGGGTAATCCACAGGAATTCTAGAGGCTGCTCATGAAAATTGAGTAAGAAAATATGCACCCTTATCCATCTTGGGTCTTTTTAAATGACGAGTGAAAGTGGAAGCGTGGAATGCCATCGTAAAGTAATATGGACCATTTCCTCGACCCCCTCCGACCTGCTAGCAACCGTTGACGCTGCAAGTGGGCCAGGCTGGTGGTGCCATGAAAGTACGTCATACATCGGCACAGAGACGTCAACAGGGCACCGCAGGTTTCAAAGCTCCTGGCCTGGCCTGGCCCGGCCTGCATCACATGAAGCCATTGATCTGCCCACCACCCTCTTCTCATCTTCCGTCTTATCTTCCGTCTCCCTTCTGACCATTCTCTGACAACCACCATCTCGATCAATCGCTCTACAAACCCCATCTTACGTCCCTCCTACACATACACAAACAGTGAGTTGCTACTCATGCACATGCACATGCACGTGCAGTCAATCCCAAAGTAATACAAGCTAAACCGGTCATCCTCAGTGTCTTACGCCGACGTAGCCGCCAGTGGCCCCAAGCAGTCCCCCGAGGACGTAAGTAACGCAGTCCCAACCCCTCTGCCCCGTGCTTCACCATGAACCACACGCCAAATCATCTCAACGACTGCCTGACACCTCGCGATAACCACAGGCTGCCGCCCCCCGACCCGCCGAGGTCGTCACCACCGAGTCCGCCTCCACAGCCTCCCTCATCGACGTCGACGTCCCTAGCGTGCGCACCGTGCCCTCCGACTTCCTCGAGCAGGACGTCCAGACGGAAACCCAGGCCGGGCGGCTGGAGCGCGACGTCGAAGCGGCCAAGGCCAAGGCCGAGCAGGCCAGGAAGAAGGCGGGGAAAAAGGCACGCGACACCGACTCGTGGCTCGTCAGGCAGTTTTCGAGCCTGTCCGACGGCAGCGCCGGAGCCCTGGTCATCACGAATGTCGCTGCTGTTGTTGGCGTGAGCTCCTACCTGGGCTATCGCGCCTGGGGCCTCTACGAGAAGGGCAACCTGACCTGGAAGAATGCCGGTGTCGGTGTTGGAATACTGGCCGGCGTGGGTGCCGTTGAGGCTGTTTTTGGGCGGTACTTGTACAAGGGCAAGAAGAATGGCTCGTCCTGATTTTGGGGGTGGTGTTTGGTCATGATACCAGGTTACACTTTTTTTTGCGTGTGGTTTCTTGGCGTTGGTTCTTGACGGTCAATGAGTCCTACTGCTAGTCTCTGCTCTAGTTTCCACTCCAATCAGTAATGCTATGTAAAACCAGCACCGCGGTGCGTTGTAATTGCGTGGCTACGGATGTACACCTTGTTTTGGCCTACCAGCTCCGTGACGAGAATCAAGTGTCGGGAATGAGTGGCCCTGCGGTGACCGTGTTGCGGACAACCATGAAATTTCGCATGGAGTGTAGATAGATATATGAACCGTCTATATTTCCATGGCCCGTAGTATGTATCTCTTTCGTCTCGTACATTTTTATAATACAGACATGCAGTCATGTCAAATGGTACATATTATGCCTTCCACAGTTGTAAACGCCTAGTTGTCCCATGCCTTTGCTTTACAAGTGATCTGGGAGCAGCTTTAATCTTGCTTTTCTTCGCTCTTCTTCTCCTTCTTTTCCTCTTCAGCCAACACGCTGGGCTGCTCAAGTTTGGCGTCCTCCTTGTCTGCGTCGGTGGCGTCTTCCCATTTCTTGGGGACACCGTTATTCTCTAATGGCTTGACGCCAGGTAGATTGTCTGTCTCGGGACTGCTGTCCTTGGTGGCAATTGCAGCAAGACTCTCTTGTGGCTCGCCGCGCGGGGCCTGCTGGAGGTCATCGGCAGCCTCTTCGCCATCGTCGGACAGCTCGGCGCCGTAAATATCAGGGTACTTCTTGAAGCAGTCCTGCATTCCCCTATAGGTGAAGAAGTTAGTACCCACTCATTACTTGAACCATCAACACCTCTGAAAACCACGTACTGGAATTTCTCGATACAGTCCATGCCCTTGGGCTCTTCGGTTGAGTAGACGAAGCAGCTGAAAGCGGTCTTGAATTCCTCGCCACAGGGGCCGTGTGCCATCCCCCCGAGACATGGGCAGTCCCAGTTGATTTCACCTGTTTCAGGGTTGAATGCGCCTTCTTGGCCAGCCTCTTCCTCGAGAGCCTCTGGTGATCCAGCGGCAACGACGGTGTTTTGTGATTCGGTCTTAGGCTGCGTCTCCGGGGTCGAATTCTGCTTTTCAATGGGCTTTGCCTGCTCCTCAGGTGTGGGCTTGAGTTGCTTGCGCTTCTGTTCAATAACGGAATCGACGGTTGGCACATCTGACTCGGTAAAGGCAGAAGGGGCTGCTATTGATTGGACTAGACACAAAGAATTAGACCCGAGTGTAATACGCGGTATTGGCTGCTTGGACATACTGGTAGCTTCATCGGCAAAGACGGAACCTGTGTTGTAATAGTACACAGCGCCGAGCGCAAGACCCCATCTCACGGCAGAGCCCTTCCACGTTCGCGGCTTGTACGCAGGGGTCGATGTTGATGCAAATCGACGGGGAGCGCTCTGAAACGGCTGGGAGCGAAGGCTCCTCAAGGCCTGTCGTGAGGCAGTCCGCACTGTAGCCCGATACATGCTGTCGAATGCTGCGACAAAGTTGAAAAGCGTCGAAGAAAACTGACGACAGGACTGGAATCGAGCATCAAAAAAACATCGTCAGCGCTGGCTCGATTGGTCAGCGCTCCGTCTCCCGTCTATCCGTGGAGCCCGGGCGCCAAGGCAGAACGGCGAACACTGAGTGGCCTAAACGCCAGTGTTTGCGGCCAAGTCCCCTGCGCAACACGGCCACAGTTGGAGCTGGCCGGTGTTTAGCCGAGAGACGGTTGAATGCCGAAGTCACTCACTCAGCACTGGGGGTACATGGATCTCAGAACGTGCAGCTGCCACATGGCTGTGACGCTGCAAGATTTCCTAGGGTGCCCTTGTACGTCAAGCGGCGATTGTCACCTTTTGGTGTCCAGAGACAGACAGTTGCGTGGCTTTGGGAATTCGAAGGTGACATTCACATCTCGCCGCTGGAGGAATGTCTGCACCTAAAACGGCAATTCAGTTCACGCAGCTCCACCTCCGAACCTAATCTAGGGAGACGTACATCAACCACGCATCACGCACCTGACTTTGGCCAGCTGCCGGCCACAATCGCCACTGCCTGCAGAACCATTGAATTTCTATTCATCTCGAAGAACTAGCGGGCCGCTTGTTCGCATATCCAAGGCAGCCTCCTGTGGTACCAAGCTTGGTGTTGAAGCTCGAAATGTCTACCGCCCAGTTCGAGTGGCACCCCGCCAAGCTCCTCGAAGATAACGCCGGTCTCCAGGATTTTGCGCTGCTGGTCCTCAACCAGCCTCTGAAGAATGGAGCTATTCTACGCAGACTCTGGAAGAACTGTATGTGCTAGTGATGTTCGACCTGTTAGTTGCGATTAGCTTTGACGGGGAGTTTCGTCCATCTCACTAATCGGAACATCAAAGCATCTGTGAGAGTCGCTGCCGATGGCGGTGCCAACCGGCTCCATCAGCTTTCCTCCTTTCAAGGGAAGTTTGTATGTAAATTCATAGCTCTACGACGGATAAGAGCCTATTGTGATTCTAACTACCTCCCCAGTCAAATCTGCAAGCCATCATTGGGGACCTCGACTCCCTCTGCTCCTCAGTGAGAGACTTCTACTCCTCACAACCGACCCCAGCGCAGGTCATCCATGACACCGACCAGGAGTCGTCTGATTTTGGAAAGGCCATCACATGGATTCGGAAAACCCAGCCAAGTGCTCTTGACATCGTCGCACTTGGTGGTATTGGCGGCCGTGTTGACCAGGGCCTCAGCCAGCTCCACCACCTGTACCTGTACCAGACAGACCCTGCGTACGCTAATGGCCGGATATATCTCTTATCTGGGTCGAGTTTGACATTTTTACTGAAATCCGGGACGCACATGATTCATGTCAAGGAAGATGGCGAGGATGAGGTGTTTGGGAAGCACGTTGGGATTATCCCCTTGCAGGAGCCAAGTCGGGTTACCACCAAGGGTTTGGAGTGGGATGTAACTGACTGGGAGTCGAAAATAGGCGGAAGACTCAGCACCAGTAATCACGTGCTGCCTCACACTAAGTGTGTCGAAGTTCATACCACGAAAGATGTACTGTTCACTGTTGCACTGCGCCCAGTCGAGGGAGAAGAGGAGGCGTGAAAGGCTGGAGGGTTCAAAAGTAGGAGGAAAAAGGAAAAAAAAAAGGAAAAGAAGAGAAAGGTTGACAAAAAATATAAGCAGCAAAAAGAGAAAAAAATCAAGTCCTAAAGCAAGACTTTAATTGCTCGCCAACCCAATGACCCCAAGACGCCATGCTTATGTTCCCTGTTGGATACCACGTGCTGCTGCGCATTCCATCACCGTAGGTAGTGCAACACTAGCCAGCAAAATGCGAAGAAAACGACGACTCCGCCCAAGAATAGCCATTTATCTTCCCGCGCTCGTTTTTCTACCATGCGAATGGTGTCTCCGCTGATGCCCAACGTGGTCCCGACACTGTATAGTCTCTTCTGCGTATTCTTGAGCCTCTCCCTCTGCTCACCGAGATTGCCGAGTACAGCCTGACCTCTCGCAATGTAATCATCTAGGGCAGAGTGCGTCTGCTGGAAGAAGGCTTGCTCCCGGAAAGCATGTGCCTCGCGGGTCTCGTCTCCAGATCCCGTCGTTAAGGGCGCGCCTGCCGTCGACGTATGTCGAGGGTGAAAGGAAGAGTTCGTGTTTGTTGGTGTGCCTGCGTATGGGTTCTCAGGGGTGGCATTGTAGGGCCTTCTTCCTAGTAGCTCTCTTCCGTTGTTCTGGTATTGGGCCTCGTCTCTGGATTTCTTCAGTCCGTCAATTTGGGACCGGAAATCGGAAAGATCCTCTCGAAATCGTTTGACGCGCTCGAAAGCTTCTTCTTGTTTCTTGGGAACGATTTCTTGGCGTGCAAGGCGGTGATATTCGTCGATAATCTTCGTGAACGATGACACCGACGCCGATACATTGCCAATCTCACCTGGAGTCGGAGACCCTTTGGCATTCAGCGTGTCGAGCTCGCTGCGGATCGATTTACTCTGCCTCAAGGCAGAGTTGTACTGCACGTTCTGTGAAAAATTCGGAGTCAGAGGCATCACAATACGACCTAGGGCGAATATTACATACCATGATTCAATAATTGCTATATTGTTGTGCAGTGGCCAGCTTGCCCTTCGCAGCTTACCTTGCATCTTCACGTGGAAACCGTGTTTCTTATGCGTGGAAGTACTACTACTACTGTGTTCAGAGTCCCGGATCGGAACATCTACGGCCCGTCTGGGGTAACCACTAGGACAGCCGTCTGTTGGCCCATGTATGGAGAATGTGGTCGAGAGATTATGCCCAAAAACATTTGGGCACTTAATCTTATCCTTGACTGTCTCAGCATGAAAGAGGATGTCATTGCACGCTACACCATACAACGACATGGTGAAGCCGTGAAGCTCATCCATTCGTCCACGACGTCAACTTGGCAGGTCATTGAAGAATGGGATGGGGACCCTAGTCAATCGGCAGCCACAACGGCGGATGCCAAAGCAAAGCCCGCCACCTCATGGAAGGTTGGTCATGAACGCTGATCTTGGACACTAAAATCATATTGCAAACGAATATTAATTCATAGTGAGGTAGTAATGCCGATTGAGAGGGGCTTGTAGGGCAAAATAAGCAAGTTTGCCGAGATCGGCACCGATACGGCGCCGAAGGCCCCTTGCGCCGTTCCGTCAACGGCGTTGGCCCGGTTTGTCACACGGAAAACTACCGAGATTGATGTTATTTCCGTAAATTGAGGCAAAAACTTGGCGGGCCTTCCTTAAATGAATTCGTCTCATTCAGCAACTGGGATGACGGCAAACATGTTTTTTGACCTTGTGCGAGTTACAACATGACCGACTCAAATACAAAAAGACAATCGACGCTCCGGCAGCAAGAAGCACGGCCTTTCTCGAACGGTAACACGAGTAGCGACATTGAAAACCAGCTTGCTGCCGCTCAAAAAAATGACGGGCCACCCTACTCAGTTTTCACTCCATGGCAAAAACGAGCCATTGTCCTTGGGGCCGCAGTCACTGCGTTCTTCTCGCCTCTTACTGCACAGATATACTTGCCGGCCTTGACGCAACTGTCGAGGGACCTGGGTGTGACAAACACGCAGATCAATCTAACCATTACAACGTATATGATATTTCAAGGCATAACGCCCATGTTCATTGGATCGCTGGCTGATAGTGGAGGTCGACGACCAGCCTACGTTGTATGCTTCATTATTTATGTTGCCGCAAACATTGGCCTGGCTCTTGCCCCTGGGTATAGTGCATTGCTGGGGTTGAGATGCCTTCAGTCAGCTGGGTCAAGTAGCACGGTGGCACTCTGTACTGCAGTGGTCGCTGATGTAGTTACAAGTGCCGAGAGAGGACAGTATGTCGGATTCACGGTGATTCCGACCGTGTTGGCCCCCTCACTAGGACCAATTATTGGTGGCCTCCTTTCTCAGTATCTCGGCTGGAGAGCAATATTCTGGTTTCTGGCGATTTTCTCTGGCATAACCCTGGTTCTCATTATTTTCTTTTTTCCAGAGACTTGCCGCCGGATCGTGGGCGATGGTTCTCTAACTCCACCTCCAATGTACCGGTCCGTATGGCAGTCCCTACACCTTCGGCGCGAAAAGAAGGCGAGACGACGAAACGCACTGTCAAAGTCGACATCAAATTCAAGCAGCGCCAGCAAGTCGGGGAATAGATTCAAGTTCAAACCACCAAATGTTCTGGGCTCGCTGTTTCTTCTCTTCGAGAGGGAGACCGGGTTGCTGCTTTGGACCAGCAGTATTGTATTCGCTGGTTTCTATTGCATAGCAACGGCAATGCCTAGTCTCTTTTCGAAGCGTTATGGATACAACGAGGTACAGGTTGGTCTGATGTATCTTCCGTTGGCGCTTGGTTCCATTGGTGCTGCCAGTATTGTCGGTCCGTCCATCAACTGGAACTTCAAACGACATTGCATCCGATCCGGAATCCCCTACGATCAAAGTCGACAAAACGACCTGTCCAACTTCCCGATTGAGCAAGCACGTCTGGAAATTGGCCTCCCACTGTTGTGCCTTGGTGCGGTGAGCATAATAGGCTGGGGATGGGCGATGCATGCCGCCACTCATGTTGCTGTACCGTGTGTGATCAGCTTCTTTCTGGGAATTGGGATGATTGGCTATAACAATACGACAAACATACTTCTTGTCGATGTCCACCCAGGTCGGGCCGGAACTGCCACTGCTGCCAACAACCTCACTCGATGCTTAGTTGGAGCGGGAGCAAGCGCTGCGATTATCCCCATGATTGACGCCATTGGGGCTGGCCCAGCTTTTACTCTTATCGGGGGGCTCTATTTCGTTGGTATCATTCTGCTCTTGCTCATTCTTCAATTTGGCATGAAATGGAGAGCGGAGGCCAAGGAGAAGACTCAGACGAGCAAGCTGAAGACAAAAGAAAGGCATCAACAAGGGCTCCTGGTAGTTGATGAACCGCGACCAGCGGAGGATACCAGAAACCGAGATTTGAGAAACGCATAGTCGGCGTTGAGACTAGACATTTGCATTTTGAAGATATTGCATAGCGTAGCTCGGTAACAGAGGCGTCATCACAAACATGCCTTTTGGCATTTGCGACTTCAAATGTGGCATCGTTGGAGAGAAGGGAGTGTAAATTTCGCCAGTATTCATTAAAAATATTCATAGCTTAAGAAACAAACAAACATTGTTGTTGGAGACAAACAACTGCTGCATGGAGGATCCGATCGCAGGCCAAGACCCACTCACTGCGACTGCCTCAATTGCTCAAGCGTTTGTCCCACTCATTTTTCACCATCTCAACTCTCGGTGCCAGCACAATCGTCGCGACAATAGTCGTCAATTAAGTGAGCACAACAGCAGTGCATGTCTGCATATCGTTGACCTTCTATTGGTGCTGTCCTATTCACAAGACGCTGACACGTTGTTCTTTGTCCCCACCACTCCGAACCAAAACGGCTTCGCCATGATCTTTTTCTTCTTCCCATCTCCTCTCACACCGTCAAGCTGTGGTGATTGATCAAGCGCTTTCATCACTTCGATCATCATGGAACTTGAATACGTACTAGCCGTGTCCGTCGCCTTTGCCGGTCTGATTTGGCGGGCTATGTCACTTGCTGTCTTGGGCATCATTGCGGTTACACTTCATATTGTCCTCTACCGCCTCACTCTTCACCCGCTGGCCAAGGTGCCGGGTCCCAAATGGGCCGCTATCTCCAACTTTTGGTATGCTCGACAGATAGCTAAAGGGAAAATGGCTCAATTGGGGTTGGAAATGCACAGAAAGTACGGTGATATTGTTCGTGTCGGCCCTAATGAAGTGTGGTTTAACACGACGGAAGCGTTTGATCAGATATACTGTATGTACAGCACTTTATCGAAGATGGCCTTTACATGCGGATGAAGCTCACATTTTTTGACAGGCACCGGCAAAGGATTCGAAAAATCTGACTTTTACTGTAGGTCTACGCGCTGTTTTGGTCCCGCTGTCTGATACTAACAATGGGACACAGTGGCAACAGCACTGACCAGGCCAACTATTGATTGGAAGTTTAATGCAAACTTTGAAGATACCTTAGATCTCTTGTCTGAGCGAAATATGAAACGCTACCGTCTACAAAGACGTTTAATCGGCCGTGTCTATAGTGCCGCGAATGTCGCGAAATACGAAGATGCTCTCACCGCAGCACTAGAGAGGATAGTGCAGCGACTGAATGAGCTTGAAGGGAAGGAGATCGACCTGAAAGAATGGATGCATATTATTACAGTCGAGTGTCTCGGGGCGACTGTTTTATCATGGTCGCCTGGTCTACTTCGTGATGGTACAGATTGGGGGACGTTATCGCATAGTTTCCAAGGCTGGCGAAGGAAGTGCTTGTTTGGAGTGTTTCCGACAATGAAGAAGATGGAGCAGTTGTCTCCCAGTCTTGGAAGGGCATTTGCGTCCCTATGGGCAGTAACGTACCGGCCTCCGCCCACTTTCAAGCCCTTCTTCCCTGTAAGTGCCTTCTCGGAATGTGTTGATGCGAGAAGGCCCTCACTGGTGGAAAAGCTGACGGAAAGATTATCAGGGCGTGGTGAAGAACATAGTTCGCCGTCTGACAGCGTCTCTTAAACCAGGAACACCCAAGGACAACCGAGTTGATTTGTTAAACGACCTGATTCAACTTAGAAATGATAGACCCGAGTTCAACGAGGTATATCTTCGGAAAATGGCCGTCACTAACTTTGGAGCGGGTCACGAAACCGTTGCGTCGACATTGACGGCGTCTGTGGCCATGATCGCCTCTCACAATAATGTTCAAAAGCAAGTATTTCTTGAACAACGCACAGCTGAAGCGGATGACGCGCTCGTATATGCTTCGAGTAACCGATTTACTTACACTAAAGCTGCTATTCGTGAAGCCATGCGACTTTACCCCGTGGTGCCCATGTCGCTTCCCCGCAAGACACCACCCACAGGACTACACGTCAATGGATTGAGTGTGCCACCCAATACCACGGTTGGTTGTAGTGCCATTGCTCTACATCGCAAGGAGGACATCTTTGGCGCCAGCCCTGATTTATATGATCCTGGACGCTGGCTCTGCGCCGAGACTGTAGACGAAACGGCTGCAGCAACATCGGCATCGGTCCGCATGATGGACAAGTATAGCCTGAGCTGGGGAGGTGGTTCTCGAAGCTGTCCTGGAAGAAATCTGGCTGAGCTGCTCGTGCTCAAGGTCATTGCCACCCTCTTTAGAAGGTTTGAAGTGGAGGTGGCGATTCCACCAGACGCTGACAAGGAGGCGTATTTTCTTCTTGTCCTCTCGGGCGTTAAAGTCAAGTTTCTCCCTAGAAGCGGGTGAAGCCGCCAAGGCGGGACACGTAGCCAAAGCGCAGCAAAGTGCAGAGCAGCAACCACATGACGGAGCTGGGGGATGCCAGAGGTGCTGTCACCTCCAACCGCGTTTGACACTTGGCATTATTACTTCAGTGATGGTATTCGACGCTTTGGGTACATTAGAGGCGGGCAGGGGGCATGTGCACATTACATAATGCTATCATGATGAGGATGAGCGGTTTAGCATCACTTGTGGTTGATACTATCTTGGCGAGCGGCCATTTGTACACAAAGAAGGCGATACACCCGGTGACAACAATATCTGGAACCCCCGTCTATAGCCGAACCAATGTGTCTCTGATTCCACCGCTAAATTAAGCATAATCCTCCCCATATACCATGAAACGCGTGTGCCACATTGTGATGTAGTACATACAGCCGGCTAATATCAGGCAAAGGTACCATGCAGATGCGACCGGGCACATGAGATGGCGTCTAATAACCGAAACATGCCGGGGTAAACAATTGTAACTACTACTACTAGCTAGTCGGCCTTAACTTTTTGGAAATGGGAGGGACCGATTATTCCACTCGACAGATGCGGGCAGTGAAGCACGTTGCTTACAGCGGAGCTGTAATAGCACTACTCGTGACAATGCTGCCTATTAATTAAATGTACGGAGCACTGGGCTTGTGATTTGAGTCATTGAATATGGACTTTGCCAATTTTATGCAACTTGCCGAGGTAATTGTCATCAACCATATCTCTTGCCAGGGGCACGAGTGAGCAAAATCCATGATGCCTCTTGACCAGTCACAGCCGAATATTAACTACCTTCCCGACGCGGACGACCAGCCCCTCTTGATTGATGTGTGCCTCGTCAGCAAATATTAGCCAAAATGGGTTCCCAGCGGATTTGGATACAATCTTGGTGCCGTGTGATGTGCCCGAGTGGTTAAAACTAAGCTCCGGGTCAAATGATGGCTCTTTGGGTGACCAAAACGCCATAGTGCAAGCCCTGATTCGACACTTCTTTGAGGAAGACAGAAATTTCCAACAATTGTTCCGTGCATTGCGTGTTGGCGTTCCGGAGTGGGTCTTGGGGCTAAAGAGGCTTTGGCAGATCATTCAGAGAACCGGCGGCACACTGGGATAACCCTGTCGGTCGGTCGTAGCGGATGAGGCCAATCTCGACCGAGCGAGTGGCAGCCACAAGATCGTTTGTTGAAACGTATGATTTGAGCCCGACGATGGCAACGAGGCGCGTCGTGTTGTGATGCGAGAGACACTTTGAGGCTCTGTTCTTTGTTCCATCCTCCGTCAGCGTCTCGCATCGACGAGCAAACACATCCGTAACATGCGCCAGTTGAGGCCTCGGCTGGTACGTACTACTGCCAACCGAGCCCATGGGTAGGAGATGCTCAATTTGTCAAGGTACCGTGCGCAGGAGAGGGGAGCTGGACCATGATTGACCAGAGTGCAGGTGAGTGGCCAAGCACCAAGCCCAAGACGTGATGGATGGGATCGATTGATGATGGATGTTGTCCACATGGACACTTCACCTTGTCGTTCTGTTGGGCGCTTGTCTTCGCCTGACTGGGCGTCGGCCGTGCCTGCCGTCCGTGTAATGCGGCTGACCTAGCCACATTTGCGGCAGGAGCAGACGGCAACATTGAATCTGTCAGCCCCCGTGTAGTGTTGAGCAGTCAAACGCACAAAGATTCGAACCTGTCTGGTCCTCTTTGCGAACCAGTCATGGTCGACTTTCACCCTCCAATATGGCCAGCTTGTTTATTACAGCAGGGCAAAAAAATCAACAGCATTTGCAAGGATGTCTCGCTTCCTTCCTTATCCGATGCTGCCCGCTCTCCTTATTGTTTGGCCTGACCAAGGTCGTCTTCGTGGATATGCCACGGCGGATATTCTACTCTAGGCCGCGATGCTCGATTCCCTGGAAAGCCTTGGAGCTCCGACTATACTGCTAATAATAGCAAAAGGCAAATATCCGCACTGAAGCTTTCTCGTCGCAGTTTCATATCCGTTGAACGAGGGTTGGTATGAGAAAGCATCGTTAAGGACGAGGATCAAAGACAAACATTAACCCTAGGGCAATTCACATCCGCATACGGACTAAGACCTGAATCTTTATCTGCCCGACAATAGTCATGTGGTCCTCCTGTAGCCACCCACACCTCCGCATTGAGTTTCCCTTTGGTTTAGTGATCCCCCGCGGATCAACCCATCGTTTAGGGAGTTGAAGGGCCTCCAGTTCCCCATATTAAAATAGAAACCCCAGAGCTAACCCCAGATACAACCCACAAACTTTGACGTAAAAGTTTGGTCAACATTGCGTCTCTACATCGCGAAGGATGAGGTCATTAACTCAAGAACCAAACTAGTGTCTCGTACTAGTAGTGCCAAAATGAGCCTCAAGCTTTCCGATACTTTCGAGATCATCCTTCGTGTTTGGACTTTCACTCGCTACCAAGTCGCTTCTCGCTGCGGGTGGATTGGTTCTCGAATGGCCTATCATTCCTCTGCCGAGCCACCCTGTCAGCGCGCGCGTGCGACGCGACTTGCGGGGAAGTAGCTGGAGCAGAGCGTTGCGAGCCTTCACATCTACTATGCCGTAAACGGTGGTTTCATGCCGACAGGTTACATCTAAGGCGACACCCCACAGGTCAAATGCGCTTGTCTTGGACGATTCAGTTACGGGAAGAAACCCAAAAATGGTCCCAACCAGAACCGGAATCATGCTTTTGTCGTATCGGTACAAGCCTCACTTTACGAAGTAATAGCCACTCAATCGTGTGCTTCCAATTTATCTCTGCCATTGTGAGATCCCGGAGCAGATCTCGGCCAACACTCACCCGCTATTGCGAGAAGGCTTCAAATACGATACGCATCTTCCTGTGTAAGTGCTAAAGTTCGGCGAATCTTCAAAACGTACAGGGGCTCGCCAGCGCCACCAGATACCCAAAGCCGCCCCTACGACCTGGACAAAGGGCTGTGCGGTTCGTGGACTCCGTTCCCCACAAGACCGGCAGCCTCCACCTGATTGTGGTGGGAGGGAGGCAGGGAGGGAGGGAGACGAAGGGTCAACTGGCTGGTAGAGAACTTGGTGGCAGAGAAGGCCGAAAAGAACTTCTTGCCGGTGGCTGCTGCGAAGGCAAAATGAGGCGCTGATGAGAGCCGCGCATGACGACGTCAGGGCGAGAATTAGAATTTTTGCCTTGGGGACAATTGCGACGCCTCGCCAACCTTTTTTTTTTTTTTTTTTTCCGAGGCATGGCGTGCTTGACTCTGCCTCGTCATATGAATAATATGGAGTAAATCTCATGGACTCCATCGTTATCATCTGGGGAGGGATTGGGGGCAAATGCAAGGCCCGCATATGCAAATTCAGCGACTAAATGACATGAGCAACGCATTTGCTGATACGTTGGCCAACCATTCGGGCCCTTCTTTTTTAAGCTTGGTTTCTTCGTCTGGATCCGGCAGGGGGTCGACTATCTGTACTCGCCAGATTCGACAAGCCCACCGCGGTTGTTTTATCGCCTCCGCGGCGTGAGAACTTAGCCTGGGACCCCCACGGAGCTCAATTTCAGTTGAAGCATTGCCATGAAAATTTCGCCGTTGCGACGCCGAGACAATGGACACGGGTATGGAATCGCCGGCATGTGGCGTTCCGCGAGGGTGAACGTTTGGCAGCCGCAGGCAGAGGGCCAGGTTCAACCGCGGCCGCCTTGGCTTGGTGAGATGACAGCCCATAAACCGCTGTGCCTTGGCTGCAGTTCGTTTGGCCCTGCCTGTGTGTGGTCTGGTGTGGCCGAGGAGCATTTGCGCATCAGCTCACAAGCCCCAACACCTTGGAGCTGGTCACGGCACGCGCAGTCGATATGTACTACATACATGCTACTCCGTACACAAGGCCATTTCTTCGGGACATTGCTGCTGGGAACTGGCTTGAGAAGCCACTACGGCTGACGACTCTCTCAGTTCGAATCATCAGCATCTCGGATGACTTGTCAGCCACTCCTCGACCGAGACGACTGGTGGACGCCCATGGCTCCCTCCTTTGCGCCTCTTTTCTTCGGGTCTTGGCACTGATCAGGAGTTGATGGCTTTGGAGATAAGGTTATTGGCTGCATTGCCCTTGTGGACCAGCAGGTCTGGGCCTGCTCCCCACCTATTTTTAAGGTACTGGCCTGTTAGCCTTCGACTGGGATCTTTTGAATGCCATGGCCGGCTAGGCTGGATCGGGAATCGCTCTCCGGGGTCGTCGAGTCTTGGCTGTGCCAGCCGTCGACCTCTCACCACGAAGAGGCTGATAACGAAACGTGACAAGTGTATTCATGGAGTCCCCCAGATGTCTGTCAGACGTATAAACGACGGGAACAGGCTCTGGCCTCTCTGCAGGATTATATTAAGAACCGCTGCACCCCGCGACAACACCACGTTTTCGATTTCTTGGGTGTCCCCATCCTGCTCGTCTTTGGCAACCTGTCCTTAGACCTGCCCGGCAGTCTTTGTGTAGTCTTGTTTTGAAGAACAAAAGACGCCATATTCACAATGACGACCACCGTCAATCTCGACAACGATGCCATTGTCCAACCGGGCTTGGTTGATGGCGAGAATAAAGGGCACCCGTATAGCCCCTCCAAGGGATCCATGGATGCCCACGTGCGCAAGGCGTCATTGCAGCATCACGATGTGATGCTTGACGACGATGAGTACGAGGGTAAACCGACAGACGAGGAGATGCAGACTCTCCGCCGAGTCTCGGGCAAGATTATGTGGAGCATGTGGACGATTGCCTTTGTCGAACTTTGCGAACGTTTCTCCTACTATGGCTCGGCTGTCTTGTACACCAACTTTGTCAACAAGCCTTTGCCAGTAGGCTCGACCACGGGCGCTCCTCTCGATCCCAACGGCCAACCTGGTGCCTTGGGTATGGGCACCAAGGCTGCCCAGGGTATCAGTCTCTTCAACCAGTTCTTCGCTTATCTGATGCCTCTTCTCGGGTAAGAACAAAGTTCCACCGCTCCATTTCATCCTATACGCCCTGCCAACATTGTTGCTAATCTTGATTCTTTTTGCAGTGCCTGGATCGCCGATGCCCGTATGGGTCGTTTCTGGACCTTGCACCTTGCCATTGGTATTTCCACCATTGCTCACGCCATCTTGGTTGCCGCATCTGCTCCCGGTGTCATTGTCAACAGCAAATCCTCCTTTGCCGCTTTCATTATTGGATTGATTTGTCTCTGCGTTGGCACCGGATTTTTCAAGGCCAACGTTTCCCCGCTGCTTGCTGAGCAGAATGACGATGTCCGACCCCGAATCGAGGTTCGCAAGGGCGAGCGCGTCATTGTTGATCCCGCTGTCACCAATACCAGAATCTTCCTGTATTTCTACCTGTGCATCAATATTGGCTCGCTCGCCGGTCAGATTGGTATGGTTTACGTGGAGAAATACGTCGGCTTCTGGCTTGCTTTCCTCATCCCCACTGGCTTGTTCTTGCTGGCGCCTCTCGTTCTCTGGTCGCAGAAGAAGAGCTATAAGCTGAAGCCTCCCACGGGATCACTGCTTTCCAAGTTCATCAGGATGGCCAACTTTGCTCGCAAGCGCTCTGGTCTGAAGAACTTCAGCTGGGAGGTTGCCAAGCCCTCCCGCGTCCCCCTTGAAGAGCGACCTAGTTGGATGACCTATGATGATGCCTGGGTTGATGAAGTTCGCCGTGGTCTCATGGCCTGCAAGGTCTTCCTCTTCCTGCCCATCTTCTTTTTGTCTTACAACCAGATGACGGCAAACCTGACCACCCAGGCCAGTACCATGGAGCGACACGGTGTACCAAACGACATCATCCAGAACCTCAACCCTATTTCCATCGTCATCATGATTCCCATCATTGACCACCTTTTGTATCCTGGTCTCCGCAAACTCGGCGTCGCCTTCACCCCTATCAAGCGTATGACGACTGGTTTCCTAATTGCCTCTCTGTCCATGGTAGCCTCTGCTGTTATGCAGTACTACATCTACGAGATGAGCCCCTGCGGCTGGCACGCAAACACAGAGGACTGCCCTCCCGCGCCCATCAACGTTTGGGCCCAGAGTCTGCCCTACATATTGATTGGTATAGCCGAAATTTTTGCCAACGTCACGTCGTACGAATATGCCTTCTCCAAGGCACCTGAGAACATGAAGTCTCTTGTCATGAGCATCAACTTGTTCATGAGCGCCGTGTCTGCCGCCATTGGCCAGGCCTTTGTTCCATTGTCTGGAGACCCTCTGCTAGTCTGGAACTACACGGTTATTGCAGTCATTGCCGTCATTGGTGGCATTGTCTTCTGGTTCTGCTTCCGCCACCTTGACTCGGAGGAAGACAAGTGGAATATGCTCAAGAAGTCTGAGTTTATTGGCAAGCAACAGCCCGGTGTTGGCAAGGCCCATGAAGCTGGGGAAGCTGCTTAAAGATGGGTTTGATCATGTGTTGCTTTTTTAAAGTTTTATGTGCCAAGGAGTGTTATGATACCAAGTAAATGTAGCAATATTGATATCCAATACACTGTATATTCACTCGACATGTCTTGAGCCCTCTTCCCTCTTCAGCGTGACTATTCACCGTCGTGTATTTACCCACGCTTATAAGCCTATCCCACATCCGCCTTTGTTTTTAGATATCTCTTTGAACAGTGGAAGTATTTTAGTGCAACAGCCAGGAGAGGCCTGAATACCAGGATTCGTGGCGGCAAGAGAGATGCTTGCTATTACGGCGGCGAAATAAACGCGCTTCGATGTTGCTCTTTATACTCGGAGAAGATGCCTTTAATCTGAGACCAATTGATATTATATCAAAAATTTCGAGTATTAATTGGATTTTCGCTTTATCATCATCTCCCCTGTCGGTGGGAAACTGGAGTCTTCGTTGGTTCGGAGGAGTGTGGTGTCAGGCAAGTGGACCTTTGGGCCATTTGACGGAGTTGGGGTCAGGAATCCATCATTTCTCCCGGCTCTATGAGCCACAATAGCAACATGACATGCAAGTCTAATTTCTGGGGTCACTTGAGTACCTTTTGGTTGCGAGTGCTACTTTTCCCGGTGGATTCCACAGATCTCACTAGTTGAAGCATCTTCTCAATGCCTATTCATCTGAAAGATGTATGGAGTATGGAAATTGGCAATTTAGGTTTATTCGCGCGAATCTTGGATAACTAGGATGAATAGCGTAGAATAGAGACGACTGTCGATTACGCAATGTTGGCGATGGATACTAAATAGATAAGAAATGACCAAGACAAGATATCATAAGATAGGAAGCATGTCATAACAAGCGCAAGCTCGGATCGCAGTGAGTGTTATTAGGCAAGACGCGAGGTGGCTAGTATATATCGGAGTCAAGCTGTGCCTATTATTGATCGCTCTAGTTACCATTGGCAATCTGTCAAATCTAGACCCAGAGTTAGTTTTAAGAACACGTGCTCCAATACGGACTGCTTTCTCATTAACACTAAAATGTCATTATGGCAATGGTCATATTGATACGGGCAGAAGGAATAGATCCTCGGAACCTGGGACAAAGGTAGTACTCGTTGATTTGTAGTTCCGACTTACCCTAGATTCAGCTATTTGTCAGGTGGGTATCAGCTATGAAAGATCGGCAGTTGATGGCCCGGGAGGTATACAGGGCTGGCTTAGCTGTGTCTTGCAGCGACCGGGTCGTTTGTGGGGGACTCTCTGGAGGACTAATGCATGGCGTCAAGGGCGGGTTTACATCCAGACCGCATAGTTAACCCTCAGCTTCGGGAGCGATGGAAATGTGTAAAAGGATTCGGGTAGTTATCGGTGAGAAGCACACTATACCCTGCGGTTTGCAGTCTCGATACATAGCTGATAGACTTGGTGCCGCTACTAATCGTAAGATGGAACAATCGAAATTCAATTGGAAGCCTGGCAATAACTAGGTAGGGAATTCCATTGCCTCTTTGGACGTCATGGCGTTTACGGGGACAGAAGCTGGAGGGTTGTGTTCAAGTCAGCCCAATGGAAGCTCAACCTTTCAGACTTGAAACTGATGCATGGCTGTCATCAAGTCGTACGGACAATTCGGAGCATACCCAAGCGATCCATGCAACCCCAGGTTTCCCCCGCTCCATCGCTGTGCCGTCGTGTTGTGGCTCATCCGAGTCGGTTAATCGCCTCATTGCATAGCCTGGTCCACCCGAGTGGCTCTGAAACCGTCTCGCGTTGATAACAAGATCCGGCCGCGGAAACCGAAAACCACTAACAAAGGTCAGTATGCGCGGGCTCCGAGGCCTCGCGACTCTGACATTCGCAGCCGCTTATAAGAACGGAAAGGCGACAAGTAGCCAAGTCTTCCAGGCTACGGAGTCGGTTGTCGGTTCTTTTAATAGCCATTGCCCCTTTGACAAACTCAATGGCTTATGGCTTGAATTAGCTATCCGAGACTTTTTGCCAACTTGCGTATTTACTGCTCTCGATAGCCGCCCAGCAATCACATAACGCCCTTCCCGGTACTGTCAGCAACCTCAACCATGGTCAAGGTCCTTCGAAATGGCCGATTTCTCCGTCCGTCTGGACACAATCCGAAAGAGGCCGTCTTTGCAAACTGTCTCATCTTAGATGAGTCTTCAGGAAAGATTCTCTACGTCGGCTCAGATGACGGTGGGGAGGTGCAAAGCGCCGTGTCTTCTGGAGCAGAGATGCTCGACATGCAGAACCGACTAATCGTCCCCGGCTTCATTGACAGCCACATGCACCTGCTGCATACTGGACAAACGTTGAACAAGCTGGATATAAGTGGCTGTGAGACCCTGGAAGAGATTCGCACCGCCATCCGCAACTACGCGAAAGCTCACCCGGATATGGATCGAATCCTGTGCTGCAGCTGGTTCCAGACCTCTACCAACGGAGAGGCATTTGCAAGCCAGATCGATGATCTGGACCCTCGACCTATCTATATTTATGCATACGACATGCATTCCATGTGGTGTAACACAGCAGCACTGAGTGAATTGCAAGTCGCAGACCTAGAGGATCCCCCCGGCGGTAAGATTCATAGAGATGGGGCTGGCAAGCCCACAGGTCTGCTATCAGAAACCGCTGCGTTAGGCATTGCCGACCCGTTTCTGAGCGCGCAGCTTTCTTCAGAGCAAAAGCTGGACTTCGTTCACGATGCTATTGAATCGTACATTGCCAGCGGATACACTGGCCTCATCGACATGGCCATGGACGAGAAGACGTGGGACATCATCCTGAGTTACCGCAAGAAATGCGGCGGAAGTCTTCCCATCTGGATGGCCGTACATTGGTTTGTTCTGCCGCAAAAGACGCCGGAGGAGTCCCTTGCACAGGTCGACGAGGCCATTACGCTGAACAAGCAGTACAACGAAAAGACTTCCCCTGACTGCCGCATCACCGGCATCAAGATCATGTGCGACGGCGTTGTAGACGCCTGCACCGCAAGTCTCATGGAGCCATACGCGCACAACGGCGGAAACGAGCCGGCGGTGTGGACTGTGGAGGAACTCGTGCCCATCTTAAAAAAGGCCGACGACGCCGGCTTGCAAATTGCTATCCATGCCATTGGCGATGCTGCCATCAGAGTAGCCATCGACTCTCTAGAGCGAGTGGGAAACTCGCAAGGGCGACATCGCATTGAACATCTGGAAACATGCTCCCCCGAGGATGTCAAACGCCTAGGCAAGCTCGGAATCACCGCATCGGTCCAACCTGTGCATAGCGATCCGTCCATCCTCCAGGCGTGGCCGAAGCTGCTCGGCCCCCAAAGATGCGAGCACGTCTTCCCGTACAACGGCTTCGCTGAGCACGGGGCTACCGTTGCGATTGGCACCGATGCTCCTACAGCGTCACACCTCGTTCTTCCGAATCTGTATACTGCTACGACGCGGCGGTCTGGGCGAAAGCCGGAGCTGGACGAGCAGACGGCCCCGAGATTTGCGCTGAGTCTTGCGGCTGCCATGGCTGCGGCAACTCAGGGCGCTGCGTATAGTTGCTTCGCTGATGACCGTGTCGGTAGGCTGGAACCCGGCAAGGCTGCGAATCTTGCTGTCGTGGACGTGGTTTGGGATCCCGCCAGGCTTTTAGAAGGCAAAGTCCAGGAGACGTGGTATCAGGGCCGCAAGATTTACGGGTAGCTCTATTTCTCGTCTGGTTCGGATGTCTTGCGCCTGGAAGTACTATATATCAGGGAATACAACAGTGGACAAAATGATTGCGACTGTCCAAACACATCGTCGAGTGACCATGTCTCCAGCACTATTCCCTTCACTCCTCGGTTGATTGTTCGTTTGATTTGCATTCGCGCCAGTGACGGCTGGAGAGTCTGTTCCGGCTTTCAGGCCAACAATGTTGCAACTGGTTGATCCGACATTGGCCTGAATGATTCCGACTTGTTTATTGGTTGCGTTGTACACGACATGGGCGCTCCTGAGGACATTGCTTCCCACAATGACGAAACGGTTGCCTGTGCTATTGTTGGCTGACGTGCCTTGAAGGCCAAAGATACAAGGGGGTTCCAACTTGAGACCCAGAAGCTTAAGCAGCCCCGGGTTGCCGGTGTCGACAACAAGTTTTCTCAGCGGCACATTGTTCATCTTATTGGGAAACGCCACATCAACGGTGACATCTCGCCCTTCATCTTCTGTGTATTTGCAGTCAATGAAAGCTCTCTTCTGCGCAATCTCGACGCCAAGATTATCCCAGACGGGCTTGACATATTCATTCAGCAGGAACGTCAAATCTGTGCCAGAGTCCAGAACAGTAGTGACGTTGATATCCCACCTCCCTCAAGTACTGTACCTTGGCCGTTGTCTTTGTCCAGCGCCAAGCCAGACGTGTGCACAGCATATGCTACAACTCCAGCACCAGGCTTGAAGCCCGGGACCAGTGGTAGCGTGGCGAGGTTTCCCATATACTTCTCGGTATCGATGCCGCCAAAGAGGATTATTCCCGTCACATTGGAGCTACTCGAGCTCCTATTCTGCAGTGGCGTGTAAGTCTGGGTAGCAACTTCGGAGTTGAATATATGATTTCTTTACCAGAAATAGACTGAAGGCAGCTCTTTCAATGTGTCCCTCCGTCACTAGATTATCCACCACAGTGTGATACTTTTCGGCGGCTGCTACGCCTTCACTTAAACCCAGGCCGAGCAACCCTGTACCTGGTGTCTGGCTTCTGATCAGCCCGAGCTTTTGGTTTCTGATAGACCTTCCATTTATAGTAACTGTGTCCTTGGCAAAGCCGCCACGAACATTTCTCTGATCAAGATAGGAAGCATTGAAATCTCCCATGCCCACAACCTTGAGCGATGTGCCCGGAAGCACTGTGGAAAAGATCACCCTTGCCCTCCGGATATTTGCCGGGTCGGGGACTATTCATGCACTCGTGACTTGGAACGGAGTCGGAAGCAGATGCGGTCAGTGATTTGCGGCTTCTTCTGCCCAATTTCTTGGGAGCTCTGGCCGAGATGGCTATGAGACGAACAAATTTGGTTGGTGGTGGGCGACAGTCCGTTAGTGTTTTGAGTCGCTTGATGGGGTTTGTTTGCATATTGGCCCTTTTCTACTGCATCGTACCGCCGTATTAGTTCCCTATCCTGTACAAGGCCGCCATCGAGAGGATGTCTATTAAGATGAAGATGAATGTCGGCAGGAGGGTGTAGAACAGACGTGAAATTATGAGCGACGCATATGCATTGATTGTCTAGTCTAGGGAACTGTCAGCACTGGGCACACCAGACACTTGTCAGTCGTTTCCGGGAGGTTGGCGCTCAACTCAACACCATCTCCAACTGATACTGCGTGAGTTCAGTTTTCTGAAAGCCCAGCTTCTTGGCCAGTCCTTGCCCATACTCCTTGGGGAAGATGGGCGGTACCATCCACTTCTTCTCCGGGAACCGTCCCATCATGGCCTTCGCAAGCCTCGTTGCCTCGCCTTTCCTCCGAGATTGCGGCGCAACAATTAAACATGCCAGTTTAACCGTATCCTTCTCTTTGTCCTCTGGATCAGTCACTACACAATACGCATCGCCCAATCGAAAGGCCCTATTAGTTTCAGGGGTTTTGTCAAACCCCCACGCCTGCCAGGGTAAATCTCCTGCCGCATAAGTCTTGACCAGCGCATCAACCTCCTCAAATGAACATGGCTTCGGTTCCGAATCTGCTGGGAATTCTCCTTGGCGGGGAGTATGTTGCCACCCCAGTAGCTCTCTGGTGATGATGCATCCGGCATTAGTGTACATCTTGACGGCCGGCGCGTTCTGCTGTATACATTCAAATCCCACGGTGGACATGCCGCGAGCCTTTTCAGCGTCAAAAACCATCTTCAGGGCTTTTGGTCCCACGCCCTTGCCCCTAGAGGCCTTGACTATGCCCATGGCGCCGAGACGGGTCTCTGTGGGTTTGTCTGGGCGGATGGCGATGAGGGCGAAGCCGATGGGTTCGTCGGGATTGTCTGAACCGTAGAAAGCATGGCTGTGAGCCTTGGAGAGGTAATTCAGAGTTATGTAGTTGGACATTGACTCGGCGGTGAAGTTGACCAAGGTTCCGATGTAATCTTCGAACGACTTGTTGAAGAGTTCGGCTATTTGACTGTTTGATAATTCTGATATGGGTCTGGACTCCATCGCGACGTGTTCTTTCTGCATCTTGTGCGAGTTTCTTCTAGATATCGATGTATATGACGCAAAACAAGGGAGCCCGAAGAGCTTCAAGATGCTCGCCGGAGGGCGCAACTATTGCATGATCTGTCTTTCGCGGCCGGACCGGGTACCACGACCGGGTGGAGCTCCGTGGGTAATGAGTTGGTCAAGGCCGTTTGGTTTCAGCATTTGGCTAAATGGAGCGAAATTTGCCACTCTTCGTCATAGCCGCCCCCAAAGTATGGTATCCGATCGTGAGCTTAGCTTGTCCACCCAACGAACTTGTGCCCCTAAAACCGCCCCGAATGTCTCAACTCCGAAGTCTACGAGAGTGAGCAATGTTTTAGAAGTCCAAGAGGTACACATGAGTACCTCAACGACCGATGTGATGCTGTTTTGTTAAAGCAATATCTTCGTCGCAGATTTGGCCGACGACCAAGTTTGGGCAAGTGATAGTCATAGCCAGTCAACAAATGTGGGAGCGCAGCGACTCATGTCTGTTCCTCTGGCGTACAAATGCTCTTATCGGCTCAATCACAACATGGCTCACTTCTTCCTTCAGAGGCGTTTCCGTTATGTCGCCAAAGCTGATATGGCCGTAGGAACTTTGGGACACCCGATCCTGGACCATTCATGGGTGTTGACTTGCATCTCTCGTGCATACTGATGTTCGGATTTCAGGAGGGAGTCACTAGTACCTAGCTGGTCTCAAGATCAAATTTCATTGTCGGTCAGCAGCCAAACACGTAGAGCACAGTTGGTCAGCGGTGAAGGGTCTGGGACCAAAAAGGTGTCAATGTTCAGGGTTGCGGGCAGCCAGGAGTCTGGTATTGGCGTGACAGCTCCGAAGCTGGATCGGGATGCTCCTTCACAAATTGCTGCAGTCCTGGCAGGCCCCTCGGTTGCGAAGAGCCCTCCGGCTCCAGCTCGGTTCGGTACGCAATTGGCCCGGCATAAATTTCTACGGTGGCTCTGCCCGCGGTTATTCCTCCTGGACACAGAGTACGGAGTAGAGTTTTGGTACTTTCATTTATGACCATCCGCACGTAGGTTCTAGGTACTGGCGCTGTGTTATCGCTGCTCTTTGGTTGGGCATCGGCCCCCGAAATTGTCGACGGTAGCTCTAGGAGCTCTTCGGCAGTCAAGGAGCATAATAATTCGGCAAGCCCCCCAGCACCCGAGCTCCCCCTCCAAAGCTCCACAGTTCCTCGGCATGGATCCTCTCATCTGGAATGCAAATGCAGCCCCTCTGACCCGGAAGACTTCCGCCTTTCCGACAAGCAGCGGAACATCTTCTGATTGGCCGATGCCCCCGGCTCAAGGCTAGAAACGGATGTCGCTGGTGAAGCTCTGCCATCAAGTCAAAGCCGGCGACGCGGGGTTCCCAAATGCATAACATTGAATGGCCTTGCACAATGCGAAAATATAAGTGAGGTTGAAAAAAAAAAGGAAAAAGAAAAACTAATCAATCAATCAACCAATCAATCAATCCATCCATCCTTGGAAACAGGAATCAACACAGTAGCGAAAATCACCAAAATGTCCGACTACACTCTCTACGCCTACTTTCGCTCCTCATGCTCCGCCCGCCTGCGCATCATCCTCAACCTCAAAAACATATCCTACGACCTTATCCCCGTGAATCTCCTCAAAGACGAACAGCTGTCTGCCGAGCACAAGGCTCTCAATCCATCTGCCTCGGTGCCCCTCCTCGTCTCCAAGCGCTCTCCCGACGCAGGTTTTAAAATTGGCCAGTCCGTAGCTGCCCTCGAATATCTCGAGGAAGTACACCCCGCGGTGCCGGCCTTGCCGCCAACGAGCGATGCCAAAGGACGTGCCACTGCCCGGGTTCTATGTGAAATCATCGCCGCGGACACGCAGCCCGTGACCAACCTGAGAATCATGCGAAGAGTGAGAGCGCTCGGCGGGAGCGCAGAGGAGTGGAATAAGGAATTGATGGGCGATGGTCTGAGGGCGTACGAGGCCGTGGCCAAGGACTCGGCCGGCAAGTACTCCGTGGGTGATAATGTCACCATGGCGGATGCCTGTCTGATGCCTGCTGTTTGGAATGCGCAGCGCTTCGGGGTGGATTTGTCGCAGTTTCCAACCGTCTCTAGAATATTTGCCAATTTGAGTGAGCATCCAGCCGTGCAAAAGGCCGATTACTTCAAACAGCCTGATTGCCCGGAGGACTTGCGCAGGAAGTAGCATGTGGGGAAACGGCACGACAATATGAACTGCATCATGCAAAATTACGAACCAATGCGGTTCTTGGCAATTCTGGGTTGTATTTTTTTTTTCTGGGAGCTGCTGTAGCTAAGATTTCACATTGTCCATAGCATCATTGGAAACATTTTAAAACAGAGGCTGCGCTGGCAGGATGGTACCAGACACCTCACCGAATCCAATCAAAGCGCCTTGCTCACCAGCCCATCCCCGAATAGTCACCGTGTCTCCGTCCTCGAAAAACTTGCGCTCCTCTCCACCCTGCAGCTTGACAGCAACCTTGCCGCCCTGGGTTTGCTCCAGAATACTGCCCTCGCTGCCGGGCTTGTCTCCCGTGATGGTTCCTGAACCCAACAGGTCACCGGGTCGTAAGTTGCAGCCGGTAATCGTGTGGTGGGCAATCATCTGCGGCCAGGACCACAAAAGGTTCTTGGAGTTGGACCTGGAGATGGTGGTCTTGTTGCCCTTGGCAGCTGCGACGGGTTAGTACGGGAGTAGAATGTGAGAGACGGATTGCAAGTCTAGATTCACTTACTAGTCAAGTCAACCTCCAAGTGAATATTGAGGCAGTTGTCCTTCTTCTTCTCCTGTAGGTAAGGCAAAAGAGTCTTATCGTTGGGGATACCGGCAGTCCTTGAGTTATTCAGAGCGTCCGCCAAAACCACCCAGGCGCTGATTGCTGTGCCCATGTTCTTTGCAGTGAAAGGGCCGAGAGGAATGTACTCCCAGGCCTGGATGTCTCTAGCACTCCAGTCGTTCATCAAGACGTAGCCGAAAATGTAGTTCTCGGCCTCGTCAATAGGGATAGGGCTGCCGAGCTTGTTTTCGCGACAGATGAACATGCCCATCTCGAGCTCCAGATCCAGTCGCTGACAGGGTGACAGGGTGGGGATTTTGGGCTCGGCCTTGGGATCCTTGAGAATCTGTCCCCAAGGACGATGGAGAGGGGTGCCGGAAACCACGACGCTGCTGGCGCGGCCGTGGTAAGCAACAGGAAGATGAGTATAGTTGGGCTGCAGAGCATTGTCCGGGCCACGGAACAAAACGCCAACGTTGTATGCGTGGTTCTTGCCGGCGTAGAAATCAGTGTAGTCGCCGATGTTGAGAGGGAGATGGTTCTGAACATCAGCGCGCTTCAAAAGCGCAGTCTTCTTCAGCTGCTCATTGTCCTTGAGAATCTGGGGGTGCTTGGTGTCTGCACTGAAAATAGACTGGAGGTACTCGCGAGCTGAGCGATGGAAAGATCGGCCCAGAGCAGCGAAGTTGTTGAGAGACTCAGCCGCAAAGACGTCTTGGTGCTTCTGAATTTCAGAAGAGGCAGAGAAACCACCACCGCTGGCAAATGCCTTGAGATCTAAAGCGTAGTCGCCAATAGCAACGGCAGGGCGCTTTGTCGCATCGCTTGAGGTGGAGATGATGCCAAAGGGAATGTTGGCAATAGAGAAGTGAGACTCGGGGGAGATGGTAAGCCACGACATGGTGAAATGTAAGATCGAAGTCGCGAGATCGGGCGGTTCGGTACACAAGAATGGAATTGAATAGAGAGAGATTGAGACGGCTCTTCTATCCAAAAGACGAAAAATTAGATGGCCAGAGCAATGTCTTAAGCTGGTTTGAATTCGTCACAGCTGCCGGAAGCTCTTTCCTCTGTTCCGTTTTCTGCCCCGCCATAGTTGCCGCCGCAACCCGATTTCGATGGCGGGGTCGAGGGCAAGCCGATGTGCGGAAATCACCCGGCATGTGTCGCTCCTTCCGCTTGAATCCGTCAGTCGCATCTCGTACGCACAAGATGACTTGCATTTTCTGGGGCATGCTTCGTCTAGACATTTGACGAGGCAAGGCAAATCAATGAAATATTCGCCATCAAGCCCTGATTCAAAATGCTCCATCTCGACTTGCCTGTAAGAACACGTCGAAGGCTCATCGAGCAAATATTCTCTCTCACATGCCGCCATTCACTGTCCTGGTGTTTGTCGGCGTTTGCGGTTCCGATTCCGATTCGAGGCGATTTAGCATTACGGGAAATGTCGCAACTCCCGAACCAGTTGATGCAAGCAAGACCCGGGGCTTGCCATGCCGTTTTCATGCTTAGAAATAAGCCATCTCTTAAATGCTCTGTAGACCGACCCTTGGTTGGGATATCCTCTTTGAATCAGAACCACTAAGAACACCAGTGTGGCATCACAACACTAAACAACATGTTCCAAAGTGGCATGATAAAGCATCGCAATAGCTCAAAATACGGGGAAAAATTCATCAAAATGAGTGGAATAAATTGAAGGTCAGATCAACCAACACCGCTCGTTCACTTGCAATCAAGTACGTAGCAACCCTTTCAGGTGTTGCTCGCCAGCTTTGCAGCCTACAGCCTACACCAAAAAGAAACGACTTGATCACGAGGACATACACAGGCCATTTCAATGATTTCTCTTAAATAGCCACCTACTATGTGATGATATAATGACAGATGCGCCTCCAAGGTTAGTCACCGTACTCTGCATCAGAACCATGCTCACTTCCTTGTCCTCACATGGACTAACATTTGTTGACACGGTAGTCGTCCAAGACGCAAACGTCAACCCTCTCCGAAATTCAAGACCGGACTTGACTGCCTACTCCACCTATCGGTGGGTAGTTGGCCCTGTCGTCGGAGCCGACAGAAATCTGGGCCGAATTCCGCGGACTCTGCAAGCCATGTGCGAAAGACAGACAGCCGGACGACACATCACAAATCACACCTAGCCCAAATCATGCATCAGCAGTTGTACGTAGCCTCTGATTTGTGTGGCAGTGCTCCATTGGCTTGACGGGCAGCCAATAGCGGCCAAAACATCCAAAGGTTGTCAAGGAATGTACGACGTACGTACTCCGCCGTAAGTTGCAGAGGCGATAGACATAAAGGTTGAACAAGCCGCCATCGGGGATTTCGCGGTCACAAGCGCCTCCGATCCCTGGCTTCAATTAAACGGCGGAATGCGCTATAGAGTGTAGCCTGTACAATGCGACATCATCTACTTCTTTACGGCACCAGTGAAGTTCGAAGAAAAGGCGTTTAGTGTCTTGCCGGCTGGACTCCGTATGTCACTTGTCTATTGAAGTTCTTGTATTATACGACAAGCCCTAGTGCTATAGATGAGCTACAGCTAAACTCACTGGAATTCCTTTTTCTAGATACATGCTTACCCTCCTGCAACCATAGTAGAACTTGAACCGGCGCATCGGCTACAACCGAAGCACCGGATACTACCCTACTATGCGTCAGCATCCCTCATATCGGCCACTCAAGTACCCCGAGAAAACTGTCGAATACGACATTTGGTGTCGAAAGTCTCATGTCGCTCACCGAACCCCGCACAAGATCCGGAGTGCGATTCTTACGCTGGCCTTTGACGTTAAACTTTGATAGGTATGCGACCCGTGAGGACGTAATCCTTCATGTACTGGGGCGTGCATATGACGCAGAGGGCGCAGACAACAGTGAAATCCGACAGGCTCCACGGGGAATTGGGCTCATCTTACGGACTGGGCTTTGTTATATTAGAAAGTGCGGCAGAGAAATAATACCTCCATGGACTCGATAGTCTAGGACTCTAGTCGATGTTCGGCCACGTGGTGGCCATAAAAGGCAACCATCCTTCCATCGCTCTGCTGAACTCCCTTTTAAAAAAACATCGGTTGACTTTCTACTCTTTCAACATGTCCTCAAGCGATGTTTTTACCATGAGAGGCAGCTTGGCTGCCATTCCCATGGAATTGGACAAAGCACACTTTGTTCCTCTCGTGACCTTGTTTGCATCTACGGTACGTCCACGTCTTTCGTCCTTGTCTTCTAAATTTTTTGGAGCTCATAGCTTACATGGACAACCCTTTGCCAGTTTGTTGCCTTCCACATCGCCCAAGCCATCTACCGCCTCTGGTTCCACCCGCTCTCCAAGTTCCCAGGCCCCGTCCTTTATTCTGTCTTTTACCTCCCCTACCTATATCAGGCTTACATCAAAGGACGATGGATCTTCAAAACCACAGAGTTACACCGAAAATACGGCCCAATTGTCCGAGTTGGCCCGAATCACATTATTGTCGATGGCGAGATTGGGTGGCCTCAAGTGTTTGGACGCCGGAAAGCCGATCAATCCGAATATGAAAAGATGCCCGCCGTCCACAAGGCCAAGGCGTACAGCATTATCGGTGCTACTAGAGACATTCACCGACGTCAGCGTCGGCAGTTGAACCACGCATTCAGCGACGCCTCCCTCACCCAGCAAGAAGATATCATCCAGGCATATGTGACGCTGCTCCTTGAGCGCCTCCAAACACGTGCTGATGAAGCAGAGGTCGTAGATGCGGTAAAGTGGATGAACTGTACAACATTCGACATTATCGGTGACCTGGCTTTCTCCGAGTCCTTCTCAAGTTTGCAGAACAACGCCGTGCACCCTTGGGTTAAGCTCATCTTTGATAGCATCCGTTTCCTCGCGGTTAGGAGATTCTTTGTCAACTTTCCCCTCCTGAGATTTGCGCTGTCCATGTTCAGCAGCAAATTCGGCACAAAGCAGCATCCTTCGAGAGACCACGCCAAGAACAAGGCGCGTCGAAGAATGGCGCTGGGACAAGATCCTCCCGGCGGCCGCAAGGACTTCATGTCGTACATGCTTCGCAAGACCAGGGATGGGCAGGTCGGCATGTCGGAGGAAGAAATCCTCGAGACGTGTCCTACTCTTGTTATTGCCGGCAGTGAGACCACGGCGTCAGCGCTCTCTGCATTCTGTTTTTACATGGACAAGAATCCCCGGGCATACGCGCAATTGACAGAGGAAATTCGAACAGCCTTCGGCGCGGAGGAGGAAATCACAATGCAGAACGCTTCACACCTCGAGTATCTGCAAGCCTGTGTTAACGAGATTCTCCGGATATACCCGCCTGCCGCAGAAACACCCGCTCGTGTCTCCCCCGGTGATTTTATCGAGGGGGTATATATACCTGCCAATGTAAGTCTATCCTGTGCACTCGCCTGCTTTCTTTCCACGGCCTGCTGTATGCCATCTGTACTGACAATGCTGTAGACACTGGTTTCCGTCTACCAGTGGGCAACGTTCCGCAACCCCAAACACTTCAAGGACCCAGAGTCTTTCATCCCGGAGCGGTGGCTGTCCCCTTCTCACCCCCTTTACGATGAAGGTTTCAAGAACGATAACCACGCGATATTCAAGCCATTTAGCTACGGTTCGAGGGACTGCATCGGCAAGAATCTTGCGATTAATGAGCTGCGCGTCATCATCAGTCGCATGTTGTACCGCTTCGATTTCAACGTACTTGAAGGACAGGACGATTGGCACACCAAACAGCGAAGCTTCATTATTTGGGACAAGAGCCCGCTGATGGTTCGATTCCAGACGCGACAGATGGCTAATTAGGTGGAGCGACAACAGCATACGTGGAATTAAACCTCTGAGTGCTATGGTTTATGACTTGATATGGAAGAGATTGGCATTGCGAGGCATGTACGGGTACTCACTCACTCATTATTTGCATGGGTGTTGTGTTAATTGAGAAGGAATGCACGCCACCCATAAATATATTGCTAATCCACAGGCATGCATAATACTGCCAGTGTCTTGCCGATAATAAGTGTGCAGGAACAAGGCGAGTGTCGCAAGAGGCCGAAGATCAGATATACAGCGTCGGTCATTAAATCAGGCACTCCACTATATAAATCCACACGCACGTTGACGCTTCTCCAGGGGTTTGATGGGCTGCTTTCCTCGGCACCCAGGCTGCAAAGAATCGCCGTCCTGTTGTTCAATACCTTGTTGGTGATTGGTGGAAGCGGAAGCGGAAGCGTGTAGTTGTGTTGATGCGTGCATTATTCTTATGGCAAACGATTGTTCCTATAAAATTACAACTTGGAATATAGTAAGATTCCACGCATAACGCGACCACAATGCAAGACAGGAGCAAGTAAGCTAGACGTCAAGAACCGCTCGCTGTGGGATTAGGCAGCGCCGAAGCTGAGCAGAAGAAAAGGATCGTGGTGGGTGATATTACGCAGGGCTTATATGCTACGGAAGTTTGAATATAATCTCCTGTGGCTGAAATTCCTAGGGGGGATTATGACGACCAGTGATTGTACCTGATATCACTTGCACACATTTTATGGCCGTCGGGCAATCGTCGTTGAGGTGCTTGCCAAAATACTGTCAGAGATAATCTATGGTGCCTAGCTTTGAAAGCAGTTGATCTGGAGACGCTTCAGAGCCGAAATAGCAATTGCAGTCCATGCATTGTTTCTTCGAAGTTCTGACATGGTCTAGTCCAGCGAGTGCTGTATGGAACACTTATCCCGAGCAATGGATTGCTTCATGAGAGATGGGAACCAGCCCGAGTTGCAGCTTTCATGGCACTGTGTTCAGTACTTGGTTCTCCGTGTTTCTATGAATAGCCTAAAGACTCGTTGCTCAACGAAAGAAATCCGCTGTTAGAATGTCGATTGTTGCCCCCAGATGGGTCAACAGTGTCATTGGAAACCGCGAGGGGGGCCATGACGCACGAAAGAAAACATTGGTTTCTACTGACGCCTCACTGCTTTGTCTTGGTAGATCAAGAGATAAATGGCCCTCCAGACACAGACAAGTGTAACAATAGAGAGAGAGGCGGGGGTCCTTGCAGAGGAGATTGCAGTCCCAAGTAACAAATTCATGACATGCCGCTAGTTGCTAACAGATGCTATCCAGACACTCTTGCAAGTTAAAACTTGGCCTGCTCGCGCTTTGTCTTGTCCTTTTCTTTATCTCTGATCAAACGTCGCAAGATCTTCCCGCTTGGATTTTTCGGAACCACGTCAATGAATTCTACACCACCTCTCAGTCGCTTGTAATCACTCTTATGGTCGGCGACATGCTTCATGATGCTCTCAATGATGTCCCCATCGGCCCCGTTGACGCCTGGGGTTTTTACCACGAAAGCCTTTGGAACCTCGCCTTCTCGGTCGGCAGCAACTCCAATAACCACACAGTCATTCACGGCCGGGTGCGTCAGAAGATGGCCTTCTAGCTCAGCGGGGGCCACTTGATGTCCTTTGACTTTGATTAACCTGGAAGAGAAGTTAGACCAGTCGCTACAACTGAAGGCGTTTCCTCTTTCACTTACTCCTTGATTCTGTCCGTAACGAAGATGTGCTCATTGCCCTTCTCACTCTTGGTAACGAGCACTTCGTCTCCGGTTCTCATGTATCGCAATCCATCGTCAGCAGTTACGAAAGTCTCGTCAGTCGCTTTCTTGTTGTTGAGATATCCGACAACGACAGACGGAGAATGCACCCAAAGCTCACCAGGCTGGTCGTACTCTTTTACCTCTTCGCCCTCTGGAGTAAAGATTCGGGCGACGAATCCAGGTAGGAGTGAGCCAGATCCTCCTAAGAAGATGTCCTGAGGCATAGTTGCGCAGACAACGGTCGAGGTCTCTGTGAGTCCATACCCTTGGAGTAGCACCACCTTGGGTAGGACCTTTAGAAAGTCCTTTGCCGTGTCCTCCTTCAGGGGCGCAGCTCCCGTGAACACTGCACGGACCGACGACAGGTCAAATTGTTTGACGACGTCCGGTTGCTTTGCCACATGAAGAACCATAGGTGGGACAAGGTACAACATTTCGATCTTGAAGTCCTGAATAGTGTGGAGCAAAAGCTTGAAGTCATACCGGGGTAGAACGACAACTCCGTCTCCGCGATAGGGACCAACGTGGCAGATGACGATCAGGCCATAGATGTGCGACATTGGTAGAAGCCCCAAGCAGTTTTCCGTGTAGCGACTCACCCCGAGCTCCTTCTCAAGAGAATCTCGGTTGGGCCGTCCATGAGCCACGAACTGAATGGCATTAGCAATAACGTTCCTGTGTGCAATCATGACGCCCTTGGGAAGGCCAGAGGTCCCGCTACTGTAGCAAAGGAAGGCAATCCTCTTTGCGCCATCTCCTTTCTTCCAATATGCATCGGCAGGCTTACACGAGGGCAAGCTGGCACCAGCCCTGATCAAGTCGTCTGTTGTTTTGAGGCCGGGGTTGGAGAGACCGGGCGTGACGGATGGGGCGAGTTGGTGCAGGAAAATTCGTTCCTCGGGGATTCCAATTCTCGCCACCGCGGCCATTGTTGTCTTTAGCAGGGGCAGGCAGGTGAAAACAGCCTTGGCCCCAGAATCCCTCAGCTGATACTCCAGCTCGCTGGCATTGTACGAGGCGTTGACGCAGGACAAGATACCACCGAGTCGATGGACAGCCCAGGCCAAGGTTAAATAGTCTATAGAGTTGAGACTAAAGCACGCGACCACCTTGTCCCACTCTGTGCCTTGGTGAGCTTCAAAACCAAGTTCCTTGGATAGGGCGCGTGAGAGGTGGTCAACGCGCTGCTGCAACTCCAGAACACCATAGGACCTGCCGGTTAGGCCATCCGTGAACGAGGCGCGAGAATGTTGCACCGGACAGCGACCATATCTCTCGTCGAACATGAACGTCTCCAAGGAGATGGAGTCGGGGATCTCTGGAAGCTGAGGAACCCATGATGGGGGGTAGAAGGGCATTCTGGGTGTCTGCGATGTGGAACGGGCAGAACACGGAGGTGGAGAGCTGGATCGAGGCTGATGAGGAGTTGCAGATATCCGGCCGGAGTCGACCGCGTTGGCAGCCAGGGGCGATGTGAACCGTGATTGTCCAGGTGAGAACCCACGTCAAAGCCTTCTGCCGGTTGAACAGGCTCTACGAGCAATGTTTGACGCAAGAAGAGCAGCTCGATTGGAAAAATGACAAGTACTACCCATGCAGTGCTGCCGCGGCCTTGGCGTGGTAAAATAATTGTACCAGCCTCTTGGTAACTGCGTGACGAGGTGGTGACTGCATGTGGTGATAGTTGACCCGAGGTCTGGCACACCGACTTGCCCTGACCTTGTCTCCACCTCGGCTACTACTAGTGCATACGCGTGCCAATAGTCGAGTACGGGGAGGCCCAATTGGGCTGGCGGCGCCATATGTTTTAGGTGCATGTGGCTTCAATGTTGTGTCAAGTCGCACAAAACAATGGGCGTGGCCACGCCACATGTAATTATGTGCTGGTACCATTTATATCCTGCAACAGCTTGTTACCCTTCAATGTTCAATGTTACCGCTTAAAGGTGGTGCTGGATAGTAAGACGGGCCAGTTATTAAAGCGGGCTAGAAATGCCAGGAAATGTTTAATATATATATAGCATACTACAAGTATTCAACACAAGATCAGAGCCAAGATGAAGCGCAAGATATCCTTGGCAAATGGAGCAGTAACACTCGTCAAGGCATGGGCAGACGGCGAGGCCAACGCCCCCACGACATGATGACCCTCAACAGGTTCAAGCCAAACGAGTGTATTCAAAGCTGACCAGTCAACTACTATAATCTAGAAGGAGAAGAAAAGGTGACTGAGAGCTCCTCCATCTCTACCTATGTACATACTAAAAGCGCATTTGGTAGAAAGAACCCAAGCCTAACTTCAATGTTCTGCCCGCAGCTGCCCATGACTCGAAGGCTAGGCCGCCGCAGCCTGCAGTTTAATTGTCTAGTTATTCGCATTGACTGCACTCCTTGTCCCTCATGCTAGTGTCGTAACGATTGTTAACACAATCACGGGAAGCTATTTCAGTTAACCCGTCGATGGTCTTCTTGTTTTAAACGAACTTGATGCACTCCTACGCGGACTTTCGCACATGATCGCGACACTCGGGGCCTTCGCCATTATTCTGGACGTCCATGTAATTGTTTGCCGATTTAAGCAACTCGGCGTCACTGCCGTTACCAGAGCCCTGCTAACAGGAATTAAACAATTCGACTGCCTCGGCAAAGGCTGGCTGGCCACGATCCCCGTTGGCAGGGGCTTGTTCGCCGCTGGTGCCCTTTCGGAAACAGTCCAGAAATACCATCGACGTCTGCAACCTTGCCTGCAGGCTGCTTGGCAGACTTTTGGGTAGATTTCAAGCACTTGTTGGCCACCTTGCCCACCTGGTCCAGACAGCCGATGTCATCGCGACACTTGACACCCTCTCGACCAAACTCTACGCAAATAGCATCTTTGCCGGCCTGGTCTATGTCTTTAATCATGCTGTCATCGCGAAATAGGTCCTTCTGGCATTGTTTCTGAATGTGGAGTGCTTTTTGGCTAAAAAGGGAGTTGCCATCTTTAGACGGCCGATCTGTTGGGCACCCTGGCTCTTCATCCGGAACAGCGGCTGGCATGGCCAAGGCTGATCCGGTTAGAAAGAGGTTGACGAGTACAGCGTGCTTGATGCTGGATGTCTTTGTGTGAAAATTGATGGGGGGGAAAGGCAAAAAATGTATAAAGTGGTAGCTGGCTTATGGTAATGGTAGTTGTGAGTGATGGACTGCTGGACTATTCACACAGAGTTGGTCAAGGGCATGGTACACTTTTATACTCGACTTGGACATCAATTTTTCCATGATTCCTTCTCGCCTTGTGCCTCGTTCTGGTGGCATCTCCAGGTACAGAGCAGCGTTGAGACACATTCTTGTTTATGTGATACCACACTGGACAGACGTAGCAACTAGACTGCATGATGAGGCATTAGTACCCATCTAGAATTCTAATAGAAAGGGCTAGTTTCTTCTCTGTCCACTTAATTTGTCTCACATTAACCAAGAATAATAGCTGCAAGTTGCGCCGTACATGTTGCTGACATGCCGACAGTCTCCCCACATACCAGACTTGACCCTTCTATCATTCAAGGTTATGCTTGCACGATACTTGTACCATGATTGTACTACTGGGCTTGATGACAACGTAAACCCTTGTCATAAGTGTAAGCAAAGCGGCAAGCCGGGGGGGGTTGTTCAAAATTTGAGGCTTTTGAAGCTGTTAAATTCGAGGCTGCTATTGAATTCGGGTCTGTTGAAGTTGCTGAATTCGAGGCTTTTGAAGCTGTTATCGAATTCGACGCTTTCGAAGCTATTGAATTTGAAGCCGTTGGGGCTGTTAGGTGGCCTTGGAAGGTGCCTACATCAAAAAAGGCAGGTTCGCGACGATCCACAAAGATCTGTACCGGCATTACAATTTAAGTCAATAGTAGCAATTTAAGGTCATGTAGACCAATTATAGATTAAGTTTTCACGGGATGTGGCTTGCAATTATAGTGGCGCAGTGACCTGGGACTCCCATCAAAGAAGCTACACTCCCTGGCTTGCCTGCCCTTCGCATCAATGACGTAAATCTCAAGCAAAGCGGCGCTTTGCTTAATTATCATTTGTCCCGAGGGTGAAACAGAAACAACTTGAAAGGCGCACTTGCGAGTTCCAGTAAGATGTAGTCTGAAAACACGTGTAAGGTCATGTGATGAGGCCCGTCGTCAGCTGTTATTGCCACGTTATGTTGGCTGTTACAGCTAGCCAGGAACTATCTTGTCGCAAAATAGGGGTGACTACCAACACACAAAAATTTGGCGTAGCCACGCCCATTTTTTGGTGCAACATATCTGTTACACAGTCAGGACTTAATATTCAAGCCCAAGTTCAAGCACCTCCAGGAATACGGAGTACAGAAACTGATTGACTTGCTCCTTCCTGTCAAGGATGCTTTTATTTTACCCCTCTTAGCATGTTGGTCCTGGACCTGATCCTTCGTCTACATCGCCCCTTGCTCAAGGAATAGCCACGCAATGGATTGGGAGATACATCTGATGAAGCACTGGCGGTCGAGGTTTGCAAGCGAACACGACAGAGGAGAATAATCCACTTATTGGAACGGGCACTCGTGTAGTATGGGTGGCTGGTTTCGGGCAACTTGCTGCTGCTAGCATTGACGAATTAACTGGGTTTCAAAAGGAAGCATCGATCAAGGTGGAACTGTTAGAGAGTTGGGAGCTCAAGGCAGAGTGCACTGTGATTGGGCTTGTTGACTGGGTCTGGCTGCGCCTGCTTTGGAGTAAAGGTGGAAAGATTCCCTGTGAGGGTTGGGTAGATTCTGTTGTCGTCGTTCTTGATACCGAACATGTATTTGAGTCAGGAATGCGGGTGCCGTTGCGAGGATCGCTGAAGCGCTTTGGCGATTGGGCTACCGTCATGGCAATCTAGACACCGACAGTCGACGGATGATGCCCGGTACTAGTACTAAGCAAGGAGCAGTCAGCATCTCTCATTTTTCAACTCGGAAAAAGGGTCAAATGATACGTTACACAATGGAGTGCTCCGTACTGTGCGCTCAAGTCATTACTCGTCAAAAGGTCACGCCAATTTACTTGACGTTCTGACAGACAGACGGGGGTTATTCAATGCTCGCTTGAAAGTTGAAACAAACGGATGAACACAGGGAAGTTGCCGTTCGTCGCATTGGTCCTGTCCGGTCTGGCCAATTGAGACATAGTGGCTCCCTCTGAGCTGGACAAACGAGGCATTGGTGCCCTGACAAAGGCTAGAACCGCCCGAACGCCAGGAACAAAGAATTTTTAGAACCTTGGACCGGGGAGTGCCCGCTGTGAGTGGAGACACGGCTGGAATGGGCTCCATCTTTGTGCTGCGGTCCCCAGTATCGGCGGGAATTGGCCTCGACCGACCAAGGTGCTGGGGTTTTGTAGATCCTCCAAGGTGAGAATTCTCAGGGACTGAGACAGGAGCATTATTCGTGGAGGCGCTGAATGAGCCTTTGTTGTCATGTCGATGCAAAGGGCCAATCAAACAATGATGCATTACCCTCCATGACGGTGGCAATGGAAAGCTCCGATGGCTCTCCCTGGAAGTTCATGTGCGGCTCTATCGAGACTGGTATGGCGAGCCAGAAGACGAGGATGGAGTCGCCTAGGAAGTTGGCAGTCATATCGCCGAAATGGCGGAAAAGAAAAAAACAGAGCAATTACCTGCAATCTCGTATCGCTCGCGGACAGCCCATAGCCACCTTGAAATGCGGTGGGATTGGAGGACAGGAGGGAAAAACAAGGGCATCGCGCCGCCAGGCCGGACCTGGCCAGTCATGAGCCAAAAATCGCCCGGTTCGAGGGCTTTGACGGCTGGCCAAGCTGACCCGCTCCAACAAGGGCAGCCACCGCCAACCACGACTGGAGTCTCTGCACATGGATGGCGTCAGGGGAAAAAGTGGTCTTGTACGGCCAGCTGGCGTTGTGCTACCTGAGCAAAGGGACGAACCGCTGGAGGCCTGGAGGCAGCGGCTAACATCCAACCACTTTGAGCAGGCTTCTCACGAACTCGGCAATTAGTGGGCCGGGGCTGTGCATTTACTCATCAAGAAAAACAAGGCACCCAGGGGTAAAAGCGTTGCTGATCGCCTCACGCGTTGCACCGTCTTCTATTCCTTTCCTCCTCATCCATCCTTCTCTCCAAGAGTCCCAGAGCAGTTTCTTTCTTTGCCGCTGTGACTCTCTTTTTTTTTCAAAGCCATTCTTTTGTTTTGTTGCTTTCGTGGCTCTTCGCGTCGTAATTCGTTAATAACACTTTAGACTCCGCAACACGCTCATTCACAGAACGAACTATCGAAACCACTCCTTCAAAACCGACTCTTCTTGCAAAATAAGACTACTTGGTTTCCCCTGTATAGCCGTGGGCCTTGAGAAATTCATTTTCCAAAATTGAAAGAAATTCAGCCGCCCAAAATGCATCTGTCGACTACTCTCCTTGCGAGCGCCATGACCATGGGCGTCTCGGCGGCAACCAACAACATTCTTGGTTTCAACTCTGGAGCAACCTTTGCGGACCGGTCTGCCAAATTCAAGAAAGACTTCGAGGCCGAGATGAAGGGCGCCCAGGGCCTCAAGGGTGCCCCTGGGACCTTCAACACTGTCCGCCTCTACACCAACATCCAGGCCTACTCACAGGACGACCCCATCCAGGCTTTCGAGGCCGCCATGGAGACCAAGACCCAATTGCTCTTGGGTATCTGGGCCTCGGGCACTGACAACATTGACAAGGAGATTAGCGCCCTGCAAAAAGCCGTCAAGACGTACGGCAAGGAGTTCACAGACCTCGTGGTAGGAATATCTGTAGGAAGCGAAGATCTTTACAGAGATTCACAGACCGGTTCGAAGAACAAGGCCGGCGTGGGCAACTCCCCTGATTCCATTCTCAAGTTTATTGGAGACTACAAAAAGGCCTTCAAGGACAGTGCCTTGAGCAAGGTTCCGGTGGGACACGTGGACACTTGGGATGCCTGGACCAACTCCTCCGTCAAGCCCGTCATCGACGCTGTGGACTGGGTAGGCGTCGATGAGTACCCCTTCTATGAAAACGGCAAGGGAAATTCCATCGAGAATGCCCCTTACCTATTTGAGAAGGCGTATGGTGCTACTGTCAATGCCATCAATGGAAAGCCAATCTGGGTCACAGAGACCGGCTGGCCAACCACCGGCCCTGATTGGGACGAGGCCAAGGCATCTGTCGAAAACGCCAAATATTACTGGGACGAAGTTGGTTGCCGCAGTCTCTTCAACAAGGTTCCTACCTTCTGGTATACCCTGCGTGACTCCAACCCCGACAACAAGGTCAAGTTCGCCATCGCCAAGGACCTGACCACCCCTCTCTTCGACCTGACTTGCCCCAAGACCTTCAAGACTAAGCCCAAGTCTTCAAGCGTTGTCTCTAGCGCTACTGGCACTGCTACCGGCACTGCTACCGGTACTGCTACTGCTACCGGTGCTGTCAACGGTACTGCTACTGCCACTGGTGCCTCCAGGCCTACCTCTACTGGAGGCTCCGGCAACCCTGGCTCTGACGGCTCCAACGGCTCCAACGGCTCTGGTAACAACGGCGGCTCCAACAATGGCGGCTCCAACACTGGCGGTGGCTCTGGCACCACCTCTGGTGCTACTGCCTCCTCCACAGTCGTCAAGGGCGCCTCATCTACCGTTGAAAAGTTCTCTGGCGCGGCCTACTTCGTCTTGGCTGTCCTTGCTGGTTCCTTGACCCTGCTTTAAATGCTGCATCCCCAGGCATTTACAACCACATCAGCGTTTCTTTTTCTATAGTCATAAATTAAACAGGGATAAACGGATGGACTCGTTACGATTACAAAGGCTCGGAATATAATCCAGGTGTTGACTCTTACAATTTTCTTTTTCTTCGCGGCGTAATCCTTAGCTCGTCTCCCGACTGTACGGGGCTTTTACCAGGGAATACAAATTGTACTACAAAGCTCGATTAATGCCAATGCCGTTTGTCCCTCAACATGCACGTATGTGTTGCTGTGCTGCCGACTTTTGGAAAAGCAATCCGTCCCTCGGTCCAAGATGCGTAAACAGAATATTACCCAGTCACATCGCCTTCATCGGGCAGCTCGTAGTCCTCTGCGCCGTAGTCGGTCTTGTCGATATTGAGAGAGGCAATATCCAGTCCCTCCACACAGCGCATATTCAATGGCAACAGGTTGATGTTCTTGCGATACACCGACATGACGAATTCTTTTCTCTCGGGCGGCACGTTGTCGAATACACTCAGTGGTGGTCCAATGACGGTCGCAAACACAAACACGCCGCAAGTTGCGCAGAAATGGTCTGCTCCGTACTTTTTACCGTACATGTATGCTTTGGTGTATTCTCTCCCGTGGATGCGAACTTGGTCTTTATCGGGGTATACGCCAATGTAGGCTTTCTGTTCTAAGCCGTCAGTGCACTGCCGCTTCTCAGCAGGGACAAGAGAGACTGAGACCCCGTACCCTGATGCAGGAACTGCAGTTGTCCTGCTTTACTTGTCGTTCGGATAGCGGGGTGAGTAGTTGGGCTTGGACTCGGCCGCAGTGGCAGGAGAAGAGATGGTGTGTTTTGCGCTCAGAGGGGGAATCCTGCCGTGGTTCGAGGGCGTGCTCGGGCTCATCTACGTGTGTGACGGTCGTGTCTTGCCTATCCAGAGGTATAGGTTTAGGTTTCGCCCGTCACTGTAGTTTCGGCAATCATGCAGATCGGGGGCAAAGCATACTCTAGTTGAAATGGGTTGACTTCACGGACAGCAAGCAGGTTTATTGCCATCTGACCCTTTGTCGGCCCAGCGACATGTTCACCCGAAATACCAGTAGAGCACCTGCCGCAGAACTGTCGTACTCGGTCAACTGATTGTGCTGAAGGCGCTGAATGTTGCGTGGTGGTTACCTGGTGCCTCAAGGAAGCGGACTCGTACGTCTGCAAGAGGCCATCGTCTCGCACTACCTTGTAACTCCCTTTGGGCGGCACAGTCCAGATATATCCCTTCTTCTTGCAAAGACGACAATCGCATGCGGTGGCCGACTTGATTTCAGGGACGGTTAGTTCGAAGCGAAATCCCCCACAATGACAGTAACCTCTATATTTTGTCGACTCAGAGGGCATGGCGCTGGGCGCTCCGTTTTCAGGTTTGTCTGAGAGGAAGCGGGAATTTAGAAAGAGAAGCTGCAGCGAAAGCGGGGTTGGTAGGTTATATTTGTCTAGCTTCGGATATACTGTTTGATACATTTGCCTCGGCAGATTGGTGTATTGCGACTTGAATTCGGTGGTGTGGTTCAAGGTAGTGCTTACAACTTGTGCTGGGAGACGCAGGCTAAGCAGCCACAACGAGGGAACTGCCCTTTTGGGTCATGGCATGCATTCTCACATCTGTACGAAAAGAGGACGGTTAATAACACGAAATCTCGTCTCGGAAAGATGTGTATTTGCCGCCAAGCACATTCTGCCATGGACTGTAATCCACGTTGGTGTTGACGGCCTCTGGCTACTAAAGTCACTACTCAATCATCATGAAGTCGTCATGACACCCGAATCCCTACCCTATACTACTTAAGTACTTATCGATTCATTCGACACAGTGACTATCATCTCAACATTTCCCAGGGCAAAACCACCGCTTTGCCAGCTTGTGAAAACGTTCCTCATTTAGACGCGCATCTCTAGCGCTCCATTTACGTGGAGAAATGCTGCGTTATCATATATTTGGGGTTTGGATATACATGATCGCTTCCACTCTTGATGCCAATCTGGTTCACCCTCGATTATTTCCTGGCTCCGTTTTGTGCTTGGATAGTGATTGTCCTCCATTGGAGCATTCGACTACACGAAAGGTCAAATCGAAATGGCTTCAGAAAACCTGGTGAATCTAGAACACCATAACAGCAATCCGGCCAAGTAAACTAGTTTCTTCATGTTCTTCCTCGGGGCAAGTTGGACTCCGGGACAGACATATAAACGACTCGCCTAAATATTTCTTTTGAACGGACTTCGTGGCTCAGTTCGCTCTTGTACTCTCGATTCTGAAGATCTAGATGTTGGAGTCAATCTGTTACTTGGTGCTGCATTATTTCGTGGACAGACTAATGTTTTGGCCTACATGCTTTGGCCCTCAGGGAAACAGTGGGAAGAGTTTGGATCATTCATAAGATTCCCCTAACCAAGAAGTTTTTTGAGCCTTGTAAAAGTGAATTCTTGGCCTCCACAGAAGCGATATAGGCCAGTCCTACAGTGAAGCCTCCGCCAGTCCGCATGTCTACCTCATTTCGGCGGAGAGGTTAGAAAGACTGGCGTAAGTCGTGCCTTCAGGGCGCTCACATGAATGAACCATGAACTCTTCTCCAAGGTAAAATACAACATAGGTGCCAAGGACTGATTCAGGAAACGCCACGTTACTTGACTGACGGACATGGTATGTCGTCCTTGGATATATACGTTGTTGCTACTACGCAAGATCAACGGCTCCAACAGCAGCCAAGCATTTGGTTATTGTTTTCCGCAAAAAAATAAAATGCAGAAGTACATGACTCGTTTTGTTCTGTTTCTTTCCGTAATATTTGTGGGAAGTTTAGGGTAGTGAAAGCCCAGTTTGACCAGCTATCACGCCATCACTTCATGGCAACGAGCAAGGCGTCAGAGTTCTTCATGTCAACGAGAGCTCTGTGCTTGCGGAATGCATTACGTGTACTTCTTGGATGATTAGGTGATTTGATCCGTATACATGTGCACCATCACACTCGTCAAATGCGGCTTCCCTCGAGGAGCAACCAGCTGGCCTCGACGCCCGCCACGACGCCCGCCGGCTTTCCTTTGATAAGGACGATTCCTACTCATTAGGATTAGCCACCTTGTTTATCCCGCAGCCAATGTACATCGCGGGTACTGATTTTCAGCCCTTCAGCTTGTTGGTAGTGGTCATGTGTGGAGTTTCTCGGTCGTCCCGGCGGCATGGTCGAGAATCCGTCGACATGTCATCGGGCCTTGGGCTTGACGCGGCACAGGCGGCGGTAAGAAATAAGCACGAAAACAAACACTGCAGGTCTATTGCATGATGCAAGTTTCTCGTGGGTCCGACGGAGTATCGGTATACTCTTTTGGAGCGAGAATCCGTCGTATGGTTCGGAGCGGATCGTCGTCAGTTGTAAAAGCACACGACATAATCACCGGCCCCCAACAGCCAGAACCAAACTGAAGCATTGGGCAGGAGGGAAATTAAAAATATCTCACATTCATCTCACCGAGCTGAGGGGAATTTCCCCATGGAGGGTGGCTGTTGCAATGATGTGATCGTACTATATGAGACAACGACTCGACCAACAAACGACCAGGGTTGGCGTGATTCTGAAAAATTATTGCGTCTGAAGCATCTACAGATGAGGGTCATCACATTCAGCTCTAAATAAAGTCAGAGACTAGATTCAAAAGGCACGCCAACCAAGCCGAGACTGTTCTCGGCTTCAGACAAGGCGGCTGGGCCTCGTCGAGCAGGTTTTGCTTCTCTATACGGAGTACACGACGCAGCATGCTGAGCATAAGGAAACGAACCAGGGACGTCCCAGACGTGCATGAAAAGGGTCGAGGAGCGGGCGTGATTGCATTCTTTAGCGTTTCCATAAATGCTACAGAGCGTAGGGGATACGGAATTGCGACATGCCCCCCCTCGTCGACCAGACCATTCACGTCCAACGGTTTTGTGAGCTAGGAAATGGCGTCATCACAGCCCAAAGATGTTGACAGTTGAAGACGGCAAAGACCCACACAAGGGGGTTGAGATTGCTGTCAAGATGTGAAATCAAGTGCGCGCTATTGAAAGTTACGACAAGCAGGTTTACGACGATCGACCAAGAATATCGCGAGGCTGAGAAAGACGATTGGAAAATAGGTTTTGTGAACATGTGCAACGATGTCACGGGAAAGACGCCTTTCTCCCACGGTCCAGTCTCGTTGCTCGTGGCTGGTCGTTTAACATGTGAGATTCGTTTTATGCATGGTGATAAATGCCCAGGGGACTCTGATGTGCACAAGTCAAAAGTCCACATGGGCCACGATGATGACTTGGGTTGTTGGATGCACAGCGACGGCCAGGAATAGTAGTAGTTACGAGCCACTTGGCACCCGGCCCATCGCTGGTCGTACAAGCCCTGCAGCGACCGACGGGCCATGATCCGATGCATTCCTACCCGTCAGCTTGGATCATTGGCAAGGCAAAGAAAGCAGCAGATGCGAAGCGACGCACACAATAGCTCTGCCGAGCAGAGGCAACGTTGACGAGACGGTGGCTGCGACGGCGGCTGCATCGGTCCCACGTGCCTCCATCGCATCTATGTACATATGTATGTATGCATAATGTATGTACGCGGTCGGTACTCCGTACAGTCGATACTCGAGAGTTGCTGCTGCTACACGGCTGTGGCTTGACCTGGTCTGTCGATCTTGATGAGGCGTTCCGGTGTGGGTAATATGCGGGTTTGGCGGGCCAAACCATGGCCATGGCGGGCGCATATTGGCTCATCTGTCTGCTCCCTGCCAGCACGCGATTCCAGCTTCTCCATTCCTGGAGACCAAAGTTGGGTCCCCTACTCTAGCACGCCATCTGTGGCTAAAAGAAAGCCATCGATTAGCCTTTGCGTTACGCGACTCGTCTGCAAATGCAAATGGCAACATGAATCCTGGAGTACCAACCAAGTTGCGCTGCATGCCGCACAGGGTATTATTGGGCCGCAGCCAGCTCTGGGGGCCGCTCCCGATGCTGTTCCCGTTTCTCTCGGCCATGGATAAGGGTAAGGGTGGATGAGCGAATGGACGGAAAATTACCAAGGGCTTGTGTTGCTGCGGAAAGCTGAGAAAAGCTGAGAAAAGCTGGGAGAGGATCTGGCTAGCCCAGGCTCACATAAGATCTAAGGCCTTCCACACCTTGATCACGGCGTACCAAGAACACCGTCGTCTCCTTTCATTCTCGTGGCTGTCACATCAGCGTTCCGCAGCCAAGCAAAGGGATCATTCTTGGCTGCATCCCGTCTTCACATACGGGACACATCTCCGAGTTCTCTTGGCGAACCTTTCTCGCCAGCGTTCCACGGGGGCCGTTGACCTGCGTCGTCATGACGTCCACACCATCTATCAAGGGCCGTTTGGCCAAGGCCGTAGGCTACGATTCCGATGGTCGAGACGATGATGTCCCTTCAATATCGAATGCGGACCTCTTTATTGAGGAAGAACCCACCATCGGAGAATTCCTCGCTGAAATCACGCCCTCGCTCCAAAATGTCATCAATTATTTCGTTAACCTGTTTCCCTTTGTCCGCTGGATCGGCAAATACAACCTGACTTGGCTGATTGGCGACCTCGTTGCAGGTGAGTTGCCTGTCCTGGAGCATGTTGCGGCCGTCCAGTTTGTTTGGTTAACAGGAATCCAGGCATTACCGTCGGCGCTGTCGTCGTCCCCCAGGGAATGGCATATGCCCAGTTGGCTCAGCTTGATGTCGAATATGGACTGTACACGTCCTTTATGGGAGTTTTGATCTATTGGTTTTTTGCTACTTCAAAAGACATTACCATCGGTGTGAGTTGAGATACTGCGGCGGAAAACTGCTACCGGGAATATCATAAAACGCTGACACTGGTGTGCTGCAGCCTGTTGCCGTCATGTCTCAGGTTACAGGAAACATTGTCCTCAAAGCCAAAGATGAACTCCCCAATGTTCCCGGTCACGTTGTGGCATCTGCCCTTGCCATCATCACTGGCGCCATCATTCTTTTTCTCGGACTCGCTCGCCTCGGCTGGCTTGTCGAGTTCATCTCGCTCCCGGCCATTTGCGCCTTCATGACGGGATCTGCCGTCAACATCATCTCTGGACAGGTGCCCAAGCTGATGGGCATCAGCGGAATCAATACGAGAGATGCGCCATACTTGGTCATTATCAACACTTTGAAGGGCCTGCCGAATACCAAGCTGGACGCTGCGCTCGGTTTGACGGCTCTGTTGATGTTGTATCTGATCCGAGGAGTTTGTTCCTTCATGTCCAAGAAGCAGCCCCATCGTGCCAAGATGTACTTTTTCCTCTCGACTCTTCGTACGGTTTTTGTCATTCTGCTGTACACGGCCATCAGTGCCGGTGTCAACGTCAGCCACAAGAAGAAGCCGAGTTTCAGCCTAATCAAGGATGTACCTCGAGGTATGAACAACTTTCCAAGGTCTTGGGGAAGAAGACTGTACACAGCTAACATGATGATGTGATGGCTAGGCTTCCAACATGCTGCTGTTCCAGAGATCAACGCCCCAATCATCCAGGCATTTGCCTCTGAGATCCCTGCTGCTGTCATCGTCATGCTCATTGAACACATCTCCATTTCCAAGTCCTTTGGTCGAATCAACAACTATGTCATTGACCCATCGCAGGAGCTCGTTGCCATTGGAGTTACTAATCTGCTTGGCCCATTCCTTGGGGGTTACCCTGCCACTGGGTCCTTCTCAAGAACTGCCATCAAGTCCAAGGCTGGTGTTCGAACCCCGTTTGCCGGTGTAATTACTGCCATCGTGGTTTTGCTGGCCCTGTATGCGCTCCCTGCAGTCTTCTACTATATCCCCAACGCGGCCCTTGCTGCTGTCATTATCCACGCCGTCGGCGACGTCATTACACCTCCCAAAGTCATCTTCCACTTTTGGCGAGTTTCCCCGCTGGAGGTGCCCATCTTCCTGGCCGGTGTGCTGGTGACGGTCTTCACCACCATCGAAAATGGCATTTACACTACCATTGCCGTCTCTGCCGCCGTGCTGATTTGGCGCCTGTTCTTGAGCCGGGGCAGAGTACTCGGCGTGGCTCGCATTCGCACCGCGAAAGCCGACCAGGAGTTGAAGCACGCGGGAGATTCTGCCTTTGCTGAGGAGTCAGACGAGTCACTGAGAAAGGGTTTCCTGCCCATTGACCATGCAGACGGGTCCAACCCCAGGGTGGTGGTTCAAAGCCCTCATCCCGGTGTCTACATTTACCGCTTTGCGGAAGGCTTCAACTATCCCAACGCGACCCGGTATCTGAACCACCTCACAGAAGTCATCTTTGCGGAAACCCGAAGAACAGACCCCACGCTCCTGGGCAAAATAGGGGTTAGTATACCAATCTTGAACGCCATCTCTGCCTTGACATTGGAACCATTGTTGCTGACAAGATACAAATACAACAGGACCGCGCCTGGAACGACAATACACCACGTAACCAGGATGTTGACAAGGTGGACACCCGGCCAACTCTGAAAGCAATCATCCTCGACTTTTCTTCCGTCAACAACATTGACGTCACCGCCGCGCAAGCTTTGATCGACGTGCGAAACCAGCTGGACCGTTACGCCGCCCCCGAGGCGGTCGACTGGCACTTTGCCAACATCGAGAACCGATGGACTAAGCGAGCGCTGGCGGCGGCAGGCTTTGGATTCCGGTCTCCCAGGCCAGCTCACGGCTCGGGCGTCGCAAACTGGAAGACCATCTTCAGCATTGCCGATTTGGGGGGATCCGACAGCGCAGCCAAGGCGGCCGAGGCGGCCGCGATTGGCGACAAGAAATCCGTCCGCGAGTATGACATTGAACAGGCGGAATCCGACATCTCGCGGCTTTCAGACAAGGACGTGCCTCAAAACCCTGGCAGCGCAAGATTGGTGGCCATTCAAGGACTGAACCGACCGTATTTCCATTTTGACTTGCAAGAGGCGGTTGAGTCGGCGATTGCCAACTCGGAGCGGAAAAGATGAGCTTACCTGTTCAGCCGTGAGACGAAAGTGGTGGTTTTTCTCTCTTGTTTTTCGTCTCTACCAACATCGGGGGCTGCGTTTATTTTTCATTGAACCGCAAAGGAGCATTGATATAGCTAGCGTGTACAAGTTGGTTTGTTTGCTGAGCGTTGATTGCACTAATACTGTACTCCGTACCAGCGCAAGAATGCTGGATACTCCAAGACCAATAAAACACCTCTTGAGCCAGGGTCGCATCTAGTTTGTGCGAGGTTATGACGCAATGGTGCACCCGAGTGGATTTTGGCCACCCATGCAGATTCAGATGTTGTGATGCCATGTTCAGCAAGTACCTAGGTAGTCATGCATTACAAAGAGCGCGGCTGAGTTTGTCACGGCTCACGGGGCGCCGGGGCTCGAGAGCAAGCCGAAGGGCCCGGCTTGGCTGGCTTGACTCTTACAGAACTCATAAATGACTGGCAACAAATTGTTAGCATGTGGAGCCAGATCTGCCAAAACGAGAGCAGCAACCCGGCGAACCCGTTTGGGCTTTGGCTGTGGCGCTGTGACGCAGCTGAGATGATGATGATTGATTGATTGATTGCAGAGTGGCATTTCTCGACATTCTGGGGCAATTTGGAACATGGGATCCACACGGCATACGGCAAGCGCGACCATGACTCTAGTTGCATAGTACTAGTTGACTTATGTACTCCATGCCGACAACAATTAGTCTGTTGGCGGATTTGTAAAAACATCCGGCCCTTAATATCTGCCGTCCACCCGTCTGTCCCTGAATCCTTCTTCCTTTGCACCACCCATCTTGTCCGCCCCGCTGCTGTTTCGACGGCAGCGACAGATTCCAATCCTCATGGATTCGAATTCGAATGCTGGCCCGTCGCATTCGCGGTCCCAGCGTTCTCTCCGGGCCCCGTCAGACCGAAACCGAGCCTCGACCCTCTCGGCTGCCAGCCTTGCTGGGCCCGCGACGCCAGCCGAGTCGGATGCCCCGGCCGACGAGTATTTTGAACCGCTCAGCACGGCAGCCTCGCGAAGATCACGAATTTCCACAGCATCTCACGGTTGGGCTAGCAGCGCGGGTGTGCCCGAATCCAATGCCACAGAGCGCCCGCGACGCCCGAGCATCAGGATACGACGAAGCTCCCTTGGTGTACCGCAGTCCACGTCCAGTACACAGGATGCCGCGACCGCACCTCAGCAGCAGCAGGAACATGATGGCGGGAACGAGGCTCTTCGGGGAAATAGACCGCGGAGTGCCTCGCAGCCCAGTCCGGCACCACCGCCTGTGGGAGATGCCGCAGCCAGGGGTGCCAGAAACTCACGGCGCATGCAGCCGCAGATTGCACTGCCTAGATTGACCGAAGAAGGAGCACGGCCGACCATGGCGGAGCTGGGACTAGAAGGGACGTCGCCATTGAGTCCGAGTGTGTCCCTGCCGCCTGCGCCTGCGCTTGAGCGAAGCCATAGCGATGGGGAGGCCGGTGTTGACGAAGCCGAGGGCAAGAAGCCGAGGAGGAGCATTGTAGGGAGGTTGTGGAAACCGAGTTTTAGGCGCACGTCTGTAACTGCGCCGACCCAGGGGGTAGATCCGATGGATACGGATGAGTACAACGACGAGCTTGTGGACTGGTTGGATATTATTGGTACGTTCGGTTTACTTCTGCCTCAAAACTCGCAGCTGGTGTTGGAAGCTAACGACAAAGGCAGATCCTGAGGTTCAGACGCTTTCGACACTGACCAATGTGCAAAATTCGCTCTTTGTCCCCGATTTAGGAAGCTGGGTGAATCGACGACCAACATATGTCCTCTCCCAGTCAGATACGCTCTTGCCACGACCAGTGTCGGCGAGGGAGCCTATCCAGCAACCAGAACAAGTGCCAACAATTCGAGAAGATGAGGAGGAAGCACCGCGACCAGAAGAGGGAGAAGCGGATCAACCACCTTACATCCGACGGACAGATACCATTACCTCGCGACTATCAGACTCTCACTATGCGGCGCTGCCTCACGGCAGAAAGCTAGAAGGCTGGTCAGCAGCCGAGAAGTGGGAGCTGGATGACCGCGTTCGCCACATGATGCATTCACGACGGTCCCGGTTCAAGCGACAGATGAAGGGATTTGGACAATACGTCCGGCGGCCATTGGGTTTCTTCGTTACGCTGTACGCGACGCTGATTACGCTGTTTGGTCTGGCCTGGGTCCTGTTCCTCATCGGATGGATCTACGTCGGTGAACAGCAGGTCTACGCCATCCACATCATCGACAGCGTCCTGGTTGCACTGTTCGCCATCATGGGCGACGGTCTAGCGCCGTTCCGAGCCGTCGATACCTACCACATGATTTTCATCGCGCGGTACGCCCGCAAGATTGCCAAAGCAAAGAAGCAAGCCGCCAAGGAGCTCGCGAGAACTGATTCCTCGCCCGAGACGCAAAACACAGACGCCTCAGAAGAAAGACGAGGCACCCCTACTCCTCCCCCGCCTCCCCAAGAAGAACAACGAAAGCCGGAACTACCCAACGGCTCCCCGACCCTGCACCAACCCGCCGCCGCCGACGGCATACCCCCTATCACCCTCGAAGGCGACAACAACCCGGGAGTCGACCTCGAGGACGCCAAATCCGAGACCTGCTCCCTCGAATACGACTACCTAACCCCCAAACAACGCAAATCCCTCGAACACCACCAAAAGAAGCTCTCCAAGTCGCACAGTTTCTACAAACCCCACGAGACGTTTACCCACCACGCCTTCCCACTGGGCCACCTCATAGCCATCATCGTCCTGCTGGACTGCCATTCGTGTCTGCAAATCTCCCTGGGCGCAACCACGTGGGGAATTGACTATCACCACCGTCCGTTTGCCATCACCACGGTGATTCTGTGCGTGAGCATCACGTGTAACTTGACGGCGGGGCTGGTGATTATGTTTGGGGATAGGAAGACGCGCAAGAAGGACGTCGTGGAGCTGCTGGAGAGGCAGGCGCTCACCGGCGACGCCATTAAGAAGGTGGAACGGAAGAGGGAAAAGGAGGCCACTCCGGAGGAATCCGAAAGGGACAAGGAGAGTGTGCGTCAGCAGGAAGTCGACGTTGGCTCGGAGGAGAAGAATGGCGACAAGGGAAAGGACAAGGAGATTGAGGTTCCGACGAGTAGAACCGGACAAGTTTTGGGACTGGCGGGCCATGAAGTAGGATCACTCCGGTAGTAGTCTATTTTTAATTTTGTCATTTATTTTGTTTCCTCTTTAGAGGAGGGTGCTATTTCAAATGCATAGCGAAGGGTAATGGAACACGTGGGAATCTTTCGCATATCCAACTCCAAAGTGATGTCAATCACTCAATTAGGGCAAATAGAAGACTACTTGCTATCGCAACCTCTTGAACGGATGTGCCTCGGTATTAAACACCCACTCGTCCAAGCTAATCAGGTCCGGCTCGGAAAAGATCAAGTAGAAGTACTTGAGCGTCTCGCCGAGCCAGAAACTCTCCATGGAGTCTGCCATTTCCACCTTTTGTCCCTCCGGGGGGTTCATGTTGCGAACGGCGCTGTTGGCCAGTTTCGTCGACGTCAGGTTGTCGATTGCCTTCCACATCTCCCACGCCTTGTCCTGCCACTTCCTGTCCCCCGTGATGCGGTACATGATGAAGACGCTCTCGATGGCCTCGGGGCGCAGGATGTACCGCGCGTCCATGATGCTGGAGAAGCCCTCGGGGATGTGCTCCTTTGCGATGATGGACTGCGCTTCCTTGGCCCCGCCACCCGCGCCGTGGGCCTTGGCGACGTCTGCCTGCCACTTGGTCGCGTCCCAGGGGCAGGCGTCTCTGTCGGCGCAAGGGGTGAGGTAGAAGGTTTCGGGCATGACGCCTGTTGCGAAGGACCTGTACGCCCATACGCAGCCGTTGGTGAGCTTGTCGGCCCACGAGAGGTGGTCGTTGCTGGAGATGAGCTTGCCGCCGAGGGCGAGCATTCCGCCCGTGAAGCAAGTCAGGTGGCCCGACGCAGGTCTGAGCTCCTTTTTGCGCGACGGGTCATTGGCGTCGATGTCGACGAAGCCGGGGAAGAGGATGTCCTCGCTGGTGGGGGTCATGGGGCGGTAGAAGAGATGTTCGTTGGCGGCTTCCATGCTGCGCGTGTACATGTCGTAGTATATGCCGTCCTGTTGGCCTAGAAGGGCCATCATCTTGGGGAAGTATTCGTAGGTGCTGTCTGCCATGCCCCCGAGGGTGTATGTGGTGCCTGCGTCAAAGTATTCCTTCTGGGTGTCGACCACGACGGGCCACATACCTGGCAGTTTGGTCTTCTCCTGGGACGCGGCGAGCAGCTCGCTGATGTGCTGGATTGCATCGTAGTATTTGGGGTCCTTGGTCAGGAGGCTGAGGCGGGTGAACTCCATGCATAGGGAGCCGATTTCTGCCAGGAGCGACGTGCTCTGCGATTCTTGCTTGTTCCCGTAGGCGGCGTCGTGGAGATCCCAGCGCGCAATGGGCAGATGGTTCGGGGTGTCGAAGGCCTTGTAGAGCATGTCGCCTACATTGTGCGCCTTGACGAGCAGCCGCTTGTCGCCGCTCAGGTCATATGCCGACAGCAGGCCTCCCAAGAAGCGGATGGTGGTCTCAAAGACATTGATTTCCTTGGAGATGGTGGAGAGGAAAAGGGCATTCTTTTCGACGTCATAGACGGCATACTCGAACTCATCCTTGAGTCCCATGATCCATAGCGTGTCGAGAGCATCGATGAGCGTGGCACCCCATCCGCCGAAGGGGTCCTTGTAACTGCCCGACACAGGGGTGACTTCGTCTCGAAGCCAGGCGTATTTCTTGTAGGCGTTCCAGGATTTAATGAATGACTCCTTGATGTCGTTTCGTCGACCTAGGCGCACCTTCTTCTCGTCTGCAGATTCGGGAGGGAACTTGGCCTGGATTGGTGGTAATGTTGCTGCGGCAGAGGTCGGCAGGGACCGCATTTGACTCGGGTTAATGGGAAAATTGTGCTTGATGGTCCTCCAGAAATAGTCCTTTTCCGGCTCGTATTTGGAGTACCCCGTCATGGGCCTTTCCGGGGCTGCACCGCCGCCTGACGCGCTGAGCTCCCGCGCTCGCCAGACAGTCAGGATGACGAAGGCGGCCAGCAAGGCCGAGAGGATCCTCCGCCGGCCGAGGCTGATCATGATGGCGGACGGGCGGTATTACATGGGCGGAGATGGAGAGGGTGAGGCGAGTGAGGCGAATGCCAAAGAAAATCGATTCGGGGGATGAGATGGCGTTGATGGCACAGGGCATCGAGACACATTGCCCTTATAATGGACCGGCGTAAAGCATGTCTGTCCCCAGAATCCATCATTGGAGGTTAAAAGTGTATGAGGTGGAATGCGGTTAGCAGACATCTGGACGCGCGTTGGGGCAGCGGCAGTCCCTTGCCGGCCGGCGGGGTTTAGTGCACACATGTGGTGACGGACGTGTGATGAAGCTGACTGGGGGCTGCTAGCTGCACATGTGCCTGTTTCAGGGGCTGCGGGGGCTCAAATATTTCTTGCAGGGGGCCTGAGGCTCCACGCCAGCGTACATATGTCTGATCGAATCGTGCCTGGGACCTGCACCTGCACATGCGCGGATAACATCAATTACTGTCAACTGGTCCGGTTAGATAGCTCTCAGTGCTCTAGTCTGGTTGGCACCAGTGGTGCACTGACGTCCAGATGTCGGGAAGGAACGACTAAGCTTTTAGACTTGGCAATGTCTTAACGACTCTCGTCTCTCGACCGGAATCTGTGCTTCACCGGAAACAGGTCATTGATACATCTACCTCCGGCATGCCAACTCTATACACGTCTTGTCGCCATTTCTGAATAATGCGTCCCTGCCAGCGCAACTATCTTTAGACCGCCAAATGATAAAACCGCGTCGCAGAGTCGTACTCCAGTATCACCTCTTTGTCCATATCGTCCACATCGACTACCACATAGCGCCACATGCTCACCTCAAAGGCACCAGGAAGCACGGCTGGCGACACCATGGCACACAGATACCGTTTGTATTTCCCATCCACCATCTTATTGCTCGCAGATCCCGCGTCTACTCTGCGTCCCATCGTATCCTGAGTTGTTGGCCCGACAGCTGCCGCAGGGCACAAGATTAAAACAATGTTGAGCTTTTCCCAGGAGCAACCCATATCATACTCCTTGGTGGGTGTCCAGCTGACGGCCATACCGGGACGAATGCGATCCTTGAATGGGATAGATTGAGTCAAAGCGTCAGGCTCGCGGCTTGAGGACCTGTCAAACTTGTTGAGGTGGCTCAGAACTGTGTCGGGACCATCGTCCTCTTCAACCTGGGCCTTCTGCTTTGAACGCCGAGTGTCAACATGAAGTTGCCACAGCTTTTGGCGAAAAGCAAAAGCTTGCTCGTGGATAACGCCAGGCGTCTTCATACATCGAGTCTCAAACTCTGGAGCTGGCAGACGAAGAAGCTGTGCGCCGGCCTCATGAGGAGCCAGCACCGTGGCATCAACCGACGGCGAACCAGACTAAAGCATCGTCAGCCAAAGGAATGAAAAAAAAAAGGAAGCCTCCAATACCAATCATCACTCACATTCGCAGTAATCCACTCCCGCAACTGCTCATTATTCCACGTCGTCGGCATGTCACTCCTATACTTGACCCCCTTCACCTGCGGCACAAACACCCTCAACATCTCCGCATATCTCAAGGTATTCCGGCTCGCCGAGATATCCAGCAGGCACGGATTGACACACGCCATAATGACGTTTTTGCAGACTCTCGTCCCCGCTGGATCAAACACGTGCTTGAGGACCTTTGTCAAGGCGCTCTGCCGAAAGGGCACATACGGCTTCTTCTTTGTCTGCGTCCCAATGAGGGCATCTGCTTCAACTTTCCCCCTGATACAGTCCTTCAACACTGAAAGACTGACATTGATCTCCTTTGCTTCCTTCATGCGTTGGGGCTCGTGTGTGTCTCTGTCGCGGGCTGCTTCCGAGCCTGCCAAGTCAACAAGATACAGGATGCCGTCTTCAGCGCCGGGAATGTCATGGATTTCTATGCGGATGCGGCATACGGCGTGAGATCTGGAAGACGTGTCGTTCCTTTTGGTTGCTTCGGTGAGACGAAATTTGGTGGCGTACTCGATGTGTGCGAGGACTTCAGATACGGCCTTGACTTCGTGCTCTAGGGCTCCTGCAAGCTGGGTGTTGCCAAAGGCATCCTCAAGCACGGAGATGGCGCGTCGGCCGTTGAGGAGGTCTGGTAGGGCAACTTAATTACTGAGGCTGGCGAGTTTAGGGCGCATTTCTTTTTATACTTACCGAATGCAGAATTGCCTGCGAATTCCGTCACGGAGATGAACATTTTGCGATCTCCTTGTAGATTGCCCTCCAGCAGATCTTTGGCGGCTAGTTTCTCGATACCACTGATTGTAAATGTCTTGCCGGAACCTGTTTGCCCGTAGGCAAATAATGTTCCTATGCCCCCTCCCCATACCCAAGGGACAAGATGTTGAACCGCGTCTTCGTAGATGGTTTCCGTTGAGATGTCAGGGCCGTAAGACCTGTCTACCGTATAAGCGGAAGACTGTACCAGCCATTCATTAGTTTCGCGGCCGCCATGATGACTTTTGCGATACTCACCCGAAGAACCGGTTTCCCCCTCACAGCATGTCTCAGTTCATGCGCGTCAAACGTCCCCGGCTCCCGAGGCCTTATGAAGATAGATGCTGGTAGCCCGGCGGCAACTTCTTCCTCTGCTAGTGGCCGTATACGAGCACAAACTAGATTGTCGAGAGACGAATCTGAATTGGGTGTTACCTTTGGCTTCGGCTGCATCTTGAATCGATCGAGGAGCCATTGGTAGCGGTCCAAGTTGCTGGTGATGAATTCTTCCATTGCTCCTTGATTTTGTCAGACGATTTACGCTGGTACGTTGAGTAATTGCAAAAATATTGTTCGTTCTGCTAATACAGTTGAAGCTGGAGTTTGGGGTTATTTGTAGCAAGAAAAGAAAAAAGGGCTTATGTGGTTGCCTAACTCAATTCCATTCCTCGAGCCTGACCGCCAAGAAACTCTCCATGACAAGGCGCCTTCTTACATGTCCTCTCGAATCTCAACCATGAAATTGAAACATACTGAAAAGGCGGTCTAATTTCTTTCAACTTTCTTTTTTCGGGATCCTGGTGCAACGGAATTGGCAGATTGGGGTTGTTGCTGAGCAACGTCTGTTAATGCGGTTGCCTGAACTAACACGACCAACGTTGAGCTGAATCCCCGTCACGAACCCCCCTCTCGTACATATTTTTATTTTGGTGCCTAGTTTCCGCCAGGAAAGATACTAGGTTTCTGGTTAAATTGTGAATCTGAGCCTTGACCAGGCAACAGGCAATTGCACATTGACCACGATTCCCGATGATAAACCCGTTGTAATTGCTCAATTCGGGATTGAGTTGGGATTTCATTCAGAGCCCAAATGGCTGCCTTGTCATGTTGTCCTGACAAAGCAAAGGGGCTTCTAGTTGCAAAGGTTGTCATCTCTCCTTTATCCTTGGCAGATTCCACAAATTTGTCAATATCACTTTGAGGGGGGTTGAGCACGTTTCTTTAGCGCGAGTTAAACAAACGTCTCTCCTCGCCAGAAATATTTCTTACGGCATGAACAGATGGCTGATTATCAACATCCCATACTTGCCACGCTTGTTCGCTGGCCAGAATAGCACTGATGGCCAAACTTGGCAACCTCCACCAACATGGCAGGCCTAGGAAACCCTCGACTCGACAACATCGTACGCCTTCTCTAACAAGTCAACCAGGATCTCTAAGTCTTCCTGGCTCACATTCAGCGGCGGCGCCAAGATAACATGGTCCCCGGCATGTCCGTCCGCCGCCCCCGCCCCCGGATAGATGGCCAAGCCCAACCTGTGCGCCTGGTCCCTCATCTCACTCGCAAAGTGAAGATCCGGCGCCAACGGCTCCTTGGTCTCCTTGTCCTTGACGAACTCCAAGGCCCAGAATAGACCTCTGCCGCGGATGTCACCGACGTATCTCCTGGGCTCGAATCTTGTCCGCAGCTCCTGTTCCAGCCATTTGCCCTTTTCAGCACAACGGGCCACCAGATCATCCCTCCTTAATACTTTTTGCACGGCGAGAGCGGCGGCGCAGCAGACGGGGTGAGCTTGATACGTGTGTCCGTGGACAAAGGCGCCCGACCCCGCGGCCAGGACGTCGATGACTCGTTGGTGAGCGAGGACTCCGGCGATGGGTGTGTATCCGCCGCCCAGGCCTTTGCCCAGGGTGACCAGGTCCGGACGGACGTCCCCTTCCTGGGCAAAGGCAAAGTACGTGCCTGTCCGGCCGGAGCCGCACATGACTTCGTCCAGAATCAGGAGGATGTCGTACTTGTCGCACACCCGGCGGACGCCCTCAAAGTACCCCCGGGGGGGAGTAATGCAGCCTACTGTCGCGCCGCCCACGGGCTCGGCTATAAAGGCCATGACGGTCTCCGGCCCGACGGCCCGGAACTCGGCGTCCAGCTCGTCCACCAGGCGCTGCGCGTATGCCTCTTCCGGCTCGCCTTGCTTCTGGAAGCGGTACGCGTACGTGGGACTGACGTAGCTGACGTTGTCGAGGAGGAGGGCGTCCTTGTAGGGTTTCTGCCTGGCCACGTGGCTGCCGACGCTCATGGAGCCGATGGTGCTCCCGTGGTACGCCTGCCTCCTGGCGACGAAGCGTCTGCGTTGAGGCTGCCCAGCCTCGACCCAGTACTGCCTCGCGAGCTTCATGGCGGCATCCATGGCTTCGCTTCCGGACCCGACAAAGTACGCCCTGCACAGGCCATGGGGGTTGCCGTCCAGCAAGGTGCCGGCAAGCTCCTCTGCACTGTTTGTAGTGAATGCCAGGGTGTGGGCGTAGGCGACTTGGGACATTTGTTCCACGACGGCGGCTTTTACATCCGGGTCGCCATGGCCTATGACGGCCACGGCGGCACCGGTGCAGCCGTCGAGTATGCGCTGCCCGGTGGAGAGAGTGTAGTAGCTTCCGGAGGCAGAGGTGACTGTTTCAGGGCGGTGAAGGAGCAGGCGATGGAGGACTTTGGAGGATTTGGTCTGGTCAGTCATGTTTGGTCGGTGCCGCCAGCTTTGCGGCTGTAAGTGTGGGATTATAAAACTAGTCTTGGGAGAGCTGTTCCACAGAGCCAGACTCTGCTATCAGGGATTGTAGGCTATCTGAGATGAGCTTGATAGCCATCGAGATGTGCTCCACGGAGCAATTGGAGTCTTAAATAGTATATAGAGTACACATGTTGTTTGCGCCCTCTGCCCCAGTTCTCTCCTCTCCTCCTCCCCCCCTTTTCGACGAGGCCGCAGATTTGTGGCGCTGACCTGCGATATCGGTTTTATGTGTCACGTCGGTGCGTATGCGGACCGACCAGCTGCCCAATGCATGTACGAGAAGTTGAAAATGGAAAATAACAGCAAAGCAGAACTGTACATATGTAGATGCGGGCAACTGGGGGGTTGTGTTTCGGCAGTTGGGTAGCCGTGGAACATTGGCGGCACGGCGACTTGCTTTGTCCAAACAGGAAGCGGCTGGAGATGCAAGTGGGAAACCAATACTAGTTGGGCATCAGTATTCCCCTGCAGACAAGTCGTAAACTCCTTCAACAAGGCGGCGTGTTGGCATCGAAGCCGCCTGGCCAAGACAGTGATGCAGACATTGATGTGGGCGCGGAGTCTTTGCTCGTAAATCCAAGCTAATTACTCGGCAACTAGCCATTTGAATCATTGGCAATCAGCATGCCAGGCGGTTCGGTGAACAAATGCCATAATATGGTCTTGTACAGACACGGTTGACAAAGATTGCATTGTTCGAGTCGACACCAACCATTCATCCAAGCACACTTTGGCCTCGAATTGCTGCCATTCGTCACAGGCCACGTGCCAGGCAGTCACAGCCCAAAGTCTAAATAGTCGGCTGAGTAATTGCGGCCCCTGTCCCGCCTCCGAATAGCCTATTCGATTGGTCATCCGCACCACGAACGATTCGCAACACCACGCATCGGTGGTACCTAGAAGGCGTCCATCGTGTAGTTGGGGCCCCATCGCGTCCATATAAAAGAGACACTGCCGTGAAATCAATTCAGTCATAGAGTGACCGCTCTTTCTCAGGAATATAAAATCCACTCCTAGCGCCGGTCTCCCCAGGTTTCCCGTTTCCACCGCGCCACCACCATCTGCAAATCCCATCACCATCCAACCCTCCATATCCCCCCCTCCAAAAAGGAACAAGAAGAAGAAGAAAATGGCATACACCCCAGACCAAGTAGACCGCTACCTCCAGCACATCGACTTCCCAGCCTCCAAACACCCCCCGGATGCGCTTCAGCGGCTCACGCAGCTCGTAGCCCGACAAGTCGCCCGCGTGCCGTTCGAGTCCTTTGCGCTGCACTACTCGCAGCACAAACGGCTCTCGCTCGACCCGGAGGCGCTCTTTGAAAAGATTGTCGTGCACGGCAAGGGCGGGTACTGCATGGAGCTCAACGCCTTCTTCGGCGGCATGATGCGCGGCCTGGGATACCGCGTGCTCAACGCCGGCGGCAGGGTCAAGACGCCCGCCGGATACACGGGATGGTAGTTTGACACGCTCGCCTTGCCTCTTGCCATGCCACAGCTGACTCCTTCTCTCGCATCTACAGGAGCCACATGGTCAACATTGTCACCGTCGGCGACACCCGGTACAACGTGGACGTCGGGTTCGGCTCGCACGAGCCCATGCAGCCCATCCCCCTCCGGCACAACTACACGTTCACCCAGATCGCGCCGCGGGAGGGGAGGCTCGAGCACCGGAGCGTCTCGCAGCACACGGACGCCTCGCAGCGCGTGTGGGTGTACTCGACGCGCGAGGACGCCTCGGCGCCGTGGGAGGAGCGCAACATGTTTGTCGAGACCGAGTTCTTCCGCGCCGACTACGAGGCCATGAACCTGAGCACCATGTCCGCCGCCACGAGCTTCTTCGTGCAAAACGTCATTGGCATGAGGGCCGTGCTCGACGCCGCCGGCGACGTCGTCGGCGTCTACACGCTCTTCGGGGCCAGGGTCAAGAGGCACATGAGGCACGCCGAGGCCGAGGTCGTGGCCGAGCTGGCCGACGAGGACGCCAGGGTGAGGGCCATTGACGAGTACTTTGGCGTGAAGCTGACGGCCTTGGAGGCGAGGGGCATCAGGGGACTGGCGACCGAGTTGAGGGCCAAGGGGACCGAGTAGGAGCGAGTGTTTCTTTCTCTTCTTTTCTTCTTTTGCCCGCTAATCGTAGACTATGCTACCTCGACGACGGTCCATGTTTTCGACCCGGCCGAAACTTGGTCGCCGAGCCTGTACGTCCTCTCCAGCGCCTGCTTGCACGGCAGCTCTTCCTGGCCCATTCTTACGGTCCGCACCGCCTGGGATCGCTTCCACTCCCACCTCTCCAACGAGATTTCCTGTCCGCTCCTGACGAAACCCTGGGAATACCTGCCTAGCCTCACCACCAAGCCCCTGGTTGGTCCCTCTTCGTACTTGAGCACGGCGCATACCTGCTCCGAGGCCGTCGGGGCGGGCTCTTCGTCGTCCCAGATTTCCTCATAGGCCGTCTCACGGCCCGTATCGGGGTTGACCATGCGCCCCTTTTCGAGCGTGCTCCCGTCGGGCTGCGGATACATGTCGCCTTGGTCGGAGGCTGTTTCGGGCTGGCTTGTTCGTGAATCAATCCAGTGGTCCCATCGGGAGTGTGACACTTGCTTGCCGTCGATGGTGCGGCTGCTTGACGAGGACGTTCCTGCGATGGCCCAGTCGAGTCTTGACAAGGGGAGTGTATCTATCTCCGTTGGATTAGCTTCTGCCGTCATCTACGTAGTCGGCAGCTGGAGGTGGCAAGCTAGGGGAATTTCAAGTGCTTTGCATTGGGACTATACTACTGTACCTTGGGCGCATGGCAGACCACCAGGACCGTCCTTCAATATTCGTAAATCTACAAACCGGCGTTGCGGGGAAGTCAATACAATAGTTGATGTGGGCTCGCTTGCTTCCCCGGGGAGCCATCGGATGCATCTACGAGTAGAAATACTCATGCTCATTGTGATGTGAGAATGTGAAGCGAGTTGACGTCTGATGTCGGCCGGGTGATGTTTGATGTTGGATTTGGGTTCGTATTGACAGGCTGCACAAGGGAATTCGGTCCCGATGTCGGACCGACGCCCCGCGATTCACACACTGGTCCTGTCCGCTTCGAGGGAGAGGCGCCGACTCCTCGGACATTGGGATGGCATTCTACAAGGTGTTTACTCAAGCCAAATGCCATTTCAAGCATGACACCCAGACTAGTAGCGGGTTTTCATATCAACGGGTCAATCTACGGTGTACTACAATGTGACGGCATTAACGTCCTGTTGCATGGACACAGACTCCGATAAGTCATAGAACGCCAACAGTCTCCGTAGATACACTGTTGATATACAGCAACACAGCAGCAGTTGTCGTACCAACATACAACAAACAGCCAGGTGTGGCCAGGGGAAACTTGAAGGTCTCGTAACTGCACACAAGTGCCTCTGTTTCTTTGTCTTCTCTCGACACACGGCCGAGATGTTATATGGTTGTTCGCAGACCCAATGCGGCAACCAAGAATGGTAGGGTATCTCTCTCATCATCATATCAAAGACCGAGAATACAACAGCGATAGCATGCTCAAAACAATACTTTGTACAACAAATGCAATCAAGATGTGCTTTTTCGGCATCAAATTTCTGAAACATGGTCCATCTCTACGACTGAGGTGCGCTTGAGAAGTTGGTGATCTGGGTCGTAATAACGAGACCAGCGACCGTAGCCGATGTTAACGTAGCAACGACACCAGAGATTAGAGCCGAAACAGCCAACTTGGAGACATCGCCACCACGAGACGGAGCAAGCTGCCCGAGGATACCAATTTGAATACCCAAGGAGCCAATGTTACCGAAGCCACAAAGAGCATAAGTAGCAATAAGTCGAGAGCGAGGGGACAGTCCGGCATAAGTTTTGTCCTTGGTGAGATCGAGGAAGCCGTTGTATTCATTCTATAACTCCATTAGCGACGGGCTCTGTAAAGAAAGGAAAAGAGATGCACGGGTTTGTGTGGGCATGAGGCCAGAGAACTCGAGGGCTGTGGCAATCATTGGGGGAGTGCATGGTCACTTACGGTGATGATTTTCTGAGCAATCAATCGGGCCACCAAGAGAATGTCATTGTTGTCTCGGGGAACGCCCAAAAGGAAGGCCACAGGGTAGAGTAAATATCCAAGAACGGTCTGTAGAGTCAAGGTAGGATCATTGATATTGAGGTATCGGCCCCACCAAGTCATGAGAGCATTGATCAGGCCAACAAAAGCGATGATGCAGAGTAGTGAGGCGATGATTGTTGCGCCAATCTTGATACCGAGCCAGGAGCCATTGGCAAAAGCGTGTAGTGCGTTCTCAGCCTTGTGCTCGTCGTCATCGGGGATAACGACACGTCCAGCGGTAAGGGTTTCCTCGGTTTCGGGGTATCGCAACTTGGAAATAGCCAGAGAAGCAGGAATAGACATAATACAGGATGAGACCAGAGCCTCGGCGTTCAAACCAAGCTTGATATAACCAACAAGGACGGAGCCGGAAATGGTAGCGAAACCGCACGTCATAATCTGATGCAATTCAGCCTTGGTCATATGAGGAACAAATGGTCGGACAAGCATTGCAGATTCTCCCTGCCCGATGAATGGGGTAGCAGCAGCGACAATAGCCTCTGCGCCAGAGACTCCCAATGCCCAGAACACAAAGGTGGCAAACTTCTTGATGAACCACTGAAGAAAGCCAATGTAGTATAGAACCTGCACCAGAGAGATGAAGAAGATGATGGCAGGAATGACACTGAAGAAGAACCATGGGGTCTGGGAGGTCTCTTCGGACGTCAGGAAGGCCACACCCTGACGAGCAAAACCCAAGAGATCACCGGCGCGATCGGCGATGAACTTGAATATGTCGTAACCGACGCCGGTTCGCAGGACGAAGAGTCCAATGATGTACTGGGCCAACATGCCGGCAATAACAGTTCTCCAATTGATGCGGCTGCGATGCGCGCTGGTTGCCCAGAAGACGAAGAGCATGACGGCCAATCCGAAAAGACTGACTGCACGGTTGGCACGAGTATTGTCGGCAACTTCTTCGGAAGCAAAACTTCCAACTATGATGACTGCCAGAGCTCCAAAAGCACCAAGAGGGATCCGGAAAGCAGAGGGGATCAGTTCATAAACGACCAGAACAGTGTGGCTCCATACCCAACGAATGGCGGTTGACAGATATCGACTGGGGACGTAGTAAAAGAAAAGACGCAGAGATATGGCAAGCCACAGCAGAAACGGAACCACCCAATTCTTGTCGTCCCTATGCAGGATGAGAGAAGCTATCCACCAGCCAGTAAAGAAGAGAAAGTAGACGAGGTGGAAGACTGGACGGTATCGTCTATAGAAACCCTTGAATCCACCGCCGGATTCCCTATGCCTATGGTCAGTTGAGCCGGAGCCTCGTCCAGTGCTCACCATGCCAGCCTCGGCCTTCTCATTATCACTGTACTCGGGCAGGCTGAGAGGGTCCTTCTTGTCGACGCTGTGTGCGTGGTGGTTATCTCCATGCTGTTGAGCGGGGATCAGAGAAGGGTCCATGGTGGTCCCTGAGGTGTACACGGCGTCGTCATGGCCGCCAGCGGCATCGATACGAGCAGAGTGGTGATGATGTGAATGCGTGTGTTGGTTCGCAGGGTTCAAGGCTGGGTCAGGATTGTAGTCCATGCCTGCAATTGGCGTGTGGTGTTGGTTCTGCAGGGGCGCCGCCACTTTGTCGCCAGCATTGGCTAGGGTGTTTGTCTCCCCAGCCATGATTTTCTCGAGTAAGAAGCTTGAAAAGTTGCAGCTGTTGAAACGCTGCAAGACAAACAAACCAAGTTATTCGGTCCTCGCGATGTCGCGTGTTTCTGCAGAATCACGCTGCCTTGTAATTGGAAGCGAAGGGTTGAGAGGACAGGCTTTTGGGAATGCTGAGCGCAGAGTTTTGGGCTGATGAATTTTGTCTCGTGCCCTTTTTTTTCTGTCTCTTGCTACCGAGGCGCCACAAAAGTTTTTGCGACACGAAGGTGAACAGGTACGGCGAGGCACTCCGGCTTGGAGTACACTCGTGAAGACGAAAAAAAAAAACCAATAAACAGATCCGGTCTGGAGGACCTAACGTACCTAAGGCAGACACAGATGAGGAGGGAAAAGAGAAACATCGCACTGGCGAGACAAGAGGACTTTTTGTACCCGCACGGCGATTCCGCAAAGCATTAGCAGGACGAGGACGATAGGACGACAGCCCAGACTTAGGGAATGTGGAGCAAACGATAACTAGACTGGACCATAACGAAAACGATGTACTCCGTACTCCGCACAATAATAACTACTACATAAACCAGCCTCCGGAACTAGCTCTGCATCTGGAGAAGGGCCTGCTGTAACTCCATCCGGGCAGCCAAGCCACTTTGCACTCACTGATGCTGCTCCAAGCGGAGACCAGATGAGGGGACTTTGGGCACCAAAAGCCGCGACCTACCGACACGACAGCGCCAGGTTGTGCAAAATAATAAGATGGTGGGCCGTCGAAGAAAAGAAGGCCCCCAGCTTTCTGGCCGAATCGACTCTCAAGGGTCGCCTGGCTGCAGGGATTGGTTATTCAGGCCTCGACCCCGGACAACGCCAGTACACGGGCATGCATGATCCCCGGGGATCCCAACTGACTACTATTCCCAATCCATCAATATACCCGCGCTTCTGTTGGTGATGGTGGTCGGCCTCGGTGGCCCGATTCAGCTTACAAGGTCTGATATCAGTTGTATTGTGTATTGTGTATTGTATGTACAATGCTGATATGAGGCCATTTCTTGGACAAAGCCTTGACACCGAGGATCCTTCGGAAAGCAGGTAGCCTTGAGAGGAGGGGTGCGTGCCCTCATAGGATGCAGCGCGTCTCCCGCAATACTTGTATGACCTCATAAGACCGGGTTATATCAGCAGACCATAGCCAAATACATCCTGCCAGACATACGGAGTAGTACCAAGGATAAAACGAACCCCAAAAGTTGGCTGGTCGCAGGCCAGTATTCCACTTCCAGAAAGGGACGGGGAGCCGTCAAAAGTGCCCAAGGCTAGCCCCATGCTCGTCTGGAGGTGGCGCCTTCTGCTGCGGTTCGTCGCTGGCCAAGGCCTCTTGGGCGTTTAACCGTTCTGTCTCTCGGCGATGGCGGCGGCGCCGGCTTATTTCTGATATGCACCGTCCCTGATTCCATGAACCCACTGCCACGATAAGACTAAGAGCTCTGGGGGCGAAGGCGGCTGGCAGAGTAAGCAACGGTGGCACTTTGCCTTCCGCTACAAGGCGTCGGGTTTCCCCTCCGATGGCGCTATGGTTTGTGGGAAAGCGTTGAAATCCTTGCCAACCTTGGACGACGACTAGAATCGCTTTGCCAGGGCCTGGAAAACCACTACGGCCAGGCTCGCCCTTTACAACGAACTGCAATCGACGTCCGGCGGTGGGAAGCTCACTGTTTCTGGAAGGTTCAAGGATGATGCGTCCTGTTGTTGTTATCTGAAGTCTTTGACAGAGAGCGTCTCAGCCACGTCCATTAATTGTTGGCAGCTTGGCAGTCCACGTACGGAGTACCAGACAGTTAATTCGGACATGAACTGGCGCCTCGCCATTGGCCCATGGACAGACCACTTATGACGGTTCGTTCTGACTCGCGCCCATGTGAACCATACCATCATGTCTTGCTCCTTCCCAGACATGGCACAAAGCTACCAGACTCGTCGGGAAGCAGCTCGAGCGTTGTTTCCTTTATCAAATTGCGCACGCAGTGAGGCTGGAGGTTGGACTGGACAGATAGCCATCGATGGATAGCTTCATATCTTCTCCTGTTGATGTCGCAAATCGTCCAAGTCACAATCGGGACAGGCTCTGAGATAGCAAACTCCACCGAAACAAGCCCCCTCCAAGAAAAAAAATATTGCCCCGGTGCTAAAGCTGATAAGCAACAGCGGCTTACTCCCCAACACCGGTGGCGTCCCGTGCAATAATGGCGTTCGACAACCGTTCTCTGATTTCGCGCCTTCACACAATTCGAAATCTATCTCCAATAGCGAAGCGATTCGGGCCATTGCCAAACCGCGTCGCTGGCCTCTGCTACGTACCCCATCATTGCCCAGTCATCACCCCGGCTGGATGTCCTCATCGTTCAACAACACCGAAGGTCTCTGATACAGTCAACAAACGGCGGCAACATTGAAACCTGGAGATGGAAGAGCTAGAACCAGGGCCTAGGCTTCTTTAGTTGCCTGGGTCCTTGGACCAAGTGATAAGCGTCGGTCGACCCCGAGCTTACCGTCGCAGCCTCGTGAGTTCATGGAAACAGGGATTACGAGTTGTGAGCTCCCAGGTCCTGATCTATCTCATCTGCGGGAGAGAATTGGTAGCTTGGTACTCGAACTAGGCTGTTTCGGAGTGAAGTAATAAGCTTGGACGGCCACGTCCGCCAACCACACAGCAACCTGCTCCGATGGGAACCTTTGATCGGAAACCTGGTTAATGCATAATGTGGCGGCAAATCACGGCCAATTTTCTGATTTGATCAGGGCTATCGCCACATTGACTCTGCCATCTGTTTGACTGCCAACGAGACGTGCAGACGCTTTGGCCAGAGGCGGCTTCTTCAGCATTCTGTCTTCCTTTCTTGTCGTGCTGCCAAGCACTGCCATTCGATCAAGGCCACTCCGTACTCCGGACCATGATATTCACTTGCCACACGATTCCTTCCACCCAGTCAAGAGGGGCATTTACAGTCTGACAGTCGGTACCAAGGCGCCTGTAACTGGTGGGGGTGAGTGGGCAAACGAGAAAGTCGACTGGGCACGCGACCTGGAAGGGATTCTCGGCTCAAACTCGACTTCTCCACAGCCTCGGGTGTAACACCAATGGGGAAAATGGTCAAGGATAAAGACAAGCTTTGGATTCGATGTTCGCACAGAAAGCAGAACGAGGCAGCTCGCTAGACATTAAGCCACCAAGCTCATGAAGGCACGATCGGGGCCCGGTAAATCTGAGAAGATATCAATACGTCGGGGGAATACATACTTGCATGGCATGTGCAGAATCCGCCCAACTGCATCTACCAAATTTGTTCGGGTTTCCTTTACTACAAGTCATGTGGAGACGCCAGTTCGCATTGTACTGGTACATACTTTTTTTCCCAATTGTGCCACGAGATCTCGAGGGCTCTACCAGCGGGGCTTAAAAACGTGTCCCAGATTGCCCCATGAACCAGTCTTGGGAGCATGGCATTTTGTGAAGTCGGCATCTCCAAGTCCGGCGATAGGCTACGGTTGCGGTTGTATTTTGGAGGACCCAGCGATCACGCGCGGCTGTTTCGAACAATAACTCGGCAAACAAGAATGTTATCCCCGCAAATCGAGCATTGGTGTGGGTCGAGCCGAACCTCTTCTTCCCCAGCCAGCATGACCATGAACCATGACCGCACGGCCATCGGTCACCGCCGTGCCGTCGTCGGCAGCTCCCTCAAACAACCTTCTCCTTTTGTCGTCAACGACATGCATGAGCCATGTGTCGACCACCGTGAGAATTCCCCGGTGCCGCATGAATGCAAGCGTGGTTGCTTGCCTCTTCGCTTGTCGATTCACGTATGGCGGATGGAGGGTTGGGCGGAGATGGCCGTCACGTTCCCCATACCCCAGACTACTTAAGTACATACTTAATGCAACGAAACTAATTTCGCACGAGCCAACACGTCGCTCAATATTGGCCTTTGCCTAGGCTTGCGTTTACGTATTCGTCTTGGTTCAGGGAACTGAGATGGGCTGATGCCAGCCGACGGCCAGAATAGAGAATGTTGGCAAGCCCATGTGCTTCGAAATGACACTTATGCAACCAACATCCAATTTCCGTTCCTAAACGTAATAGTCGTGCCCTTCCACGTCTTTACACACGGCGGCTCCCGTCCCCATGCCGTAACGGAGGAAAACTGACCATCACCAAATATCCCACCGCCACCTCATGTCTTACACCAACACATGCCCCTACTCCTAACCCTGCACATCATCCCCGGCCGTAGCCGCGCAGACGTAGCCTACCAGACATAGCCTGACTTGACTGTCCTCCCAAACCATGAGTAGTACTCACCCCCCCTCGCCACCAACATGCTTCAGCACCTATGTATGTTGCCATCTATGGCTTGGGAGGCGCATTCGGAATCGAGCCACATCACTTTTGCGATTGACACCACACCCCGGCAATTTATAGCCCTCCACCGTGGGAGTGGAATCACGGATACAGTGGCCAATGGAATATTTCCTTCCAACTCCCAACGTTGCAGGCAGTTCACTGAAACAACGTGATGCAAAACGTGAAAATGGACGGCATACAACACCAGCGAGATTGTATTCAGCTGTGGCTAAATAATTCACGACGGGGTAACAACATCACCCGGCAATGGGCGGAGACTGGAGGCAATTGTTTTGCTTTTGTTCTTTCTCTAAACCAGTGGCTAACAACATCCGCAACAACCTTCATGTAGTAGTGTCTCATTGATACAGGAAAAACAGGATAATTCTACTCCCCAAAAATACATTCTTCATCGCATGATTCTTCATTCCGCCCATGTCATCGTGAGAAACAACAATTTCACAGGGTATTGGTTACTCCCCTCCTCTGAACCTGCGATTGAACTCCTCGACAGCGACACCAATCATCTTGTACAGGTACGCTCTCTCACTTCCGCCTCCAACTGGAATAAAAGGCCCATTTGCTCCTCCTCGCAAGACAAGGCTCACACCAG